TCTTATCTAAAAAAACACGACCACCAAATTCTATGTTTCCCGCCTTTTCCAAAATATCGATAAAATTAATTTCGATCATGACATTTCTGTAAACGTCAACTTCTGCGATGTTGCCATATTGAAATTATAAATTGGACTGCAGTTTATTTAGATATCTGCCAGCAATTTTTTTTATAATGATCTAATAAAACACATTTTTTATTAATATTTAAATTATGACTGCCATTGTATCTTTTTCTATTGTTATTGTCATCAGTGACTTCTGAAGGTAGATAAAAGTTTAAAGATTTAAAGTTTGCTGACTAAGAGGGCTAACTTCTTTGTTAAATTGTGTTGCTCATTTCTTGTTATCATCACAGATAATATAATATTACATACAGATACCCCATCCCATACAAGAAAATGGTTCCTTCCTAACTCGGGCTATTCTTCGGGCTATTTTATTTCGCCGCCGTAGGCGCTAGATGTCGCTATATCTGAAGCAGTTCGGATTACTAGTGGGTGATTAGTAATAAAGCATGAAAATAGATGGCAGAGAATTCGGTCTACATGACATCTGTTTTGCAAAGATACGTACATAATAGATATATAACTGTATCGAACTCCTGATTGGGTACAATCGAAAATTCAATGTAGGTATAATATTGTTCGCTGACAGTCTACAGACACGGCTAATGTACCTATGTATCTATGTACTATGTTACAGTTACTTTTTTACATGCCTACTTTTTTTCTCCCGACGAAGATATGTCGTAACGCGTCTGCACTAAAATCGGGCTATCGGTTAAGGAGCAATAGCTCCTTAACGAATAGCCCGATTTTAATACGGTTTTTTTTATTTAAATTGTTATGTGATAGTGATAGATTTTAGCTATAATCAATTGATGTGCATATGGGTACCTCATATAATTTTCAGTGTATAATTATTTTTCAATATGTAGTTAATTATGGTAAACTGGCAATTTGTAAAACTGAAAACCATCAATCTGTTATATGTAGGTTCTTTCAGGGATACTACATCGGTGCTAATGACATGTAGGTACTTATTTTGATATCTACAAACTACGCCTTTACTGCTAGTTTTTTGGTATTTATGTAAGTTGTTATTCAGTTGAAATTAAGCTGCGAAATTACATGATATTTGGACATAACATCTATGTTCTCCGGAATGATAACGTATGCGGGATATAGCGGGCACGACATGATGACGTAATGCTGTGTAATAATAGGTGTCTGTATGTACGTCGGATAGCGTCGTGGTTGGATGGATCGTCAGCTTATTTACCATTTCAGTTAATAATAGTAGGTAGTAACTTTTGACAATATGGATGAGGGAGGGTAAAGTGATGATGATGAGATCAATAATCACTGTTGACGATAGTGTCGGTGGTATTTATTTATGACCACCATAAAATTCATCATTGGCAGTATTCTCAACATTATCATCATTGTTCATCATGATGATTGAGATCAAATTAATTAATTGATTAAAAAAGTAGCAAGTATTAGGTAGGTACTAAGTCCTTATGTGACTTAAATACAAGGTTCTGGGATGCTGTAATATACTACAGTCTCTAGATTTAGTTTCTTATTAGTATTCCACGACCAAAGTCTATAGACAGAAATATAGATTTACACAAAGTTTTTTGATGTAAATGGGAATTATTACACACATTGCATTAAAAAATATATATGATTACCATCTAATACAAAATCATTATGTAGTAAATAATTCCTGACATTTTAAATCGAATGAGGTGAAACTAACATTGCATGAACACAATACTTGAAGATCATAAAATTTTTATTTCAGGTAACAAAACACTTTTAAATAATTTATTAATCACAGAATAAACAATTGTTAATAATTTACAATAATATTTCTTTCACTGCTTGTCTGTTATACCACTAAAACTTCAAACACTTCTGTTATTTTTATATTATATTCCAAATAAATCAATATCAAGACATAATATTTCATCAAAATCATTTCATAATTAATTCCTGGTACACAAAATATTCCTGGATTTGTTGATGAAGCAATATAATAATAATCATGTGCTTAAATCATAAACTTATTTGCAGTCGGTTACACATAATATAATTACTTGGAATTTCTTCTCATCACTAGTCCATTGCTTTCTTACTTATTTAATTATATTATTAATTGCATTGTGATTAATAATTTACAGATTTTTCTTCTGCTTTTTTCTCTTATTTTTACTTGCATTATTATTTTGTACAGTAAAATGTTCATATATATTTCTTATTGTTTTGAACCCTGTTCTTTACAGTAAAAATGTTATTTATCTTCATCTGAATGACTAGGAGATTTAGAATATCATCTCTTATTTGTTTAAACTTTGTTCAGTATTAAGTTGTTGATGTCAGGAAAATCTGAAAACAATATCATATACCTATGTTACATTTTCATGAACTTACATGAAAGTAACTAAACTGTAACCTTATTAGCACAATAAACATATTATTCATACATCATATTCATTCAGTTCTAATAAAATATAAAAATAATACTACTATTTAGTACTTTTTCAGTATTTTCTCAATCAATCAAAAATTATAAAATCAGTGTTAGTTTTTTGAAGTTACATTCATAACAATAATAAAAACATAATAATACCACATTAAAGCGGTCACCAAGTACCTATGTTTATTATATTTTAATATGAAAGATACACACGCATACATATGCAAGTTTTTAACAACTTATAGTTATACCTGGTATGAGATAATCCTCAAAGACACGATAGTTTACTAAATATTTGTAGTAGTCCTTAGACACATTTAAATTATTGAGTTTGACAAAAAAATAAGAAGTTCAATGAACTCTGAACAGGAACAATTCAAAAGTTGAAGTACCTACTTAACTTAAATGATGAAAAAAGAGAAAAAATCCAATGCTAGTGAAAATATGTTTTAAGCATTTGTCTTAAAGTCGTTTATCCTATTCTTTTATTCCTATATTTTATATTTTTAACATTTCATTTATGTTGCCAGTACTCGTTGTCATTTCGATATAATAAAAAAATATGGACCAACCTACGATTTTAAATCGATATTTTTATTTGTGATGAAATCTAATAATATAAATTATGAATAACCTACCCTCGAATGGAGATACTAAAAAACTAATTATCATGAATAGTAGGTACTAGGATCAGTAATATATCATAGTATTATGAATGATTATCGTTTCAAAACCTTGTACAATTTAGTAAGGTTGAAAATATCCTTCTACAAAAGCAAAATTCGAGTATTTGAAAAGTTTCTTATGAGTATTTGTAAAAATTCGAGGATCCTCATATTTAGCTATCAATGTCAGTAATTTAGATACCATATAACACTTGTTTATTGAGGTTTCATAAAGGTATAGCTGACCTTATATACTCTATACCACATTCAATTCTCATTCATAAAATTACAATAAGTAGGTATTTATTTTTTTTAATAGAAGAACTATGTCACTAATGTCATTAATTGCTATAATTACCAGGGTGACCGCGTGGAGGTTGATATAATAGAGTACACTTGTATCAGATCAATCTAATTAATATTCCTCTCTTCAAGTTTCGAAGTTATGAGCGAACAGATAAATATATAGTACTTGCATACCTGTCAAATTCTCTCTATTTTGCCGTCGTCGAGTAAAAATTATGCATTGCAATTCGTTCCAAATAAGAGTATAATACAAAATGATGAAATTTTACTGTTTGCAAAGACTAATTAAAAGCACCATCGAATAATGCGTTGTAATATCCTGTTATCGATTATTCGAAAAAATCGATAAATCTATGCATTTATTTTTAATATGGCAACACTTTCTAAATAAGTATTACTGGAATAATATGGTTTTCTTGTTTTATATTTACTTAAACTTTTTTTATGTTTAATTTATCATAATAATATAGTAAGTACTTATTATTTGAAAATATAAAATAAACATTTAAAATACGGTGATACAAATGAAAACAGCGTCATCTATGAAAGTCTTTTGGAAACAATAAGCCCCAATTAGCAATGATTAAATTGTAAACAAATACAGGGCAACAACAAAATGAGTAAATATATGAAAATTACTTTTCAAAACGCATTATTTCATTTTAACATCTATATATGACTTTTTAAAAATAGATTAAACCTGTTTAAAAACATAGTTTTGGGTTTTAAACGATTACAAAACAATGTTGAATTCCATTCGATACCAATGACGCCATCTAAATCCGTTTTTCGAACTAAAAATGGCTACTATGCCATTGTTCCCCACTGTTATCATTATCAATGATGTATCGTGTACTTGCATCTCTTATATCCACATCATGAACCTGTAGTTCATGATGTGGATATAAGAAGAGAATTTATAAAATAAAAGTATTTAAATTTAAAATGTTTTTATTTGTTACTCTTAAAACCTAGTTAACATAACTACATTCACTACAGTGCTGTGCACAGTAGATTAACATTTTTTCGTGTATTATTGTTTTGTATGTTGACGTAACAAACAATATAGGTCGGCATAATTCGCGGTATACAACTGTTTCGATGCTGCTTGTAAAGGGGGTCGTTAGTAAGACATCTAGTGGTGGTGAGCACTGCGAGCTTTTGCTACAATGAGATGACAGGCTTGATATCATCCTCTATTAGCGCAGGCGGGAGTGCACCATCCCATTATTATCAATAAAAATCTTGTAACTAAATTAACAACTCACCACGTGAACCGGAACGCGTTTATCATAACCGGCGCTTATGTTTAATTATTTGAATAAGAACAACGCATTCTCGTAAGGGAGAAAATCACAAACACAAGCGTAAACGACATGTATGAAAGTAGTAAATACTTTAAATAGTTCATGTATATCGGTAATAGAGACGTGTTGACATCATATGAAGTCATTAATCATATAAGGACTTAAAACAAAACTATAGATTGATAGCCACTTTACGAGATAGAATTTAAGTTCTCTACATCGAATCAAAAAATAGATGGAATATACATATCCAGTCTAAAACTTTTTGAAAAAAAAAGATTGGGCGTATACTGCACCCTATATATATGCGTATGCATGAGATAGATCTAATACAGAAAGTCATATTGATAAAACACTCCGCTAATCTCATACGGGATTTAAAATTTTAAAAATAGAACTGTCAAAAACGTTTAATTGTTAGTTAATCAGCTATAATAAAATAGACTAATTTATCGGCTTCAATAACACATAGAAAATCAACAATTACAATTTCAGTAATACTACATCATTGCTGTATCTGCTTTCAGCACATTATTTTTTTGCTAACTATCGCAATGTTCCGGATACATGCACAGCCAATACTTTTTACAATTTGAATTATTGCCCATAGCTTTTCAAATATATTGTAAACAAATACAAATCAATTCATTCCTAAGAACAAGAACTAAAATAGTTATTGTCCTGAGATCCATTTAATCTAGAATAGCACTAGATTATATAAGTCTCTATTGAATAATACTGTTACAATATATATATATACAATTTTGTTAAAAAACCGACTTCAGTCTTGACAAGATTTGTGTGTACATGTAACATGCCATTTTATTAGAGTGAAAGATTAGGGTAAGTCACGGCATAAGAAAGATATAACCTCATCTATCATCGATACTCGGTTGTCCAGGGGTTTAGCAAAGCGCCTTACTTCCGAGCGCCGCGACTTTTTTTCTTCGCACGATGTAAATATGAGTATGACTGTTGGTATTAGACTGGGTGTTTTCTGTGCATATTAGATATGTATTTATAAAAAAATGTATTTAAATATTTCTATCAGTTACTTAATACCAGCAGCCCATACAAGCGGTGATATGTTAAAAACAGAGTGGGTATGTTGACCCATACAACAAGTTTCTTTGTGTGAGACTAGATGGCGCTGTGTAAATTGTCAAATCACTTGTGAAACTATTCTAATTTTCTGTGGGATAATGTGGGAACTATTCTAGCACTTAGCGCAGGAGACACTAAGTGTTAGAATTGTTTAACAATAATAAAAAAAATCTAAAGAAAAGAAAGATTGCGTTGGCAGTGTTACTATACCACATACTAACATCAGTCACGATTGAAGACGGTTTTCTATCATTCAACACAATATCTACATTAATATTATCATAAAATTTTTCAAATATTTGCTTCCATTATTTTCTTAAATTAAGGTAAAAAAATACATCTGTCAAAAAACAGATAGGAATCTGTGCATGAAATAAGTACTTATCAATAATACTTTGTTTCACTTAACAAGCAAAACTATTAAAATAGTAATACGAATAAACGTTACAATTACTACCTTAGTAAATTTAGAATCAAAAGAATTATAATTGCCATGTAAACTATATGTGCAGAACTTTTTAGATTAAAATCAATTTTTTTTTACCACTTCAACCACTACTATGGTAAAACCATCTGCAACTCACATAACAAATATGTAACACAAAATTTCTAAAATAGCGTCTAATAGGTCATTAGTTAGCAGAGCTCTTGTGAACGAATTCATCAGCTCACAACTCGAGTTAGAGAAAGGCGCAAGTTGGTTTTCCAAATTCTATATGTTAGTAGCCCTCAAATGTAGGCAGTTGATGCCTGTAATGAGATATTCTACTTTTATTTTATGATGAAATACGCCGTCCTCTTCCATTAGAGCAAGACTTCAATAGTATCCTGCCAATTTTATATAAAACAAACTGAAGAGCGAAGTATTTGCGAAATAACCCGTGGTCGTCTTTAGGAGCGATCTTTTTAATCATGTAGTTGAGTTCGCGAACTACATACGAAACTTTCTATATTTGACTATTATACCTTGAATACTTTGGCACTGCCATGTTTCTTAACACAATACTGAACTGTTGCATAAATTTTTAATAATCTTCGTTCCACTGCTTTAAAATGATCTTCTGTTGCCAATACTACTCCTTGAAAGGACGATAATAACTTTATGGTTTCTGTTAAGGCTCCACCAGAAAGTATCTCTAAATGATGCCATGTCGATGTTGATATCCTTGAATAAAAAAGCATTGGTTGAATTAAAATATTGTATAACAAGCGAAATGTGGGCATGTCCAATGTTGCCTTAAGAGGACTATTACAAAATGATGCCGCTCAACTTTAGGTTTAATCGCATGAATGAAACCTAAAGTTGAGCGTGTAATTACACAGTTACACACACAGTAATACACGCACACAGACGCAAATAAACGTGGAGCGCAATCGGTGTGGATTTAGTATGAACCATTTTGATCCTTGTAATATTTTAATTAATAATGTGATATGTTTCTACTTAACTGAGTAACATAAACTACTTATTGGATTTTTTTAAATAATGTGATTTATCTTAATTGTCAAAGTGCTAATAATGACCATATTTTTTTATTATATTATTCCTAGAGGGTTGATGTCAGGATGCTGGCCGATTGTACAACTAAAAGCCAAAACCTTAAGTAATATGAGTAACAAATAATTGGGATAAGGACAAGAAGATGAAATTACTATAACATAAATTTACTAATTAATTCTTCTTACATATTAATTCAGTTTATTTATTAATAGATACAATATAATTTATTATAAGAGTCGGATACATTATTGCCATATTCACTTGTTCTAAATATTATACTTAGCAAATAATTATTTTATTTATATATAATAGTTGTGTTTTCAAGGCTTTGTTTTGATTTAAAGGTCCTTATATGTATATTAGGTGTATCCGCGACTTCGTCAGCGTGGTATAATGAAATCGACCAAATAAAGGAAATATATTTAGATTATAACCTAAAAAAGTTTCATTGTTTCACTTAAACAATGACGATACTTTTATACAACCTTTCATCTCCGCTTTTAATCCCTTACAATACTTTTTTCGCACTATAAAGTAGTCTATGACCTTTCTCAGGGTATACTATCTGTGTATATGTATATCTATCTATATAGACTACCTGTGTATATATATGGTAGTGAATTTACAGGGTACAGGGGAATAACACCCGAGTTTTCAGGAATGGCAACGCATGAGGGAAACAATATGCTGATATGAACATGTCAGGTACTGCTCATGTATATAGGCGACGGTTACCCCTTTCCATCAGGAGAGCCGTCAGCTTGTTTGCCATTCTAAGTTGTAAAAAAAAAGCTTCAACTGCTATCATTGCTGTTCCTGCATCATTGACGTCGCCGCATAATATTGGCTGATATTGCAGCTTCTCGTTCTTGGTTAGCCAATTCTTGATTCTTGATAAATAATTACTTGTTAATATCAAACCTATTTATAAATTATTACAAGACGCCTCATTGATTATATGTAATGAAATCACCATGAGGTATAGAGATTTTGGATAGAACCTTAAAAGACCTTAGAAACACCTCTGCTCTCATTGGCGGGATTACTTTTATACTTTTGCTGGAGATTTCTGAAAGACTCTCTGTGTCATTAACATCGTCTCCCTTATGTACTTTAATTGAAAGTTTAAAACTACTGACAAATTTCAGAGCTCATTTTTATGGAAGCACAGATAGTGATTTCCCACACTAATTGCTCAAACTTGAGGAAGGAATTTCTCAAAAGCATGATCCAGTCATGAAATTTAAGCCCGCCGAACATGTGCAATGGTATCCCATTGGATATGTTGCTTACTAAAGAATTGAAAGACAATTTAATTGTAGACCATTATAACCGGTACGTTAGCTGGGCAACCAGCTTATATACCAAGAATACCGATGATTCCAACTGATCTGCCAATACCATTTTAACGGCTTCAATTTCCGGTTAAAATATCATCTACACATGTAATAGATCTATGTATGTTTTGATCTTAAAAAACTACGCAGATTTTGATTCGTTGTTATTTAATAGACAGAATAGATAGACTCAAGAGGAAGGTTTATATATAACGACCCAATACTGTACACGGATCTTTAAACGCGCGATAACCGATATATCCCATATTCACGCGGGCAAAGCTGCGAGCTAAAAGCTAGTCACTAAATAAAAACATTTATAATGTTGTTGACTTTTCACCCAAACACGCATAATTATTTGACATAACTGTACAGTAATGAAAGTCCAACGAGTATAATAACAGAATGGCTGCAATTTAGAAATATCTGTATTGTGTAAAATAAAATAAAATTGGATAAAATATCTCTAAACATTAAGGAATATAATTTATATATAATTTGGTAATTTATTTACAATCCACATTGCATACTAGATGATATAACACAAGACAAATGTACGTAAAAATAATAATGGTATTTTTATAAACAATAACCCTATTTTAATTTAGAAAAAAACTACAAAATAAACATAAAGTAAAATTGGTTTACATTTTTCTCTCAGATAAGCGTTATTTTTAAAAATACTAAAATGTTCTCTTTTTTTAATTTTAACAATTAATTGCCATTAGTGTGACGAAATACCATGCTCTTGTGCTTTTCATAGTGCAGCAGGGTAGGTAGGTTTTATTTGTAGCATAACTGTACTTTTGTTTTGGCATGCTAAAATAAATATTATATATATATATATTTAACAACAACTTTAAATTAATATTCGTAGAAATAAGTATATATTAGCAAAATTAATTTAAGTAATATTTAATTACTTAAATTATCAAAATTGTTTAGTCGCACTATACTAATGTTCACTGACAAATGTTTACGAATGTCTTATCGTAGCGGTGTCGTAAAAAATAGCATAGATCCTACCTCGACGAGCGCTAGCGCAGCACTGAGAATTTACTTTTGGCGCAACGGAATTTATACAACTTTAAATTATTATTATTGTTCATTTTTTTCTTAGAAACTTATATTTTTTTTTTATATTTCTAATTTACAAGTATATTAACTTTATTATTATGTTTTTTTATGCAAAAATTTCGTTGTATTTATGAGAAAATTAGAAATGATTATGGCAAAGTTTTGTTGAAATTTCGGGTTTCATTATGATCAATTTTTTAGATATTTAAGTTGAAAATGAAAAAAAGGACGATGCTGTTCCAATTTATAAAGTAATTATCAAGTTTTAGTACAGATATCATATCAATTTATGTTTGTTTATTAATGAACGACGACCCCAAACTTCTGTCTCTTAGCGTTTTTGAATAAACTATTTTAGAAATTAGGAAGACTAACAAAGAGAAAATTAACATTTCAAAGATGTTGTTTTTAAGATTAGATATCTATCTATATAATTCAGGAATCAAAATGTATATCCGACTCTTAATTTCTTAGAACCAGAACCCCAAAGACCCTGCTTTTAGGCCAAAAAATGTGAAAGGCCTCTTAATCATAACGTCCACAATCGATAAGGCCTCTGACGTATATTGGATAATGGGTGTACCTATATTTATTTATTTATTAAATAAAATATTTAGTAGCAGACCGTTTCAAGGCAGAGGGCAATATCGTATGAATATACCTCATATACCTCATACATGACGTTAATATTGTATATGTATATCCTACATTTTTAATAAAACAGGACCGCCAAGGTCCAGCTCTATAGAAGCCTACCATTGCCTAAATCCATGAATACCAGCAATAGGGATACCATGTCCTTCATTGCCGTTCCAAAAGACTAAATCATTGGTGCCTTTGTACACTGTAATTTCAGTCACATTTCAGTATTAAACACAACTTAAACAGCAAGCCCAATAAATTGACTATAATGTAAATTGCTTCATAAATAAATAAATGAATGGATGATATATACATATTAAAAGGTGTCCTTTAAATATGTTTTCTGGGGGGAAAGGGGATTGATTGAATGTGACCTAAATTACCCATTGCTAGCAATTTACCGTGTCAAGTTGACCTCCATGCGGTTCCTCCTGGAAACCATCGTTATAAATTCCTGGTGAATTTATTTGCGTTGGGCTAACTGACTCAGGTCAGGTCAGATGAGGACAGCCTCATATTATCATTTTCACTGGTACCCCGCCTGCGTAAACCAGCGCAGGCGAGTGCACCATTCCATTATCATCTATTGTGTAATAAAAATAATTTTAAAATATGCCTGATCAAATTGCAAGATCGGGCATATTTTAAAATTACTTTTATTCAACTTTAATTATTTTTATTTATTACTTTATTTAAATACAATACAATAATTATAAAATTTAGGTCATTATGAGTACTCACATGCAACATTGGTACAATGGCGCCAAAATGTCCAGTTCATCTACCATAGGATTTCCTAAGCCTTTTCCATTGTCCAAGAGAATTATTTTATCGTTGTAAATTTCATACCGATGACGGTCACCATTCTGTATTAGAAAATCGAATATGGAGACATCTATCAAATTAAGTATACGTTTGAGACTCAAACTTCCCATGACTTTCCTAAAATCATACAAATCAGTTAGCACTTTGACGATGTTTCTTATTGCTTATAGTAATTTGATAAAAAGTTACTTAACATATTATTACTACTATACTTTAACTTATTATTACTATTGTATTTTAAGTGCATTCTATGGCATCCTTGTCAAACTGCTGAAGAACAGTATTTGTTTTTATTTATGCCCCAACCATAACTACTCAAAATTTTAACATCCATTATATTTAAAATTAAAAACAATGTGTGAATTACTTTTAAACAGGTTCAGGTTCAGGCTTCACAACTCCTAAAAGTTGAGTGTGAGTTGTACTAATAATTTACTTAACTAATATATTATTTTTAACCATATTCCAAGATACTCGAAAATAAACAATGCCATTTTGAAATACTACTGTATTAGTTATTAAGCATGTTACACTCTTACTCAGGCACTTTTTATGGTATGCAATGCACTTACTCCATCAATATCTATGGAAAAATGGTAACAGTTCTAAAAGATACAAAACAAACGAAAAGATATAATATATTTCATACTTACATACATATAATCGTGAAATTATATATTAACAATACTTACTTACAAAAATCATTATCTTTCTCCCACTCCATTTTCTTGCTACTGTAAGAACGCCTCCATGGTGACTTGTATACTTTAAACTGCTTGTCCAAATAAAGGATGGCAGCTCCTTCAATTTCACCATTCCTATCTGGGCATACAGTCTCATTCACTTTACAGTAAAAACATTTCCCATAAATACATAAAGAACCACTTTCTGCAAGTAAAACAAAAATAAAAATCACTACATAAAATATACTGTTAAAAAACAAACATAAGTATATGAATATTCTGCCTTATTTTAGTCTAGTGCTAATAATATTTTATTTATATTAATCTCTATTAAACCATTTATTTATAAAGTAAAATAATTTTTATTTATTCAAATATAAATAACTAGCTGTACCCGCGACTTCGTCCGCGTAAATAATGAAAAAATATTTAACTCAATTAACACAATATAAGTCAAATAAATAAGTTTCATCGTTTTAGCTTCAAAAATGATAAAAAGTAAAAATAAATATTTAATCAATAGGCTAAAAAATAAATTTCAAACTTCTAGCTTTAAATATGACGATACATCTATATAACCTTGGATCTACCCTTTTAATCCTCTTGCAACCCTTTTTCACATTAAAAAGTAACCTATGTCCTTTCTCAGGATCTAGTCTATCTATGTCTGTTTCAAATTTCAATTTAAATCGGTTCAGTATTTTTGGCGTGTAAGCGAGACAAACAGATAAAGTTACTTTCACATTTATAATATCAGTAAGGTATTTAATAAACTAACCCTAAAAAGAGAAAGAAAAAAAGTTTAATCGTTCTAGCTTCCACAACCACACAAACAGCAAATTTCCACAATAACTTTCATTCTCTATTTTATTTTACTACCCCCCCTCTCCCTAAGAGTAAACATTTTACAAACATTGAATATCATATTTATTGATATTTAAACAACAGCCTAAAAATGAGTCTCAATTTGGCGATTTTTTTTATCAATTTGTTTTACGGCTCTGGATACAAGCCCAGCTTAGCCCAACTTAAAGTTTTACAATATAAATTACAAAAATTAAAGTCAATATCCAATGTTAAATAATAATAAATGTCAAATGTTGTTTCCCTGTTCTGAACAACTTAAAAAAAAACTATTAAGTTTTCTTTTTAAGTTGTTCAGTACAATCACAATTTCTTCAAATTTTATTATTTACATTTTTTAAAGAATGTTGTGGTGTGGCACTATCCGAAATTAAATTATTTACCCATTTTTGTAGGTTATACAGAAATAATGTGTGGGTGTTTATTTAAAAAGCATTAACACAAAATTAATAAAGTATAGGTATTAATAAATATATGGTTGTTGTATCAAAATAGAATTTTCTTATTTTTCACTAAAATAAAAACTAACTGTCTTTTTTATAAAATAAATGACCTTTTCATTATGCCATATATTATGGAACTATTTAAATTATTTAGCTGATTGTAAGAAACAAAATGTTGGTTTGTAGATTAATACTGTAAAATTATTATTTGTACGGAAACGATAAAAATATATTTTTGTGCTGCGACAAAAACTAATATTATAAATGTGAAAGTAACTCTGTCTGTCTGTCTCGCTTTCACGCCAAAACTACTAAACCGATTTGAATGAAATTTGGTATACAGATAGTCTAGACCCTGACAACGGACATAGGCTACTTTTTAATGCGAAAAAAGGGTTGTAAGGGGTTAAAAGGGGGGATGAAAGATTGTATGGAAGAATCGTCATTTTTGAAGCTAGAAGCTTGAAACTTATTTTTGAGACTGTTGATTAAATATAAATAAAAATGACATTCAATGTTTGTAAAAAATTACCCTTAAGGGGGTAAAATAAAATAGGGGATACAAGTTTTTATGTAAATTCGTCATTTTTGAAGCTAGAAGCTTAAACTTATTGTTGAGACTGTTGATTAAATATAAATACATATGACATTCATTGTTTGTAAAAAAATTACCCTTAAGGGGGTAAAATAAAATAGGGGATGCAAGTTTTTATGTAAACACGTCATTTTTGAAGCTAGAAACTTGAATCTTATTGTTGAGACTGTTGATTAAATATAAATACTTATGACATTCATTGTTTGTAAAAACAAATACCCTTAAGGGGGTAAAATAAAATAGGAGATGCAAGTTTTTATGTAAAATCGTCATTTTTGAAGCTAGAAGCTTGAAACTTATTTTTGAGGCTGTTGATTAAATATAAATAAATATGACATTCATTGTTTGTAAAAAAATTACCCTTAAGGGGGTAAAATAAAGTAGGGGATGATAGTTATTATGTAAATTCGTAATTTTTGAAACTAGAACGATGAAACTATTTTCATTGGTTCTTTTGGGATAGATTTTTAAAAACCCCACTAATGTTATAACTGTGAAAGTAACTCTGTTTGTCTTTCTGTCAGTCTTACGCTCCAAAACAAAATAAAAATTTAAATGAAATTTGGTACACAGTTAGTTTACACCCGGACAAAGAATATAGGCTACTTTTGAATGTGAAAAAAGGATTGTAAGGGGGTTGCAATGGTAGGCTGTATGGAAGAATCGTCATTTTTTAAAACTAGAAGTTTGAGACTCATTTTTAGGCTGTTGTTTAAATATCAATAAATATGATATTCAATGTTTGTAAAATGTTTACTCTTAGGGGGAGGGGGGTAGTAAAATAAAATAGAGAATGAAAGTTATTGTGGAAATTTGCTGTTTGTGTGGTTGTGGAAGCTAGAACGATTAAACTTTTTTCTTTGTCTTTTTAGGGTTAGTTTATTAAATACCTTACTGATATTATAAATGTGAAAGTAACTTTATCTGTTTGTCTCGCTTACACGCCAAAAATACTGAACCGATTTAAATTGAAATTTGAAACAGACATAGATAGACTAGATCCTGAGAAAGGACATAGGTTACTTTTTAATGTGAAAAAGGGTTGCAAGAGGATTAAAAGGGTAGATCCAAGGTTATATAGATGTATCGTCATATTTAAAGCTAGAAGTTTGAAATTTATTTTTTAGCCTATTGATTAAATATTTATTTTTACTTTTTATCATTTTTGAAGCTAAAACGATGAAACTTATTTATTTGACTTATATTGTGTTAATTGAGTTAAATATTTTTTCATTATTTACGCGGACGAAGTCGCGGGTACAGCTAGTATAGTTATAATTATGTCTTGAACAAGTAAAACAGAAAACTTAGAGTATTCATTAAGTAGGCCATAACTATTGTTTAAGATCAGAACAATAAACAGAATCCTATTATTATATTATACAAACATTTTATGTTGAATAGGGAAATGAAGTCATGTTTGGTGGAACATAATTACCATTTCTTATCATAGTTTTCTTCAATCCTGATGTCGCTACAGGAACAACATCCTTGGTTATGTGTATTTTCCTAATTACAGAAGGAATGATCCATTTAAAATTTAATGCCATTGCGAGATAGAAAGCAAACACCTCTGAGTTGTGACGATCAAAGCCAGCATAAATATTTCCATGTATTACATCATATAGCTGGTATCTCTTTGGTTTGAAATATAACTTTTGATTCCCCTGTAAATACACAATTAAGATTTATAGCCATTCAATTACAGTATTATGAATGGTCACATCTGTCTTCTGTTTCTGTCACCATACAGGTTACTTTGTAAGCTATTTAAGCTGTTTTGATTGACGCATAAGATATGTCCATCTTGGTCCTACAAAATGGCAATGTATGAGGGTACAACAGCTGTCATAATCTCCATGGTACTCTTCACATTATGTTTCCAACAGCCACATACAATCAGATCAACTACAAGCAGCCTAGACAATACTGTCCCAATAAATAAATGTTTTGACAAATTATTTTTGTTAATAACATACCTGGATAAAAAGTAATAGCTTCATTTGTGTGCCTTTTGGTGCATTGTCCACTAAAGCTATCTGTGAGGTTTGCATGGCTTGTAGTATTTTCCCAGGGACTCCATTGCCATGAGGGAATAATGATTCGTTACTAATCCACTGAACATATAATTACATTATTAAGCACTGTAGATTTAAACATAAATTTATTAACAAATAATGCATGTTACAACAAGTCTTAAATAGGTCAGGTGCCAATGACTAGAATTCTGTTTAGAATATAATCAATATATTTAATATAGATTATAGATATGTATTTAATAGTTTTTTTATATTTAGCGTTTGTATTGGCCTAACAGGCCTTATTAACAGGAATTATTTAATTTTTACTAAATCGCAATCAATGTTAATGACTACCTGATTTGCATAATGCGAAATATTACTTACATTCTCTGTGTTTTGCCACACATTTTTCGTATCGTTGAGTCCAGTTGCATTGAACGATTGCACCAAGTTTCTCTGTATTCGTATAAACTTAGGGCTTTTAATTTTATATTGACTAGGCAGATAGTTGAGGTGATCATATATATCTTTGAAAATACTTGGACCAAGATCCAGTTTAATACCTGGAACATTATATGTAGAGCCCTTTTTCCCGGTTGTGTTTAGGGAATAAAAAAAGTAAATATTAAGTGCAACAAGAATTAATAGGAAAAGTGAAAATCCAAAGGCGTAATTCATAGACATAATTCATGTCAATTACTAAATAAAAATGATTAAATTTGAAGTAGAATCAGTACCTAATTATTTTTTTTCCATTGTCGCATTGTACATTAACCATAATTATTAATAAAATAATACTAATTTGAAATGGAATACAAAATAAACCTAAAAATAAAAATTCAAAATTGCATTAATGTATGACAGTAGTTGCATGACAGATTGACAGACCTGAAATGATGGAATGACAAAACCAAGAGTCAATCGTCACGTAGTTTTCACTACTAAGAGAAATGGTTATGTATTATTTATTAAATTTTAAGTATTACTTTATCTAAACTACCTTATGTTATGATTGATTATTTAGTCGGTACTTATTACCTATCCTATAAATATTTATGATATAGATATTTACTACTACTAAATAACCCTTAAAATCTATACCTATACCAAATCCTTGCAATCTAATGTTTGTGTTGGAGGGAAGGGGATTGTTAGTAATGTGGACTCATGAACCCATTACTAACAATGTACCATATCAGGTTGACCTCCACGCGGTTCCCCCTGGAAACTATCGTGTTAAATTCCTGGTGAATTTGTCACGATGGGCTAACTGACATGACCTCATGCTCATCTTATCATCCTCCACTAGTGCCCCTCCAGCGTAAACCGTTAGCGCAGGCGGGAACACCATCCCATTATCATCCATAAAAAAAACAAATGTTTGTGTTGACCTCGGTTTAGGAGAGTCGTAATTTCGATCCCCGTTTTAATGGGATAGGGGATTGGTTACAGGCGCCTGCTGAAAAGCAGACGCCCTCCGCGACGCAGACGCGGAAAACGAACGACGCTGGGGTGGTTCACCCCAGCAGTACGCTCGGGCAAAGAGCTCCGCTCGAGGCCCGCACCCTACGGTCCGCAAGGCCCAGCGGACGATCTGAAAAAAAAAAAAAGGGGATCGGACACAGGACGGACAGACGAAGTCGTACCAGTCAGTAGTCAATATAGGAATTAAGTATTGAATTCTCTGTAGTAATACCCACATTTCGCTGGGTATAGTAGGCCTATCTATATTTGAAGATGACGTGTAAGGTCACGCTTTCCGCCGCGACGTCTCTCACGTAAATTTGGTTTGTTATCCGTATTTCCATCGCCGGATAGTCATACTAAAATATATATTATATAATACATACGCAGAACTTTGCAATTATCCATTAATGTGATGTTGAGCAAAATGAATCGTTCGTTATAGAAGATTTTTATTGTTAGATTAATTTGCTGAGATTTACTTAAACTCTTAAATATCTGCTCAAAGAACATGTTTAATTTAAAATTAAGATGCAAACAGACTGCAAAAACCAAATTGCGTCTGTTTATGTTTGTTTGTCGAGACGTGAAGTCGCGTGATATACGAGCGTCGGCCCGGGGGTGTTTGCCGATACTAACGCGATTACGGCCAATCAGCTACGTCGCCGCCGTAATTGGGCGCCCCCGACGAGGGCGGGCGCTCTTTTAAACAGTTTGGGCAAACACGTTGCAGACTATAGTGTCAACTCTGGACTGGTAACCACATGCGATCTGTGTGATACACGTAACTCTCTAATGCTCATATAGATATACTGTCACGACTATTATTTCAAGTAGGGTAGTTGAAAATTGTTTATTGTCGACGTCATTAAATATGTTATCGGTGTATCCTTGTCCAGAAATATTAATTGACACACTACCTACTACTACTTTTGGGTGTAAGCCGGGGTACTCTACTCAATCACAACGCTGTTAGGTATATTCAAACATAAATAAATAAATAACCCTAGACAATTCACACAGCGCTGCAACGCCACTAATATCGGACTCGGAATAAAATAATTTAAATGTATACGTTACATCTGCTTATGTACCTTTTATTTACATTTCTATTTGTCAGAGAGTAAATAATATAGGTACATTTATCATCTGGTACCAAACTATGAACAGTTATTGTGCTATGGATACTAGAATTATAGATATATATAGGTATATTGTCATTATTGTAAATTCGTACATTTTAAATACAGGAAACATACATACATACATATATACATGTAAATTCATACATTGGATAAACAGAAAAACTTCTAGATAAATACAAACAGTCATAATCATACGTATGAAAAAGTTTGTATCCGGCGAAATTCGAAGCCGCGATCATCGGAAGTAAGGCGGATTAAACCACTAGACAAACGAGGTCGTCAAATATCGGTAGGTTCTACAAGTAAGCATGATTGAGAATAGCTTACCGATTCTCATTATATATATCATTTAGTATCATAATTTCCCTTTTCTTATCTCTATCAATTTGGACCGACGACGGCGGGTATACTGTCCTCTCGCATTGTTCACAGTTATGTTAGTATTCAATCCCTTTCTTTTTTTTAACTGTAAATACTATTATTCACGAAATCCACGCATTCTGTTATTCATCCATACCTTCTTTAGAACATTTTATTCATTTGTCCTCATTCGCATTACCTGAAATTACAGCTGAAATATTATTACATAACCATACCAAGATAAAGGATTTAGTATATAACGCAGTACCTATATCATACCTTTAGAATACGTTATCACATTTTATTTATACCTCCTGAAATTACCTAAATCTTCTTTTCTGTTCTCTTTTTAAATTGATCGACAAAATATGCTGTAGTCATTGAAGGAAATTTCATGACAAGACTTAATTTTTCTACTAAAAAGTCGTTACTACTACGAAAATGTATGGCTACAAAATTTATCATTGCGTTATACACGTTGTATATTAACAATGCAACGGGTTTGTCGGCGCGTTGGGCTCCGCTGTCATCAATCAGGGCTGCAAATGTACAAACAATATCACTGCCGGTCCACCTCCGTCCCGTACCCGGCACCCGGCAAGCCGGCACCCCTGATTTATGTTACCCCAGAACGCGATCTCATCTGTATCACTCATAAGTACATTTATAAGTACATTTCAAAACAAAATTCATTAATTCGTTTCTGTTTATCTGCACCGCAATAATTCAATAATAATATATTATAGACAGTCAGTCACATCTCTATACCTACACAATATAGACTATCTATTATAGCTATATATATATACCTACTTACCACAAACATAGTGGTTATTTGCTCAAGGTGTAGGTGCAACAACATGAGTTTTAAGAATGTTTTTTAAGGATTTAAAATTTTTGATTATAAAAAAAACTACTTTTAGCAAATTTAGTATGACCACAGATAATATAATATTACATAGTATGACTAACCTAATGAAAGTAAATTCATGGTTGGTACCTTTGGATTAAAAAATAAGATTATATACTCAAAAAGTTCAATAACATATGAGTAGTAGGTCATAAAATGAGAACCTACTTTGATTGAATTTAAAATATATTTTTTGTACGTGGCCGATTTCTTTGTACCTGCCTACTTAATTTTAATAAAATTTAGTACATAGATAACAGACACATTGACATAATAAGGCTATCTCTGTAGATAGGTATTTGCTACGAATAGATATTCGTCAGGCACAACCGCAGACGTGTTACTTGTTACATACGTATGTTACTAAGCTGGATCATGATAGTTTTTTCCATAGGATAAGGCAATGAAGATCTTTCTTTAGACAGGAATATTTATAACAAAATTTCGATATCGCTAACTCGCTTGGGTGAGGGGAAACGCAAGATCTCAGAATAGAGATAAAACGAATATTGATGAATACCTACGTTGTACTTTTTTTTCGTAAGTTTACTTGCATAAAAAAAACGGAATTTTTCTTTTTTCTCGTGCTTTTAGAAGTATGTCTATAGGTACGACAAATATTTGTCAATATCACACATTCATACTTAAGAAATTCAAAAGGCTTATCCCTCTAATATGTATTTATTATTAATTACATACTTATGAACAAATCATTAAATCCATATGACTAATAAACACTGCCTTCTAATCGAATAAATTAGTATTTACAATAATTTTTAATAAAACTTATTTATTAAATAAGTAATAATAGCGATAATTTAAATTTTATTGTGAAGCTTAATTCCATCTAAATAACTAATGAGATCATCGACATTTCCAATACTCGTACACTTATCACAGTTTATTAATTTACATTTACTTACTTCACAGTTCATTTGCTCATTTGGTCAGATTAGTTCCACTTTCGTCGCACAATATATAACTCGTACATAATACAATTCAAAGCGAGGGTATTAACTTGCACAAACACGTATACATTATTTATATTTAACAATTAAATTGTAAGAAATTGAGACATTCATAATGAAGAACAGTTGACAGTCAATGGACTAACATAATGTATAAAATCATCAGATAAAAGAATATAGGTAGATGCATATCTAATAATGTTTTGAGGCCAAAATAGAACAGATTGTGTACCTATTTCATAATTTATAACTAGAATATTTTAAAACAATGGAAATGTTTAATAAAAATAAAGAGCCAATTGAATTAATTGACATTGCTCTCTGATTTTGAGATTAATATTCTTAAATATGGTTTCGTTACGAAAACTGGGGTAGGTTTGATTTTGATATTTTTGTTGTATATTGTTCGATATTCGATTTATTCTTTTAGTTTTTTGTATCTCAGGAGATAATTACTAATTATAACTAATAAGAAAATATCTTTTGTTAATTAAAAATAAAATATATAATGATACTTAATATGGGAAAAAAGATACGTTACCAAACAGTTTTGTATTTAAGTTTTGAAGTCTAACCACCTTGTTCATTCGAACAGGCTATGTCTTCTTATACATCAATAGATTTTTTAGTTATATATTTGTTTCTATAGATACATATACCAAAACAAAAAGTTTCATCATTTTTCAACTATCAACCTTTTCAACATTACACTTGAAACGTATAATTGAAAAATATTATTCAATAAAACGAACGAAAACTTCAATGACAACAAAATAGTAGATATAGGACAGCAATAACTATAATCTGTTTTAAAAATCAGTTAAAATTTGGCGATTAAAAGAAATCATCAAAATTGGGGAAGAATTATCTTAATATACCTACACAAAAACAGTCCATACGAAAATTTCCTTGCTTTTGAAGTCTTGAAATAAGTCTTTGTGTATAGAAATAAGTTTAAATGCAATATTTCATATTGGTGACCATCCTCGTATCACTCGGTGGGTTCTGGTCGGCTATGTGTCGGCAGAAGCGGACGCGGGCTGCGGCGGTGGCGCGGGCGGCGACGGAGCCCTAGCTGCGGCTAGCGCGGCCGCGTGCCGGCGCGCCTTCAGTCGAAGGTCGGCGATGGAGGACGAGCGGCACCTGGCCGCGAGCGCCGCCAGCCCAGCGTACGGCGGACACAATGCAGCCGCTGCCGCCGCTGCTGCACTTGCATACTGCATCCGATATTAGATACACATTAATTTGTTTTTTTTTTAGTTTATACTAATAAGGTGGCTAACAAGCATACGGACCATATGATGGTAAATGGTTACCCTAGCCAAAGGACGCCTGAGACATCAGGGGTGTTGCGTGCGCGTTGCAGAACCTTAAGGCAGGACGTTCATTTCACAATCTAAGTGTACGCGGGAGGAAGCTCCTCTGAAACCGCACTGTCCGAGACCACTTGGGACCACAGGTTCTAGCATGTGGGGATGAATTCCCTGTCGAAGTCAAGCAGTGCGATGGTAATTAATGTTAACCACCGACACAAAAATAATTTAAATAAGCATAAGATCTAAGACCTGCGTCTCACCTAGGCTACGGTAATTATTTACCATCAGATGGGCCGTATGCTTGTTTGGCACCATCGTAGTATAAAAATAAAACTTATGTCGGCCGTCAACCAACTTGTTTTCCGTTACGAAAGGTGAGAGTGGTATTATTATTTTTTTATAACATAGGCAATGATCGAAAAAAAATAGACACTGACTTGATGCGCAGCGGCGGACAGCAATGCAGAATCGAATGGCGCAAACGCAGCTGGCGGTGGTGGGTGTGGTGCCAGGGGCGGCAGCGGGGGCGGCGGGGGAGGGGCACGAGGCACTGCTGACAGGCGAGGCACTGACACGTACGGCGCTACACGGCACGGCTCCAGAGGCGTGCCACCACCACCCACCAGAAGACCTGCACACACTTTACATTGTAAAGACCAGCTGTTGTGTAAAGAAGTGTGACTAATAATATAAATGCAAATATGTGTTAACTTCTAACGGCTTAATTAAATTTAACAAAGGCTTTACCTAATTATTCTAAAAAAAGGGAGACGAGGTACGGTATCAAATAATAGTGCCGTCAACACAATTACAATAAAAATAATATATCTGAGAATGTAAATATTGATACCTCTTCAGATGATATGAAATGCAAATGTAACTTGCTAAGGTCTCTAGAATTAAGAGAGCTGGGCGATTTTATCAACGGCTAGATAAATAAATAAAACGTACAATGTCCGACATTTAATTTGTAACAAGCTAATCGAGCGCAGTCGAACGACAATTCGCACTGATCGAAAACGATTGACAGAGACAAACGAGTGATTACGAATTGGACTGGGGAGCGAGCAGCGCCTCGACGCCGAGCAGCGCGGCGGCCGGGCGCAAATCCGTTCAGATCCGTTCCCGAACTCCACTTAATTAAATTGATATTTAAGTAAAGCATAATTTGCTCGTAAATTAACTGAGATCCGTTGTTTATAGCCGCCTGCCGGGCGAAGTGGGCAATTAATAAATTAACGCGGATCTAACCGACTTAAGGTGTTCGGTGGGTCTCGTCTCGTCTAAAGGATTCATTAATTTAATTACTTACTCTTACCTTAAGCTTTAACCCTCGATTATACTGTTATAGATAGAACTGTATAATTTTAATTAATTACGCCAATAATATTGAATTATTTTGATGTTCTTTTTTAGTTTTGCCTATGTAAGAACCTACCTACTTATGTGGAACTATAAATCAATTTTGTAACGGTCCACAAATATGATATCAAATTTAGTTTCCATGTTGTATAATCTTATGATACAGTTGTTGCGTTGCACTAAATAACAGATATGTTGTGATATAGCGGGAGTAACATGTATGTAAAGGACTATTACCAAGTGGAGGGCGGGCGCCGCGTGCCGCCCGCTCGGCGCTGACTGTAAATCAGGACTGCTCCGGTCGCCGTTGGCATTATTAAAATGGATGCTCCCCGCGTGTATGAGTTATTTCCATATTTGACACCGAATTACTTTCGAGAAGTGCCGACATAAATACGAGCGGGTGCGCGTCCGGCACCCACGCCGCCCCCGATCCACGCCGTTCGCCTCGGCGACCGCCATGCATTTATTTGATTAACTCTGAGTTGTTTAATTTAATCGAATTATAAGGTAAGCCGGCGCGCGTCGCGGGGTGTTTCTCCTCTCTCGCGTTTATTTTAAACTGTTCCGAACATCTTTACAGCGGTTTCTGCGCAATAAAATATCGCCACCCTCCCGGTTCGCGAACAACTTTACAATTTTATGAACAGGGGAACAATTAGGCGTCGGTGTATTCTTTTTATTCTTGAATTTCACGGCGTTGTGATTGTTTTTATAGCGGGCATGGCGCCTTACGAAGATTCATCTCTTCGTTAAAAATGAATTCGTAATTTTATGAAGATAGAACACCTACTTTTTATTATTTGTATACACAGGATTAGATACCTACAATCTTTCCTTGGATATTTATTCTCTATATATAAAGATACTCTATAATTGGATCCTGTTGCTTAGTTATTGGATATCGTAGTTAAAGATAATTAAACTGTCATCACTACAATTAGGCTTTGGTAGACATTTATCTATGGGTATCTTCCCAACCAAACTGATATAAAACAATTTTGCCATGTTAATCTAAAGAAATAAGGGGTAAAAGAGACCGACCGAAGAGTACTCAATCACCTAAAGGTAGTAAAAAACGTACTTTATGTAATCTTCAATTTATATGAATTTAAATAAGTGAACCATAACACAAAATTAAATGTCGCACAGATAAGTATAATGACACCACAAACGATTGCGTAAATCAATAACAACATTGGGAATCTCGACGCTCAGTCAAAGGGGCATAATATAACAAATAACCGTTTCATTTCACTTTACATGATTGTTCTCGTGTTAGCCGGGGTGGTGCGCGGGCCGCGGGGGTGGGACATAAGTTAATAAGACATTTAGCAGGGGACGGCGGGATTGCGTCCGAATGGCTCCCCGGGGGAATCATTTTATTCGATTCCGGGGAGCGGCTTTTTTCCGCTTTACGCTCCGTTTGTCTGCAAAACGCTGTGCTCTCACAGTCGCTGTTCAGAGTTGGAAATCGGCCTCTTCGCTTGCTGGCGTAGTCACCTCTCGTTTGTTGATATGACGTTATCAATGTGGACATCCCATTACCGCAGAGTGACATGAATTGAATCAAAGCAATTTCTTCGTACTTTCGTTGGTGTTACTGGGTATGTAGGGCGTTCATTTTCCCTGACTTTGTTTTATTCGTTATAGTAATCGACAGAAATCAGTGTCGGTGATCGCCGTAATTTCTTTTATATATTAATTAGTTTTTATTTATGTAATTTTATTTCATAGCAGGCACTACTTTAAAATTATATAGGGCTGTGCAATTTCTTGCAAGAAGGCAGTAAAAAAGAAACGGTTAAAAACTTATTGGGTTCCGTGGGAATATTTTACTTAATCTCCTACATTTTAGGATACCTTATCTGCAACATATGTACATATACATATGTACATTAAAGTACACAGTATTAAAAACAATTAGTAAATACTTTTGCTTAGTTTAGTTTGTAATAGTAGAACATTATATAAATTACAACTACAGTAGGTACTCCCCGTACTATTACTGATTATGTTGTCATCACTCAAGAAACAGCATATGATTGTGGCATACATGCTTAAATTTTTCGTAGTAAGGAACCACATATTTAATTAATTATCGAACAATTGTGTTTTCGTCCAAATATGACGTAAGTAGGTCATATTATATGTAATAATAACTGTAAAAGTTTAAGCATACATGTGCGTGGTTGTCTTTTATTTAGAATGGTTATTTTTTTCGTAGATGATACACCGATGTAGAACACTGTACCGTCTACACTAACAGATAGAGGGAGAGCGAAGACTACAATTAATTTTAGGTTTATATTTTCCCGACATTACGACTTTACATTATACTTATTTATATTATAAGATATACATCAATCACATATAATATAATATAATAGTAATAAATCAGGTAGGATTTAAACTTTATAACTAGTATTTACATAACCTAATTGTATCTAAAATAAAAAGCTTATACTTATTTATATTATTATTCATATACAAAAAGCCAGATCTCGGACCCTAACATTCTTAATTGAAGGTAATAATTTATCAAAACTTATGACTGATCTTCTTACATGGGACTCAAATCTTGACCAAAAGGGAGGCATGATCACTCGATCGCTAAGTGCGTTGCGCAATTTCCCAAATTTATCGCCTCGTGTGATCTCTTTCCGCGTTTTTTACCGCGTTCGCGCGGATTCCCACTTCGACCCGCCATTTTAATTATTCATCCGCGTGAGTTATGGTCGAATTAAAAAACTGTTAGAGTCGGACCGGCGCCGGCGGGAGCTGTAATCGAGTTAGACGGAGTCATGGAGAATACATAATGTTCTTTCGCTGCTATCACTAGCGAACTGGTAGATAATTTGTACCGCATGTAGGTAGGTATAAAAGAGCAATATCGCACGAATGAACTGATGTGATTATACAACGGAATGCAGTCAACTAGCCAACGACATGGTTTGCCAAAATCATTTGCAATTTGTTGTTTTCGACTACATTAAACGGAACATTCTGTAATGTAATCAACTATAATGGTTAGCTGGTAGAGTACGTGTATGAAATGCAGAATTACAGTGTAAAAGGTAATAAAATAAATGGACAAATAAAGATCAGTGTTATACTCACACAATAACACAAAATAATACCAATGAAGAAAACTACTCTATAACAAATTATATAGAGACGCACTCTACATATAAGTGGTAACAGAGTATTTTTATTTATTTATTTAAAGTGTATAGCAAATAAAAACCTGGCCAATTCGTACTACGCCATCTAATCTCAAACTAAGCAGCGCTTATATTATCGCTAGACAACTTATAGACGTACTTAAATACCTTATTTGGAATTATATTTATAATATTCTTACAAATATAAAGAGACAAATAAAAACAGTACTTAAGGTACGAATGCTTCTATTACAGAGGAATCGAACTCGGGTCTAATGGAAGGTAAGGTAATGTAATCTCTTGGATTTACCTAATTATTATATAGTATAAAACAAAGTCGCTGTCGCTATCTGTCCGTCCCTATGTATGCTTAAATATTTAAAACTACGCAATGGATTTTAAAGTGGTTTTTTTTAATAGATAGAGTGATTCAATAAGAAGGTTTATATGTATAATACATGTACACCCGTGCAAGCCGGGGTAAGTATAAAATAAAATCGTAAATATATTAAGAACTTCATAAATTTATATTAACTTACCTTTATGCATTTGACTTTCATGTTTGCGACATTTCGCTCGTCGGTTTTGAAACCAGACCTGGAAAAAAATTAGATTAGTGTTATATGTTAACGTTTAACGCATTCCCTATCCTTTAATATTTTAAGTTAAGTTTCAAATAAATATTTTGGACCGGACTGGAACCGCAATCACTCGATCAGAGATATTGATGATTGATGATTACCATTGTGTTGTCAGACCTACTTATTGGAATGTGAAAAATAATAATAACTTCAATTAATGAACGTATAAAAATCAGAATAAACGTTTACGGTGTGGATTAATTCTAAGGAGAACAATTATGACATATTATAGGTACCTACGAGTACCTACTAGGGGATACTGCATAACGCATCGTGAGCTACATACAAGGGAAATGCTGGAAATTTTACTTTTATTTCTTGTATTCAGTTACTCATTTAGACACGGTATATTTCATGCAAAAACATTGTTTTATGACAATACTTGTGTTTTCTAATTATGATGTATTTTGAAGGACTACGTATTTTACTATACAGTCTCAAGTCTGTAATATTAGTGCAATACGAAATCCGTCTACAAAGTTAGTACCTAACTCAATTTTAGCCAATCTACTTCATAAATACATATCATCACGACTGATATCCCGACTGGGTAGTCAGAGTATTGTCAATTGTCGACGTTCTTTTGGTATGCGATACTTGACTTGCCCACTTTTCGCTAGATATGTTAGAATCCTATGAGATGGGTTAAATTTTGGTTTTGTTATTGTTGTTACCTTCACCAAACAATCAGTCAGAAATAGAAAATGTTATTCAATTTATTTTTGGTTTAGCCAAATTAAAACGCATGGTTGTAAACCACTCAATATAGAAAACCACTAAGCGGTTCTTGACGAATTTAATATTATAGATATAGTTATATTTACTAGAATTATTATATACTCTCATTAAAAAAACATTCACTAATAGTTGCATAGACAAACGGACATATGCACTAAAATCCATACAATTTCAATATTAGTTATAGGTTCACATCAAATCCAGTTTCGATAATTGGTAAAACACACAGGGGCAACGTCCCGAATCGAATGGGATAGCTGCTGTAATCTCGTTACTGTGAACAACATTCATATATATACTTCATGTGTGTACTTTAACAGACGTGTGGACATGTTTTGTATAGACATGCATACAATTATAGTATGTATAGATGTAGAGATACACGACAGACAAACACAGATAACCGCATTAGTGTGGGCAATACGCGCAGTATTCATTGCGTGGTCCATAGAAGATGTTGTCCTAAAGTTAGTAACAAGGAGTTTTTGTACCTACTTGAGCATAAGAAACTCCTCGATTCTAACTTGCACTTTACTAAGACACAAAACAACGCAGTCATATAACCTGCTTCTTTCTTATCCCATTCATTTGGGATCGGCGTAATATGTTTTTCTCTTCCATTCATCCTTGTTCGCAGTCATCTTGTTATTTACTCACTTTCTTACCAAATCATCATTCACACAGTGCATCAATTTCTTTTTCGGCCTTCCTCGGCACTTATGACAATCCACATTCAAATGTAACACCACAGTAATATTGAAACATATTACTTAAATGTTTAAATAATACTAAAAACTAAGTAAATATTAATTGACTGACTTCATTAATCTTAATTTTTCGTTATTATTTTTGTGAATAATTTTAGATGGTAATTCTTAGCTAAAGGTGTGGGTAACAGGTAGCATGCAAGAAAAAAGCAAATAATTAATTACATATTAACCTGACAGGAGATTTGTGGTACGAATACTACCAACTTACTAATTAGTAATTTTATAACAAAATTCGATGCGTAACTTTGCTTTTGTCTCAGAAGAGCATAAAGTTTACATGTTTTATCTGGATATAAAACAATAATATTCTTATATATATTCAATGACAAAGCATTGGCAATTGACGTATAAATACATCAATTTCGAACTGTACTACGGATTTTGTCCAAAACCTGTCTGGATATGGCTCTACGGAAAACGTAGACTAATCGTAGCGATTCGTAGCACCCATACTGTTTGTGTTTCATGCTTACACAGCGCAATATTATTATTATTTTTTTGTTTAAATCCAATAATAATAATAAAATAACTGTGACAGAATCGTGTCGAATGCGTGTCAATAGAATTTCGTAACCTCTTCTGGGATTAAGATGATAATCTTCAACTGTGTTTAAGTTGCAATCACATTCACACGAATTTTTTAATTCACACGAAATTGGAATGTGAAACACGTGAATAATACCTAAGTAAATATATGTTTTATTAATTTTCAAACAATAAACTTGGATAAAATTTACAGTAATACAATCCTTATTTTTATTTATGACAAGACAATTATCAATTAAAATAGTTTACGTCGTAGCTGGCCCAAAGGTTCCCATAATGCTGGCAGCATTTCCGCACTGAAGTGCTAAAGAAATCCTTTGAGATATATAGAATCCATAATATCGATCATGGCCTTCATCCAAAATATTTTATCATGATATTCTATATGTTATTCGATGTGAGTACCTTTGGAGCTTATTTATTATATAGGATATTTATAACTATTTGCGGGACTCGCCATTTATCAAAGAGCTTAGAACTAGTGAGAACTACTGAGAACCAAGAACAATCTGATAAAATCTTAATTTCGATGAATACTGAAGCGTAATGAATTTTGAAGACCCTTTGTTGGTATAATAAAACTGATTGATTTAACTATTGCATTGTTTATATATACTATAGATGTAGGTGCTACTAGTATAGTAGCGTCTGTATGTATGGTTGTACATACGCTCGCTGAATCTTTAACAACGTGTGTGAGCGAGTCGACGGTCGACCGATACGCTAACTAGGGGCGCATTCATTAGCGTTGATTACATTAGACAATACGACTAAATAACAAGTAAATACACAAACATACCCTTTTATGTAAAACAGTTGTTTGAGTTCAATTTGCAATAGGTTATAACGTGCCTGTAAGGTGAATATTGAATTTGAATCATTATCTACATAATTTGAAATTTATGATTCCTACAAAATGAAAAGTTTCAGATCCTCTTTATTCTACTGTAGGTATTGCCTATGTTTTTGTGATATACTCATATTTGTCAATTCTGACCTGATAATATTTTGATAATAAAATAGTGTTAAATGTTTTTACGAAATACATAGATATACCAATTATGAAAATCGAAAAGGATGTATTAGAATATCAGATAATGATATAAAAAACGATAATAACGCTTATTTAATTAGTAGTATAACGTATGTAAATACGTTAAATATTTGTAGACATCGAACTTCGACATATATTAAACATTTAAGAAAGTTGAGCACCATTAATGTGGTTTGAAAAAATGAGTTTTTTTTTCAGGGTGCATATATTACTATTCGCATACTAAGTCTACATATCGCTTTTCTAAAACAATACATTTTAACATTGCACGTTTATATTACATACTAGCTATAATCGCGACTTCGTCCGCGTGGAATTTTAATTTTCTAAAATAAAAGTAACTTAGGCTAAGTTACTCCTTATTACATAAGCTAGGTACCTGCCAATAAAAGTCCAGCTCTTTTAGAGATTAGCCGGAACAAACAGACAGACAAAAATTGTAAAAAATGTTATTTTGGTGTATGTATCGTATTTATATTCATATGCATGTAGTAAAAAACGGTTATATAGATATAGATTACATGAGAATTACTATAGATCCAATTCCTAATTAAACAAAAATATCGACAAAATAAATTATGTCCAATTATCCAAAGATTGATGCTAATGAAAACTAATAAAGTTAAAGTGATTGTCCCACTTGACACTAGTGAAGACGTAGTTGCTCCGGTCAGAGCTTTTATCTATATTCCCCGCATTTTTACGCCCCGGTCCCCTACCACGGACATGGCACTTAACGCCGATCGGGCACTAATCGCAATATATGGCCGATAAACTCACTTGTTGGACGATCACAGCTAATTACGTGCATTAGTAATAAGGGGTTGCGTTATGTACGCTACAATTACAAGGGTAGGTAAAATAATCGTCTCGTAATGAATATTGAACATCATAACTTTAAAAAATAATGTAACATTAAATAAACCAGACTAGTCATAGTGATTTCATAAATAGATAGCAATTTTCCTATGTCTTCTTGTGATTGCGAGAAATAAGAAAATACGTTATCCTAGACTACTATGACGTAATTTTTTAGTTTAAAATCTATAAATATTCATAGCTTGAGTCAACGTCTTAATATGAAATACATTGCAAAATTTATACCGGCATTTCAAACACAAGAAGATATTAAATTCACCTATTTATTAATTGAATCAGTTATTATTCCTGTTAATTTTTTTATCTACAAAAGTTATTGTATGTAATATGTAAATTTTATAATGTAATACCACAGATAATATAAAATTACATAGTAATACTAACAATAATAATATAAAGAAGTAAAAGTTTTGAGGTTGTATAGGATAATCTCTGTAACTACTAAACCGATTTAGATAGAATACTGTTACGAATAGAAAATTGTGAGTTACATGGTTTGTTACATGGTATTTGTGAGTGTTATAGGCTATATTAATTAATCATCGTCGCTGAATGTGTGAATCACAGCCGCGAATCAGTCAGCTTTTTATACAATTGCAAATTTAAGATTACGCCAAATTATAAATTTCTATGTTTTATATGGTAGCAGTTGTTTCATCATAAAAAATCCAACAACAATTCTAATCTACTTTTGAATAATATTGAAAAATATCACTATTGATTTTATAACTATTTTTCCCAATATCAATCAATATGTTTATTTTCATAGGTCTAAAATACTTTCTACTTGATTTCTGAATAGCGTTATAATAATAACAATAAATCTGGAAAAATGACACGTCGCGTCATCTAATTCCAAGCTATGCAGAGCTTGTATTATCGGTTAGTACTTAGTACCCATGACAACTGATGTAAATACTTAAATACATTTATTGCCAATACGTAAATAATATACATAGTGAACATCCAACCCAATACAAACAATCATACTCATCAAAACAAGTTTTCAACGCGCGAGGAATCGTACCCACATTACCTACCTGAACTCGTGCTTCGCTGAGACCTAGTCGTTGACTGAGCTCTTCCCTCATGAATGCGTCAGGATAATGGGTCTCGTCGAACAATCTCTCCAATTCGCCGAGCTGCTCCAGTGTAAAGTTAGTTCTAGATCGCCTTTGCTTGCCACTGTTATTTCCCACGCCATTGAGGGACTTGTCCGTCGGATCTGTTAAAAAATATGATACAATGAAATTTGAAATATAGGCCGGTTTTACGTCAGAAATGAAAAGGAAATGGCGGAATAATTTAAAGTCCTACCAGGACAAGTCGTGATTTTGAAATTTAATTAATAATCAATAAAAATCTGTATTATTTATATTTCTATGACTAATTCCCCGGTTATGAAAACACCTAAAACGAACCACCAATGTAACCCCTGGAATGACAACTTGTGTGTCGCGCCAAGTCTTGCGTTCACCATCACACCATTGTAAATAATGTCTGACCACCCCATCTGGGATTACAAAGGTATAGGTAATATCTGTAGTTGTACTAAGTATATCTTATATATAAAATTCTCGTGTCACAGTTTTCGTTCCCATACTCCTCCGAAACGCAAGCCGTTCGGAGGAACTTCTCATGAAATTTTGTGAGCGTATTGAGTAGGTCTGAGAATCGGCCAACATCTATTTTTTATCCCCCTAAATGTTAGGGGTAGTCCACCCCTAATTTTTTTTTATTTTAAGGCAAAACAACACGGGACAGCTAGTATTATATAATAATCAATACGATACATATTATACATTATATATACTTACATATATGCTTCATTCCTTTTCTCAACTTATTAATTTCTTTCTTTTAATTGGTTTGTAGAGAAAAATCTGAATATAGAATATTCAGATCTCTAAGTACCTGCTTTAAATTTTTAAAGAAGTCGGAGTACTATTACACAATCGGGAGGAGTACTTTGGTGTACCAAAATACGCTAAATGTCATATAAAATTAAAGATAATGTTCTAAACATGTTTGATTCGTAAAAAATACCTATCCGTGTACATAAAGATTTTTCAAATTAATCTATTATATGCTACGATACAGAGTTAGACTCTAGCATTAAATAGAATAACATTACAAAAAATGGTCAACCAATTCATAATGTAAACAATTTAATATTCATTTATTTGGGTCCTAAAGTAAAAGATCTCGAAGAAGAAGGTCATGATTCACAGCACTAGGCGATGCCTTGGGCTCTGTGTCAGTACCTTCCATTTATATTAGTCGCGCTGACAAACGAACGAGCGGGTGATACGTTCAATGTCGTTTAAAGCAATTTAGCAAATTGGGAAGCTCTCTTTTTATACGGCAATTATGTAAATGGAGAGATTATCCAAGTGTGGGCGGCGCTGTGGGCCACACCCGCTCTCCCCTTTCGTCTCGAGGGCTTCCAAACTCTTAGACATTTATCGACCTGAGAACAGTGATTAATTGTCGAATGCCCCCGTTAAATTCTCACTGCCAGTGATTTATTTGATTGAAAAGTCTTTTCCAGATATCCATTAAGGGCTTTTTCATTCCGTTTGTTTCGTCTGTCTCTTTACGCTAATCCCCAATGATATTCATTAATGATTGTTTAAGATCCGGATTATTGTTATTGAGTCTTTGATATAAGTACAAGAATAGAAATTTATCACTTAATTCCTAATCTGAATTGTGAACTGATTTAATTTATAGAGGTACTGTTTGTATTTGTCAAACTAATTTCGATATAAGAACATTACCTAATAAAATTTTATCTTTTAAATCGTGTTCATTGAAACGAAGACACGTGCAGATATTGCAGATTTATAATATTACATCTCCATTTTAATTAAAAAATAAATACAAATCATATCTACTGATCTTTCCATACCAATTTTTTCATTGGTTACCATATTAAATTCTATTGCAATTTGAAGGGAATACAGATTTTATCACAATAATAGACGTAAGCGATCTTTTATTAAAAAAAACTATTATATATGTATAAACCTGCTACAAATAACTAACTGTATCCGGCGATACTACTTACCCGCTAAGCAATATCAAGTCAAGATTTTTTTTATGATTATTATATTGAAAGAAAAAAAGAAAGAAAGAAAGAAAATTGTTTATTTGGTACACTGAAAATAATTTAAAAATTTTAATTTACATTTTATCGGTTTATAGATTGCAAATAAATTAAAAACCTCTTTTGTCGGGGGGAAGTTATTAATAATGGGGAATAGGAACTAATAATGTATCTAATACGACAGGTAGTAGATACATTATTAGTCGAGTTCCATGAGGTTACCCTTGGAAACCATCGTGGGTAATTCCTGAATACACCATTATGAGCTAATGGACTTGAACCTCACTACTAGTGCCGTCCTAACATACATATCTGTGCAGTTAGCACAGGGAGGAGATGGGATTATTAGTAATGGGTATTAGTAGTCCTATTGCTAGTTACGCATCGTGTTAAGTCGACCTCCACGCGGTTTCTCCTATCGCGGTTTAAACTATCGTGGTTACTTCCGAATAAATTCGCCATGATAGACCTGACTTCATCCTTAACATCATTCAGCGGTGTCCCGACAACGAATACAGTTAGCGCAGGCAAATGCACCATATCATTCACCCAATAAAAAAACCGTTAGCATAGGCGAGTGCATAATTTCATTTTCACCCATGAATACATATCTCTGCACCGTGCGAGAAATCGAACTTACTACCATTGGAAGTTAGGCGGTGTCCTAAATCTAGACCACCGAGGAAGCCAATTTTTTTATGTACGAGTATTTACATGTTTCATTTCTAAACATGTTGCTAGAATGCAAAGTTGAAGACCAATTCCGGAATTAGGACTCTTGCCCACAAATAAACCTAAGTTCTAAAAACGACTTTTTTAACCTCGATAACAACGTGACTTTTAGATCGAAACGCTTTTTTATGTAATTAACTTTAGGTTTTTTAGGTTTTAGATATTTATTCTCATTAAGAATTACAAATAATTCACTTAACATGAGAACTAAAAGCATAAACTTATACAAAATTAAACATTAGTGGAAATACAAAAGAAGGTGTACATATATAATGCGGACGGTGCAGTAACAAAGTCTACGCAGTAACTACCCGCATAAATGATAACATTTATTGGTTGCTTACCGCGCATAGATGGCCACTATTAACTAGCTGACACCACTGTTGCCTGACTCTATGACGATACCCATGATATCAATCTTGCGTTGCCCTTTCAGACGACTAAGGTATTAAGACTTTTAGCCTGTATTATCACTGCCTTATCTGATTTTACAACCGAATTTTAGAAAAGCATCGCCTAAGAGGATTTTGCGTTAAAATTATGTTATGCGACTATGCCATTTTTTTAAAGGAAAATAAATTTAACGTCAAGCCATAATAATGTATCGGTGTTCTATCTTTTTTAAAAATCATCCCCCACCGTGATAAAGGGTATATTTATTAATGTTGCCAATTCATAAAAATCAGATAAAGTAGATTGAACTGATTGCATTAGTTCTTTTATGGGAATAGGTATAAAATTTTACAATAAGATACCAAAGGATATATTGGAATTACCCTTAAATAAATTCAAAACATCTGTTAAATCATATTTACTAAGCAAGGCCTATTACTCACTAAACGATTACTTGAATGACGAGCGTGCATGGCAATAGTTTTCATGTTCGGGATTTTCATTTAATGTTAGACATAGACACCTATATAAATACCTATGCATTGTAAATAAACTGGATTAAAAAAAAAGTAATTCAATTGAGTTTCTTGCCAGTTTTTCTCAATTGGATCTATATACCGAACTGGACGGTAGGGAAAAAAATTATAATGTAAAAACTTGACGTTCATAAGCGGCTAAAATGTCCTACATGAATAAATGATTTTTGAATTTGATTTTTTTTTATTTGAATTACAAACTTATAATTTGGATTTATCTATCCAATTTAAATTATAAATAGGTACATGTCTTCGAAAAATGGTTTTTAAAAGTTTTGTTACTACTTGTTTATAGTTAAATAAGAAATTAATCGTTGTTTGGAAAACCGTCAATTTCAAAGTTAGTAGTATAAAAATTTTTATGGAAGGATGTAAATAAGTTTGTACTTAGAATTTTTTAAATCTTTATCTCCTAAGAAAGATAATGAAACAGGGTTTGAAAGTTTATATGGTAAGTCCATAATCTATACAGTAAAATTAATTAAATTTCATATTAAACCTCCTTAGCAAAAATTAAGAAAGTAGTAGTAAAGTAGAGAAAAGGAATGAACATTAATACAAAAGTAAATATATAATAATATCTATTTTATTAAGGTATGTATAGGTGTACTTAAAATTGTACCAGTCCATGCAATTTATAATATTACTTTACTCCAAAGAAATATTTTAAATTCTACTATTTTACGACAGTTCGAATCACTATCGGTGGCATCAGGCCTATGGTATGTATCCATCTAGTGGAGTTGGTCCTCACCATGAAGTCTGCTGCTGATTTAGAGTGCTCTCTGCTATGTTAATCACAGTAGTAAAGTAATCAATCCATCAATAATAATCTTTAAAATTCGATCCGTTTTGGCGATAATGTTGTATCAGTATATAATATAGGTACTATATATTTACATAGAAGAACGGTTCACAAATACATTTAATTGAAAAAAAAAACTAATTAGGAATTAATTTTGGGGTCAACAGGGCATAAACTCTTTCGGTTGCAGAAATAATTATAGAAATGGTAAGAAAATCTTCTGTCTTAAAAAATATGGAACATATTGAAAGTAGATTTAGAATTAATAATCTGTGCCTTTATATTAAAGTAACAAATCAAGTAGTATCTGCGGAATTCTAAAAAACAATCTCCAGTAGGTTGTTAGTAGTGCCATAGATAAATAATGTATACCTATACCTAGGAAGTATCTGTTCCTGGGAATACCACGAGCAATTGTAGTTTAGTGTTTCAGTTTAAAATAATATTCACACTCATAGGTATACGAAGAGATCATAGAATAACAAGAATTCGACAAATATCAATTTAAAATTCACGAATTAAAATATTTTACATTTTTCGTATCTAAAACATGACCTCCTAGTAATAAAAGCTCTAGCCGTTAATATACTGGAAGTGCGGGCTCGAATTTTCAAAATAGTCCTTAGTAGGTGGTGAATTCTGGTGAATTCGCTACTATGGGCGAACTGACCTGACCTGAACTAATGTTCATTTTGTAATCCACCACTTCTGCCCCACCAGCTTAAACCGTCAGCAAAGGCACGTGCATCATTTCATTATCATTACTTAAAAAAAACAATTTTGTATTCACAATTTCGTGTACCCACCATTTATTCACAATACTTATTCGGATGCCGGCTATGTAGGACTAACTCACACTCTACTGTTTTTGTTTAATGACAAGGATAGTGGGCCTTATAAAGATGAGAGGTCAATAATATATTGACAGCAAAGGTTCACTCACATCTAACGGTATCTTTTTTTTTTAAACAACAAAAATATAGTTACTGTTTCATCTCAAAAACTCACCGGAAATAATAATCACGACAAATTATAATAGTTACATGATATAGGAAGGATTGTAAAGTCAGGTCTTAAAGTAGAAATTTAATTCTAACTAAAAAGTAAAAAATTGGACATTTTTAATTTAATTAGCCTGTTGTATTTTTAAATTTATTATGTAGGTTGGTAGACAAAGGTTTCTACTTAGTTCATAGCCTGACCAATGAATAGTAGTTTTATATACTAGTTACCGTTTTTGAAGATTTTGCGCAAAAATTGCAATATGTCAAAACCACAGATAACATAATACTAAAACGAATGATGTTCAAGTGATTATTTTTAACTTGAACATCACTCATTATAATTCTGAATGTCAACAGTATTATACCTACCTACATAAAGAGATGTTAACACTAAATTGTTATATTAATTTGTGATGCAATTTATTACCGCAGTTGTTTTTGTCATAATTCGAATTGAATGGAATAGTGAAAAGATAACAAATAGATACAAAAAATGAGAATCATCACCATGACTCGACATTATAGCTATTTTACTCTGGGCCGTTACAACAATTTTTGTATCTGAATTCTTACAGCCTAGTATGTAATATTATGCTATCTGTGTAGCGTAGGTGCATTTAGGTACATATATATTTATCACGGATCTTTTTGTATAACTCGTACATTATCATATCTCTTCAATAATTGTTCTGTTTTACAATTCTTTATGTAATATATTTTGATTTATTCTTCGTTGTTATTCATAACAAAGACGAAGATAAAAATTGGTAAAGTGTATATAACTTGACAAATTAGGCCCAGGTTTTAACCCATAAGCTATTCATAAATGTACCTACATATTATCTGACATATAAACGATGTCATTATGATATATATATATCTTTGGACGCATCTTAGCTACGAAGAAATCTCTCATTATCTGTCTATTTAAAATAAGGTCTTTTAAAGGCATTATCAATTTACATCAACTCACCATGCTTGCTTTCATCGTCGTCATCCATAGAAGATTCCCTCTTGCAATGCTGCACTGGCACAGGCGATACCAGCCAGTTGCGCGGTTTTTTGGCTGGCGGCGCCTTTTCCTCAAGCGCCGTGATGTCCACCTCCACATCATCGACGTCGTCCGATTCCCCGGGCTCCGGGGGCGGCGCGGGTGCCTCGCCACCTTCCAAAGACTTGCTGACGAAGTCCGCCAGCCGCTCCATCACCATTACTGCCGAGTGCACGCGTCGCCGCGCGCGGCCATCACTCGCCACGCTCTACAGACTACGCGACGGACTTAAGGCGGTAGTACGCCCACACTATTCCATTTATGAACGTTTCAATCTACATTTCATTTTAAAACGGGAAGGTAGGGTTGAATTTCCTCTGAGGCGTGCATTAGGGCGGAATTATAAACTCCGCCCATGTTCACGCACGCGCTCTCCCTGAGGACGCAGCTCCGTGTGAAGCACTGATACACCCGCCGGCGAATAATACACGCCTACATTATCGTTATATTGAATGTGAATTTTTAATGTGATTTCATGAAGTCTTATGGTTTCGTTTAGTGTTTGTGGATGGACAAAATGAACTATGTTTAATGGTCTTATGAGACAAACTTTTATATTAACATCAGTAACAACCAGGGTGAGTGAAATATGTTTAATATAATTGTCAATAAATTTTATTAGTATTATTAATTACAAATAATAATAAAACTTCCTAAATAATACAAGTATATTATCTAACAATTATTTCTAAAATAAAGTTTTATTTATATTATATTTATAGAAGAAAATAAAATAAGTATTATCTTTAATGAAATGCTGCTGTTCATAAATATAAAAATATACGATTATGGTGTCATCATCATTATTATCATAGTCTGACAGTACGCGCGTTCAGATGTGCACGTATTATTTTAATTAAATATATACGGATTAATCGGCGCGGCGCAAGCCGTGCTAGTTTGCTAAGGCCATGTGTGATAAACTTGTGGTTAACGAGCTCCTCGCGTTCCTGCAGCAAAAACTGGACGTAATGGATGAAATTAGTGCAGTACAGATATGTACGTCCAACTTCAGCCAGGACGACATCGCGAAGGCGAAGGTCCTGCTCTATGAGTCTCTCAACAAGAGCGAACAGATGGTGTCTCGCAGACGCGACGGCACTCATAAAAGTCTAGAAGATATCATAGCGCTGCTGAAGGTGACCGATCCTGATGACGTGCCGACTTTTGTGGCGAAGGATATTAACAAGCTTCCTCCCGTCACTTTCGACCACGTCGACGTTACTTGCCTGCTCAAGGACATCGTCTCCTTGAAAAAGAGCCTGGCCGATGTGACGCTACGATTAAACGTGTCCGAGGGAACCATTATTGAGTTGCGCAAGGAAGTAGATAGTTTGCGTGATTCACGAAAATTATCTAGGTCATCTGATGACACTAGAAATGTAAACACGCGTCGTGGAGCATGCCTCGATGAGTCCGCCGCGACTATCGAGTCAGCGTTTTCACCTACGACCGATGCGGTGACGCCGAGAGCCGACGTCGTTCCTCGTCCCGCGCCCCCTGCCCGCACACCGCGAGCGCCCGCACCGCTGCAAGTGGAAGCAGCACCAGCAAAGTCCGCGGTGCTATTAAAGCGCCAGGATTTTGCCACCGTCGCCGCTAAAAAACCAACTACTCAGCGGAATGAGCCTAAAGTGACTCTGAAAATGACCCCTATGTGTACAAAGTCTGCTGACCGTGACGATGATGGTTTTGTCACGGTACAAAAGAAGAGGCGCACAAAGAGGGTCAATCGAAACCATTGTGGCACAGCACTGACAGGGCCCAACTTCTTGTTACGTGCCGCAACACCGACCACGGCAATGTACCTATCCCGCCTACACTACGCTACCAAGGAACAGGACATTGTTGACTACATCCGGACTAAAAGCAACCTGACATTGAGGGTGACGCAGTTGGAATCGAGCCACAACGCGAGCTTCAAAGCGTTCGTGGCCCTGGTCCCCACCAATATGCTGCCCACCTTCATGAAGGAAGACTACTGGCCGAAGGGGGTGGTCTATCGGCGCTACCGTGGCAGATTGCCGTCGTCAGTGCCGTGACCATAGAGACAATTTTATTTTACATATTTGATTATTATTTCTTATGTATGTTAGTCTATAAGGTATTTATAATATGGGTCATGTAGCCTGAATTAAATAAATAAATAAATAAAAAAAATATTATTGTATTTAGTTACTTCAAATAATAGCAGCCGTTATTCCAAACCCAAGTCTGAATTTATCGTTAGGGTGATTAAGAAGAGCTGAGATGGCACATGCAAGCTGGGCTCTCTTCCCTCCAAGTGCGCGCTGTAGGGTGGCCCCCACGAGCCCATCCGAGTCTGCCGACCCTCGTACTGTCCACTCGTCAGTATGCCATTCATAGGCCAGGGTGGCTACGGCGCGGCGTATTGCGAAACCAACCTATTGCAAAATAATAATTTTTAAATGTGACAGATATTGTTATACACTATTTTAAATTTTTATATATATATATTCACAAAGATTTTTGATATTTGGATATGGCTCTCTGCGAAAAGATCTTTTGTTATGAGAATGCTTGAACTCGTAACAGCGTTTAAATAAGTATCACTACTACTTGTTCTGATGATATACAAATTTAATAGATCTAGATTAAGCAGTTATCATTAACAAATTTTACAATCTCTCCTCCACCTGAAACATTTACCTACGTACAACGGCATTGTGGAATCACCATAATAGCAATAGTGTATACCTATTTGCGAACCGATACGATATTTAAACCTTCAAGAAAAGAGCTTATTCCTTCTTAAAAACCGGCAGCGCGGGCGGCGATAATCACTTACCAGCAGGTTAGCCCCAAGTTCGTTTGTCTCCTATACTATAAAAAAAATTTCCTCACCGTACATCAATCAGAGTGACATTAACTAGTAAGTACTTAATATAATAAAATGATTGAAAATGCGCTCAGTCCGGACAAAATGCGGAATGAAATCCCGTCGGCATGAGCTTGTTGACAAGATTACATTTTCCAACCGAATCTATGTATATATAATAATATTTTTCCTAACTGATTGCTGTGTACATATGTGTACAGTGCACATAAACGAGAGATATTATTAGAACTTTTGTCTGATTCTCTGTGCATTTGTGCGCGCTAATCTCAGAAATTGATCGACTTATTTAGGTGTGGTATTCACTAAAAACTTGTGGTCATTTAAAATTCGAAATATGTTAGTTTTATTCCAAATGGTTTACAAACAAAGAAGAGTCGCTAACTGGTTGTGTCAGCGACACTTCATTGTTTTAAATATGTATATTCGATTAAAAGATGCCTACCTAAGCAAGTTACAAGTCAAGTATACGGTACGGCTGATGGCGTAAGCTATCGTGTATAGCTGTAGCCCCATGAACTCAATTTCGTAGACATGCGCTGCAGCACCGTTGCTGATATTTAAGAGAAAATAAAAAAGAAGTATGATAAAGAAGAAGTAAATGTTTTGTTGTTTTTTAAATCGAAACACAGTACGCAAGTTACTTGGCCGATAAACAATATTTTTACAAAGATTTTGTCATTTGTATATTTGTATTCTAGTGGAAATGTACTATCCCTATAGTATCATTATTCCCAAGTAGGTAATCAATTACACTTAATTCCTATTACCTCCAGCATGGCAGCCACTGTGAGATACGGTTTAAGTACGCGGGCATAACAGAGATCCAAGCCCCTATTCCCAAGAGTGGCGCTGACTGAATGATCCTCGCCGACCCACCGACCAGCACCTGATGCAGAGCTGAGCTCAGCAGCGTGCCCTCGAGCTACCACTTCCGCTCCAAGAGATATCTGTTCAGTTATAGCCTGTACAAAAGAAGAATAAAATTACCAAGTAGGTACCACCAGAATATTATTACGTATAAAATGATAGGATATTCTATCAATATTGTTTTGTTGTACTTAACTGAATTTCTTCATAAGGTAGGTGCCTTACACACAACAAACTGTAGGTACATATATTACCTAGTATAAAATTAAGTAACTTCCGCTGTATTTTTCGCTTAAGATCTTTTAAACTATGCAACAGATTTTAATGCAAACTGCATTAGTGAGTTAGCAACTGCATTAATAGTTAGCAATAGATAGTGATTCAAGAAGAAGGTTTATATATGTAATACATGTAGACCCTTGCGAAATCGGGGCAGGTAGCTAGTATATATAATAATAATCTCAGGACAAATCACAAAGCGCCATCTAGACCCAAGCTAAGCTAGCTAAAGCTTGTGTTACGGGTACTAGATAACTGATACACATACAACATACATAATTTTTTTTTTTTCGTAAATACATACATAATATACATAGAAAACACCCAGACCGATACAAACAATCATACTCATGAATACAAATGCTTGTGCCGTGCGAGGAATCTAATCCGCGACCATCGGACGTAAAGCGGTGTGCTAGACCGCTAGACCACCGAGGTCGTCATCGTAGTATAGAATAAAATGTTATCGTTAACATGAATAAAGTTTGTAATTGTTAGAAAGGTAACCTGTAGATTAAAAAAATATACTTATATTAGAAATTATAGGAAATTATAGGAAAGCCCAAATGGAGAAGTTAGAGATATTGTCACCAATACAGTAAGTGAAACATGACATTCCCAGATTACCGCTGTTTGTTTGGTTCGTTACAGTCGGACGAAGACAAATATCGATCTTCTTCCGAGTGTTACACAGAAATTTAAAGTTACGTTATGTTACTCTTACCTGTAGATAATGTATAGCAATAAACTCGCGGTTCACTGCAATTATAGACGCCGTAAAACTATTGAAGTACGTATCAAATATACTTTCAAAACTGTACAATTCTGCATCGGCAATTTGGGCCACAATAGTAGCCCGCGTGCCTTGACTAGGCCCAACCCGCATCTCGCAGCTCATTTGACCACCAGGAGCCGCTTCCATTACGAAATAAGGAATGCCTATAGGTTTGTTCTTGTCAACGTAAGAAAGTAACAATTTGTAACCGCCTGGAGACACCGAACTGAAGGACAACGAATGGCCCAAAACCCAATTGTTTTTAGATTTCTGTTTAACCGATACACATCCTCCTTCAAAACACTGAGGGAGACGGTAGCGCGCTGCATTGTGTATGTAGCGTAGCAGACCCGGGTTGGTTGCGCCTGCAGGAAGAATATCAGGGTTCTTCTCGCAAACACGCTCCGTACGCGATCCTGTAACACCAGCGCCTGTTTTTCCCCTATCTCCAACAGTAGATTTATTAGTCTCGGGCACGCTACACGCACATTTCGGTGGTGACGACGGTGAAGGAGCATCTCCAGCTGCACATGTATCTACAGGTGGCGCTGGACAAGGCGAACACGGGTCTTTTCTAGGTGAATTTGCTCTTGAACATGGATTCGAATTACTTTTAGCGTACAACGTTTCAAAAAAACCCAGATTTAGTAGCTTTGATAATGACACAGAAGATGTATTCGATGAAGTGTGTGTTGTGTACATCTCACTAATCTCCTATTAAGAAATTTTAACATATAAATGTAACACTATAAATAAATAGTATAAAAGTAGCAGTAGCGGTTCAAAATGACATTAATAAAAAATACAACTATAAATTACCATATAACATGTTTCAAAAATAGAACTTTTTTGTTTTTTATGTTTTTATGTAGGGTGACACATAAATTAGTAAACGAAACTTTATGCCGCCGGTTAAACCAATAATCTCATCCTCGTCAAGATGCCTTTGTAAAAGCCACAAATCGTTTATGAGTGCAGTGACGCTAAGAAGAGCGTGCATTCAGTACTTTATCGCCGTATACCACAATTTAATTGTATTATTCTTAATTATGCGTTTAAATTGGATATATTCAGCACATTAAACTTTGTTCCGAAAAAGGATTTTTTGTAAGCATTGGATGTCCATTGTCAAATTAGACGCTTTTTGCTTTCAGTAAAGCAAGAATTTGACCTAACGATGAATTCGTGACTCATCGTTCGTCATATTTATGTAAGTGGGGAATTCTGTATATATTTAGCGGGGAAAACCCAATGCCATGATTGTATTTGTGGTATCTATTTACTTGGGATTTTTGTGTTGCGAGTCGCTACCTAGTGGTAATTAAGGCAGAAGACAGTTAGCTATTATGATTTTTTTTAATATTTACTGCGAATATTGGTCATTTCAAGTGTGTCACAACATCATAGCAGTAGTAAACAAACTTCTACCAACCCTTTTGCAATTACAGACGTGAAAATATGTACTTATACTTACTATATTAGAATTATTTGTCAATTATTATATTATATGATTAATACAGTTTACTTTCGTTTTTAGTAAATGGTGCACCCATATATCTACTTTAACGCTAACGCTAGCAGAATAGGTACCTACTTGTGGAGAATGTTAGGATGAGTTAGGTCACGATCAAATCAGGTTAGTTAGCCCATCGTTACAAACCACGTAGAAGTTGCCCTCACATTACTATTTGTGCGGTCACTAGCCCTCATTACTAATATAGAGCCTACTTTATTTGTTATTCGAGTACGTAACTACTTAATAACTATATTCAGGGAGGAGGAAATAGTTGTGTACCGTAAAGAAGACAACCTTAGGCAAAGGAGTATGAATAAAGTAGGCGGCACGTGAATGGAAATAAATTAACAAAATTAAAACATTGACTCTATTACAGACGAAAGTAGCACTCAGTAAATTATCACTACAATTCAATTGGACCCGGATACGTCACGGACTGTCAGTCTATGTCAATTCACAACTAATTCATAGTTCCTCAGCCTCTGCATTTTGTATGTAATCTGTATTAGGCGCGATAGTAATTTAATAATTTCTTCCTTATTGCATTTTATCTCCCTATTTATTATAGCTTGGTACTGACATATTTAAAAAATACATTTTTGTGTTCTCTTCATATTGAGTATTTGAGTTTGCAATTGATTTTGTTGCTGCATAATTGCTAAATTAATTGGGAAATAATAGAAGAAAAGTATATTTTATTAATAAATAAAGTATCGAAAATACACCCTGACCTATCCTTTGTTTACTTTCAATCTACTACTTTGAAAGTAGTTTCGTTTTAAATTTTATCTTAATAGTAATTATTAAGGCAACTATGGCAAAATTACTTGATATTATTCGACGCAATCTCAAATCGGATGCAGTACCGAGGCCACCTCGACAAGATCCCAGCCAAAATACTGAAGTTAATGAGGAAAACCAACCTAGTAATAATAACGCGAAGCCAAGTTCACCATATATCGAGCCGGAAGAAATATTAATTGAAGACAATGATATTGAAGAAAATCCCAAATTTGATGAAGCATTCTCGAATCAGAACAAAAAGAAGAATGGATTTAGTAAATCAAAAACAAAGAAAAATGAATTTAATGTTCCAAACAAAGACTTTACAGTGAACACACAAGGTGAGATATTTACATGTTATAGTTGACTTCTACTAAGTATTGAGATACTGACTGTACCCTCAGTTTCATCATCATAAAGTTGCCTATGTGTTACTGTAATGTATAGGCTTTATTATTGTAAAGTTTCATTAAAATCCATTCCATAGTTTTGCATGCATGAGAAAGAATCCATCCATCCATACTCACAAATGTTGGTGTTGATAATATTAGTAAAATAATATTTTTTCCAATACATGTTTTATATAAATAATTTGTGGATATGTCTTTCTCTATGTGTATCATATGATACAGGAATTGCTATCTAGATTCTAAGTGGTAACTGTCACCATATGTACACATTTCGCATCACATAACTCCAATGAAAGAAGAACAAAGATGATATGTCTCTGTACCTGTAATTTATTTAGAAATATGTACACACACTCAATTTAATAGTAGACATATATATGCAAATAATATTTTTTTTCTTTTTCATTATTGGAACTAGAAAACAATATTTTAGGTAGGCAATATTTTTGAAGTAGGGTAGTGTAACGATAACAGCCACATTAGTAAATAATACTGTGTCATCATAGTAAATAATACAAAATTTTCTTGTACTTATCTGAACAAAGAAACTCCTACTTTTCAATGTAATGTTAATCTAAATTACAATCCAATCCAATACCAATAATCATGACATAAGAATACTCTTTACTATAATACTGATGTAAGTTCATATTCACATTGGTAAGTTAACTATCAAATAAATTTTAAAGTCTCATCAAGCATACAGATAAAAACTGCTGATGTCATTTTTTCAGTGCATTATCACTAAATCCTGTGTCATTATGTTGGTATGTTCCTAATGAAAGAATGCAAAACTGTCAATGTTTTAGTTACAATTTATTTCAAGGGCACTATGCAATTCTGCCAGTCTACACTGGAAACTAATTATACTCTAATAGCATTGACTTATCAAAGTGTGCAATGATTAGCAATTTTTATTCTTAATAGAAATTGCTAAGCATTGCACATTTTGATGGCCTCTGTGGTCAAGCAGATTAGCACATGACTTTATTATGTGATGGTTATAAGTTTTACATCTCAAACATGCATTTAGAAAAATGCATTGAAGTATTTATATCAGTTGTATAGTAAAACAAGCTCTGTTTACCTTGGGTCTAGATGGCACTGTGTCATTTGACCTTGGTTATCTTATACTTACCCTTCAATTATGGTAGCAACATATTAATTTCATATTTCCTGATCAACAAAACTAGTAATTAACATTGTTCATCTAGATTGTTTCAAAAGAACAGTACTATAATGGTTAGGATTGTTATCAATATTGAGAATATGCACCAGTTTTTTTTATATTGGATGATAAACAGATGAACATGAGGTGGTCATGTCAGGAATTTATCACAATGGTTTCCAGGGGGAACCATGTTGAGGACTACCTGACATTGTACATTGCTATCAATGGGGTCATTAGTCCACATTACTTATAACCCCTTTCCCCCCAGGCACCAGATGGGCTCAGCTTAGTATGGTTGATTTTCAAATCTTATGATCATTATGAAAATAATATTTTCTTTTTAGCAACTGGACATGTGGTAAATATAGTCAACAGTACGGGTGTTCACTGGGGCAACACCTATTCTTATAATATGGGACCTTCCACACAACAACAACAAAATGTAGATCCTAATGAAGAAAAAATTGAAAAGGACAACCTAATAACATTACTTATGGAAGCTAAAGATGAGGTATGATCCATCACAATGATTTACAAATGAAAAAAATATATAATTATTACAAAAAAAACAACAGAAACCTTTTTTCTAAATATCATTTAATTTTTTTTTTTTTGTATATTTAGTATTGCAGCTAAATATAAAGTGTACAGTGTAAATATACAGCGGGTTAGCTAGTGTAAATATATTTTATTTGGAAAATATAATATATTTACACTAGCTAACCCGCACAACTTGGTCTGCATCACACATACTTGACATTTATCATTATATTTCGCCCAATTTACATGATATCAGTATCAATAGCAGTATTTTTGCGAGAAAGAGGAATAAACATCCGTCCATACTTACAAACATTCACATTTATAACATTAGTAAGATTTTATCAACATTATTCCAGTTAGGTTTTTATTATTCGATATCTTTATTTTGGTTTAGTTAACATGATAATTATTAATTAGGATATGAATAGCTTTAAAATATGTATATATAATTGAATTGATCATACATATCTATTTATATATTTGATTATTACTTTTATAAAACACATGCATTTTTTTTTCAGGTTGAATATGAGTATATGGATTTCGTATCAAAAAACTTAGGTAGAAACTGGCGCAATTTGTTTGTAACAATGGGCTACACAAGAGGCAGAATTGAAACATTTGAAATTGATGAAAGTAAAAATGGCGTGTCAGAGGTAATAGTGGCGAATTTAAAATTTCCAAAAAATATGTTTTTTTTTGCATACTGAGTGTACTTTTTATACTTTTATTTTGAGTTTTCAAGGTAGAAGTACAACAAACTGTTGTTGTTGTTGCTGAAGGCTTTTAGATAATTTCTTAAAATATATTTTTGTATTTTATATACCGATTGTTATCTAATGCCATTCCTGATCTTTACGTTTTTGGTCTACTAGCTAAACATACATATTTTACCTCACGTATTAGGGTGGTTTTGTAATCACATCAACACATCCCGTGTCTCATTACAAAACCACCCTAATACAGTCCTCCGTCACTGTTGGTAAATTTTGTATTTTAAAGTGTATTATTTATGATTGAATAAAGTATTATAATATCAATAATATTAAAAATAAACTAAATTTCACACCATATACATATGACAATCTCTTAATTGCAGGCTCGCTATAAGTTGCTGCTAGATTGGTCTCGAAATAACGATGATCCGTCGCTTGGCCACTTGGCGACACTGTTGTGGGATCAAGGAGAAAGGGAAATTGTTAAAGGACTATCCATTATGTATAAAAAAAACATGAAAACCAAGAAATAGACCCCTACAAGAATATAAGTGAAGATAATTGTTTATAATGAAAATCTAAACATATTTTTCTAGAATTTTTACATTTAAGCAAAATATAGCGTCAAAAGTAAAAAAAAAGTAATTTAATAATATAATAAGAATATTGCGTTCTGTATGACAGTAGAGCAATGAAAACTGAAAAGTCTAAATGAGACAAAATGAATAGAAATGGAGTAATATTCCACATTCTTTGCACAAGTGGTAAGGCAATCCATTTACAATTACGTTACTGTATTCATTAAACAACAAATTGCAAAATGTTTGTAATTTATATGTATTTAGTAACGCAAAACATGAATTATTTTACCAATTTGGAGATATTAATAAATTGAAAGATGTAGCTTCTACTTACTCTAAAGAGTTAAGATATGAGATTACTATAGATATATCTAATAAGAAATATTATACAGTATGTACAGTTGTTTTGGAAATTTTCGCACCTACATGATTATAAACATGTAATTTATCTTATCGTTGTATTATGATTTCAAATGACGACCTCAGTGATCCAACAGTTTAGCACACCGCTTCACTTCCGATAGTCGCGGGTTCGATTCCTCGCACGGGTGCAATCATTTGTATTCATGAGTGTGATTGTTTGTATCATTTTCTATGCATTTACATTTTCTATGTACCTATATTATTTATGTATTTACAAAAAAATATATATATACCCAATATAGTTGTCTAGTACCAATAAACCATGCTCTGCTTACCGTGGGACTAGATGGTGCTGTGTTAATTGTCCAGGGTTATTTATATTTAAATTTACTAACAAAAATTTTAAATGTAGTAGTAGGTATGTACATAAAAGTTAAACATTATTCCGTACGGTAAATACACCTAATAAGCACATCAATCAATCATTCGATTAATATTTATTTATACGCTATTTCATGAAAGGAGAACCAAATTTTTTTGTAATTATTGCTTCATTGAGTCTAGAGTGCCTATAGATTACTTTTAATTTTTACATTATAGATTTTTAGATATTCTTGCTTAACTTCTTTCACAGTGCTTATAATTCCATACATTCCCTTTCTTGCGGATAAATAAAGCTTGAAAGAAAAGTTCTAGGTATATATATTCTTCTTTTTTTTATGAAATATTCTTACAATTTTACCGCTTTATTATATCGCTTATTCTAAAACTTCATTATTTCTTACAAAAATAATTACATACATTTAGCATCACAAGTATTTTATATTTATCTTGGCAAAAACATACTTTTTATATGTATAATATAGGTATGTCTTGTGTATTTATTCTGTATGTATATAGATGTTAATTTAGTCACATGTTTAATTAAATGCACATAGTAAGATAAAACTGCTGTTACTAGGACTTATATGCGGGCCCATTAGCATTCAAGCTGCTTAAATTAGGTATATATGCATGGCTTATGAAACAGAGACGAAGTCCTTACGTGCTGTAAAATATGTGCTTGATTCAAGCAACTTGGCTCTTCTTGGCTTAGCGTTATGTCTGGCGTATCGGGTTAGGATGGTTCTAAAAATATGATGTATGAATAATGAATAATAAGTAGTCCACATATTCATAAGTCATGATTTAGTATTTCTAGAACCATAGGCCTATGATGCAAAATTGACCCCATTAGTTTAAAATTGTATTAATATATGCTCAAATTAATATGTAAGTTGTTATGTATCTATTATGTAAATAATACTGTTAATTAAAAATATTCTTTGTCAGATAATGGTTTAATAAATTTGGCGCCATCTGTGATAAAATTTGTATCAAATAACAAATTTGTGTGTTTGCATCTTTTTTAAATATCAAGTATTTTATATAATAAAATGTGTTGTAACGAAACGTCGTGAGAGGTAAATACATTTATTTACCATAAAATTATTCTTGTACCCAATTAGCAATATAAATAATGTTGTAACGAATTTGTAAAAACCTAGTCATGTCAGGAAAAAAATGTAATATGCATTTTATAACAGGTTGTAAACGAAATTTGTTTGTAATATATATATATATATATATGTGCAATAATTTGTAAATAGTAAACATTTACACGGTGGCATTACCATTCCAAAGAATTTTTGTCCAAATTTTAGGGAAAAATTTGCGGCGCTAGACAATAATTTATACACCTTGTTATTCATTATTCGTATGTATGTTTATAATATTGTGGAAATATTTCTATTATCAGAGATCAAATTATACATGCTTTATCTAAAAGATTTTTTTATTTACGCACTGACTGTATAATCGTATACATATTTTGGAAACCTTTAGTTGATAAAAATATTTTTATTTAAAGTTTTTACAGGATTCGAACCGATATCCCTCCAAACGAGTGTCTACTATCACTTATATTTGTTTTTACACAGAAAACTGATTAGAAAATGATGACATTATGTAGACAACAGAATAATTATTTAAAATAATACTTTACGTATAAAGTTAATAATAATTTCTGAATAAAAGCCAAACAAACTATAGATTATTCGAATTAAATAATACAGGTAAAGAATGTACATACGGAAATTAGAAAAAATCAACATTTCAATTTTCTCTACATGGCTTACTAGTAACGCATACACTATATAAAGTAATAATGTGAACTGAGTTCACTGAATTTAAATACACATTATGTGGAGAAGTAAACTAATGGAAGGGTGCCGAGTGTTGATAGAAATATTACAAGTGTAGGCACCCGAAAAATATCAATTAGCCTTTGTCAGTCGGTCACAATACTGTGTACATAGATAACTTTGTATTGGTTTAATGATCTGGTGGTGTGAGGTGTAAGGTTATCAGTGATACAACAGCTCATGTCAGTTTGGCTGTAATTGTCATCGAAGCAGCACGATGCCTACCACCAGAAGAGGCGGCCTTAAGATTGTAGAGCTCGATGTAAAAGACGTGAGATTCCCCACGTCACTGGGAAGCCATGGATCCGATGCTTTAGTGAGTACATATCGTATATACTCTATTACACTTGTAACACTATAATATACTAAATATATGAATGTAATTATTTCAAAAAATTGCTTTTATAATATACAATAACGTTGTTTAGAATGCTCACGAATATAGTCTCAGATAGGGTAGTCCTAGTAGTAATTGTAGTAATTTTCTAACTGACCTGACCTGAGGTAGAAAAGTATTTACTTTAGATCGCATCATACCCATTATCAATTCAATAAGAACTAAAATTACCGTTTGTTTGTCCGTTGTATGAAAAAATCTACTGTTTTGATCATATTGGCCGTCTGACTCATGGGTCACACTGGTCATTACGAGGCTGACTCTAATGTGGACACCTAAACATTCAGCGATTTTATGAGTCCTATATCTGTTATCCCTAACTCATGGCTTACTTGCCCTTCATTCCAACTTTCTTTTTTATCGAGGGTTTTGTCTATGGTCAGGTGCTAAGACCTATAGCACTGCGGCCTGCATAGATCTATTCAATACCTATCAATATCTATTTCAACTTAGATTCTAAGTAGGATAACTTTGATTCCAATGCACTTTCGGATGTTAAGAAGGTAATCTATGAGCGTTATTATATTTCTACCTACTACATAGGTAGTTCGTTTATAACTTCACATAAATAGAGCTAAAAACATAAGTAGTACTGGTACTGGTATAAGTAATGTATAAAAATCTACTAAAAATCACTATAGTACGTGTTCCTACCTAGTAGCTAAGTCAATTATTACTATTATTATAATTCGATTATACTGAGCTGATAACTTAATTTACATAGGTATAGTGCTTATCATTTAAGTAATATTCATTACACTGTAGATATCATTATCCAAATATTTATTGTTGATGTTCGTTATAATTAGTTAATAAGGTCCAAAATTAATACCACTAAATCTACTGACTACTAACCTAAACAATTGTCTTATCTATGCGTAAACTGTGTAGATACAGATTTATAAGTATAAATATCATCTTGAATTACAGTAAAATATTTACAATACCTCTTTTTTAATTAACCTCAGTTGTTATAAGCCAAGACGTTCAATTTTAAAACAGGACACAGTAATAAAGTTGCATTCGTTAAATTAATATGTAATGTAAATAGGTGAAATAAAACTCAAGTAATTCATATTATTTAATATAATTAAAATAAATTATATTTTTTACTAACTGTAACCCCGGTGGGTACACCCCCTTCGCACGGGTGTATATGTATTATACATATAAATCTTCCTCTTGAATCACTCTATCTATTTAAAAATACCGGTTCAAAATCCGTTGCGTAGTTTTAAAGATTTAAGCATACATACAAAGATTTAAGGGACAGACAGCGACAGCGACTTTGTTTTATACTATGTAATGATTAATTTCAAAATTTAAAGGCCCAAGACGCTGCTTATTAATTATTCAGGACGTCCCAGGACAATAGAAAAACTAAGACATGTCCTGGGAAAACAAGACGATTTTTTACACTATTATAAAAATTTAATCAAGTCAGTTAGCCCACCGAATACAACCTGTTAAAATATGTCAGATCAACTTACTTACTTATTTTAACCACTTAAAGAATAAAATCAATACTCCATATTACTGTTTACCTTAAAACATTATAATCTCTTACCCTTATTACATATTAAGTAATCACTTTTATAGCATACTGATCCGGACTATTCCTGTGCCTACGTCACCATTACCACGGAAAACGGCAGGCAGGGTTTCGGGTTGACGTTCACGTGCGGCCGGGGCACCGAGATCATCGTGCTCACCATCAGGTCCATGAAGAGATTCGTACTTGGCAAAAACGCAGAGGATATTTTCGCGAACTTCGCTGGTTTTTGGCGAACTATTACTAATGATTCTCAGATGAGATGGGTATGTGGTGCTATTATTATGTCTAATCATTAAGGTAACACGAGTAATTAAATATCAAAAATAAATATAGAACCGTTTTGAATGCAGTTTTCACTGATATTTTATATCAAGCTCTCTGTAGATATCATAGTGCGTATTTCATTCCTATAAACTTAGACTCCTTCAATACCAGAAAATCACAATTAAAAAAGTTGTTATTCTGAACACCACGCGTTGTGTCGTAGCCTCAGAATGTAGACTTCAATTGCTTTCAACAAACGCTCGTGGTGTAGGAATTGGCGTTATAAAATACCTGTGTAGGATTTCTAATTAAAAACTATAATTTATCGTTCTGTTTAATAGGAATACATTGTTTAAATTTGTTATTATTTTAGATTGGGCCAGAGAAAGGTGTGGTTCATTTGGCTGTAGCGGCTATTCTTAATTCCCTTTGGGACCTATGGGCTAAGATCGAAAACAAACCACTTTGGAAGCTACTGGTTGACATGGAACCTGAGGTATATAATGTCTTTTTTCTTTAGATAAGTACATATAGATATTGGTATACCTATATTTCAGCATGCAAGCGTATAAATTTGCGTAAAAGCAGCGTTACTGCATATTTAGCCTTGTTTCTGTATAATCGACATTCTAAATTATGATACAGGACGCATGAATCATACCTAAGCAGTAAGCATTAAAATCTTATACATAAATTTGTGATTTATGATGTTATAATGGGTTCAAAGATAGAAACCGTAGGTCAAAACCAACTACAAAAAATTAAGTATTAAAGTTCATTTAAAAAATATAACAAGCTAATTGCGTTAACATTAGGCAGATTTATAATTATACTTAGGTCCTGAACTATTAATATTTACAGGAATTAGTGTCAACAATTGATTTCCGCTACATAACAGATGTCGTTACAAAAAGCGAAGCTATACAAATTCTAGAGGCAAAGAAAAGTGGGAAAGAGGCGAGGGAAAAATATTTGTACGAGAATGGTTATCCAGCTTACACCACCCAAGTTGGTGAGACTTCAAAATATTAAATAAGTTACCTAAAGTAAATACGCTTAAATGGCACACAGCACTATTTAGTAATTTCCCTTAAGACTCAATGTATTGAACTGATCTAGTCCCAAGCTAAGCAGAACTTGTGTATGGGTACTGAACAACTGATACAAATACTTAATTTTTTTTTACATGTAACTACATACATAATAGATATACATAAAAAACACTCAGACCAATATAAACAAGCTTATTCATGAATACGAATGTTTGTATGATGCGAGAAATTGACCCGCGACCATCAGAAGTAAGGTTGTGTGGTAATCTGCTAGACCACCGAGCCTGTCGATGTATAATTTGTACCTACCTGTATTAAGAAGAAAGTTGGCTTTTCGTGCAATGTTCGTTTGTAGAATCTATCATTTTTGTTTGCTACCACTGTAGTATGAAAAAAGTAATTTGCAAAAAGTAATTATATTTATATACTTATTTATGTAATGACGAAGGAGGTAATTTTGAAGCAAGTATCTATCTATATTCTATCGTTTCTTAGCGTGTTATATTTGTCTAGGTTGGATGGGCTACAGTGATGAACTCGTAAAGCAGCTGTGCCATAAATATTTAAACCTTGGTTTCACGCATTTCAAAGTGAAGGTCGGAGTCAACTTCGAAGACGACTATAGAAGATGCAGTGCTGTCCGCAACCACATCGGAAGTGATAAAGTTTTGGTAAACAAAGTTATATCTACCTATTAATTACATTCATACCTACTTTTGAATATTAATTAATATTTACATGCGCGTAATGTTATGTTAATGATAGTCTTTATGGACGTTAATGAAACGGTGCATCCGCCTGCGGTAATGGTATATGCTGGCGAGCCACCAAAAATGAATGAAAAGATTAACTCAGAGTCAGCTCAATTAACCTGTTCTGACAAGTACACTTGTTAACTACGTTGGCTTCCAGTACGGCTGCTAACAATGGCCCCATAACTAATAGTCCCATTCTTCCCTCCAGAGAATGATAGTTTAAATATAGTAAATGTATTTACACGGGGAATTTATTTATATGTGTACCTGTTCCCAGTGACCACAATTACCTACGATGAGTTTGATAGGTAATTACCTAAACTTGATTATATTTCAATTAAACTCTACACACTTTATTGCCATAATGATCATAAATAATTACAAATAAACATGCAAAGTAATATAACTTTTAAATTCTCTTTTTAGATGATAGATGCCAATCAAGCGTGGAGTGTCAACGAAGCTATAGAATGGGTGAAGAATTTGGCTCCTCTAAAACCATTATGGGTCGAAGAGCCTACATCGCCCGACGATGTGCTTGGACATGCTGCTATATCTGAAGCATTAAAGTAATAATTTTAATTTAAGACAATTTTTTTATATGTTGTTTTTAAGGGTCAAAATTTTAAACCCTAATTTTAAGATTAGGGTTCTAATTATGATATACATTAAGATAAATCAAATTTGCGTTACATTATGTTATTGACGGCCTCGGTGGGCTAGCGGGTTAACACATCGCCTTACTTCCAATGGGCGTGAGTTCAATTCCTCGGACGGCACAAACATTTTGCATATCTAGTACAATACTGGTGTAATTCAGAAATTAAAAATTTTTGAAATTAGATTCTAATACCACATTTATAAAGTGGCCTTTCCAAAATTTGTAATTTTTGTGTTAAGTCAGTATTATAATAAGTGTGCGATTTGTATTCATAAGTATGATAGTTTTTACTTACGAAAAAAAATTATGTATGTGTATTAGTCTACTATCTATAACACAAGCTTTAGCTAGCTTAACTTGGGTAACAGATGGCGCTGTGCGAATTGTCCTGAGATATTATTGTTTATAATATTATTACGTTGTCACGGAACTTACATTTATTATAGTTTCTTTAAATTGAACATGACGAATCTGAATAATATTTTTTATTATATGTTATCAGACCATACGGGATAGGAGTGGCGACAGGTGAGATGTGTGCGAACCGCGTCATGTTCAAGCAGTTTCTGCAGAGTGGCGGTATGCAGTACTGTCAGATAGACTCTGCGCGAATTGGCAGCGTCAACGAGATACTCTCCGTTTATATAATGGCTGAGAAACTTAAAGGTACTATTCTAATATAAACGATTACCATTCATTACAAAAACTACAAAAATTATACTAATAAATATCAGTTACTGTATAGTATTTCTTTAAAAACCCAATTGATTATTGTTATTTGAGAAATTATTGGCATGGCAAACAAGCCAATGGTAAGTGCACGATTTAACAAGCAATGGTAAATCGTAGTGGATCATTGCTATAGGTACTTTAATTTGTAAAGCGCTTAATAGGTATAATTCTACCATGCTATATTCCACAAAAACAACCATATTGCCTACCAATCGTTACTTAATTTATTAGGGAGCAATACACAGAAATAAAGAAGTATCATATCTATAAAATTAATTAAATGTAAAAAGAACCAATAAAATCTATTTTTTTAATACTCTAATATACTATCCTCATTGTATAGCCTACGATATGTATCATCTTATAATCTCGGTGATCAAGCGGTTTAGCACATCTCCTTACTCCAATGGTCCCGGTTCGATTCTTCGCACAATACGAACATTTGTATTCATGAGTATGATTATTTGTATCGGTCTGGATGTTTTCTATGTAATTACAAAATAAAAATATCTAAGTATTTATATCAGGGTACTAGACAGTAACCATAACACAAGTATTGTCCGAATCACGAGATCATATTGCTTTATTATCATATCAGTATTATTGTCATTGCAGTAAAGGTGTGTCCCCACGCCGGTGGTGTAGGACTCTGTGAGATGGTGCAACATCTTCAGTTCTGGGACTACATCTCCCTCTCTGGCACAATGGAGGGGCGTCTCATAGAATACGTCGATCAACAACATGAACACTTCATTGATCCTTGTATAGTAGAAAATGCGAGATATCTAACGCCAAAGGTGTGATTTATACGAGTATCTCTATTAGTGTTTTAGAGTATTTTTTACGTATTATTGCAGAGGTACCTACGGACTGTTGACAGACATTTATTTTAGATTTTTGTGTACCGCAATTAGCCGGCATATACAGATTGAGATAAAAAGCTTAATTAAAGTTTGTCACAATTATCTACAAATGAAATGTCCTATATTAATATAAATTATTTTGAATTTGACTAAGTAATACCTGTATAATTTTATTTTGACGATTAGTTTAGGTTTTTATAATGTTATATAAATACATATTATGTTCTTTTAGGTAGCTGGATACAGTACAGAGTTCCTGCCAGAAACTTTAGACAAGTTTTCATATCCCAACGGTACAGAATGGCAGAGAATGTTCAAAGAAGGACTTTTTACACTGCCCGACGAAGCTGAACTAGTCAATTAACAAATACAAATATATAAATCGTTATTATTTTATTAATATTCCATAAACCTAATATTTACATTAAGAAACTAATATCGAAAAATAGTATGTCATCAGTCAAAAAGTAAAACTTATAACTTAATACTATGTTTTCTTTTGAAATGCAAAGGCGCTTAATTTAGATTGTTTCGAGGCACTCGTCACAGGAGGATCTGAAGTCTCTGTAAGATCATCAATCTTTCGTTTTTGTCCGTTGGTTTCGTTATTATTGGCTTTTGTTTGAATACTCTTGAACATTCTGACACCGTGACGAGTGAGCTCCGAGGGTGTCAGCTCAGGTTGTTGCTGTTCCAACGTTTGTTTATTACGCGAAAACCAATCGACAAATGTTTCGCCTTCAAGTGGTTTCAATGGCTGTAACAAAGACATAATATGACGGCCTTAAAAATATAAATGTTATACAGATATATGGCAGATTCACCGTGCCGTGATAGAGTAAGGACATAATGTCTCAACTGTACTCTATTTTAATTCTAGGTTATAGTTATATACTGTTTATTTTTTAATATATTGCCACATATTAGAAAGTTCGGTAAAGAATAGTTTAAGGATAACTTTCTATGTAAAGTGTATTTTTTTTTATTTAACTTTTTCTTAATGTTTACTTACTAACGTATTTTCTGCAGGTACATCTGTTGAATGTACTTCTACCAAGGTCCTCTCTGTCAAACTCAAAGGACTCTGCACCTTTATTGCTTCTTGCTGCTTTCTAAATGGATTCCTCACACCACCGGGTGACGATTTAATGGGCTGAAATTATATTTGCATATATAATTCTGATACCATACCAAGAGACAAACAATCCTAATAGTAGAAACGACCAAAATGAATAAAACGACAACCGTTTCATTCATTTTGGAAACAGGCTTTTCATATTTATAATTTGTATTGAAGTAAGGCTCTGCTTTTTAAGATTCTATATGAGTTTTTCCGAAAAACTCATAGAATATTTCGTAAATTTATATCTAAGGCACTTTAATTATTGCTGATATAAGCACACTGGTACGTCAAAACACTGCGAGATAGCGTTACAATAACAATTAGAAATATATTTAGTATTTTACTTTTCCATTATCATCAAAGTGATAACATCCTTATAAAAGAAACTTCGTTCGCCATGATGCTATATTATATAACTTACCACTGGTTTAATTGGTGTAATATTCTCAATTTTCTTCTCTTTCGTTTTTTGTGGAATTATTAAACTCGTATTCAAGTCCTGTTCCGTGCTGGTAACATCATACGTCTCTTGAGTGTCCAATTCTTGGAAATGTGTATTTTGTGCAACGTTCATTTTGTCGGCCTCCTTCTCCCAGATGTCCGCCAAATTGGACAGCTTATCAGCTAAATGAATACGCCCTGAACGTGACGCATACTTTGCAGCTAATATCAATAATCGGTCGTCTTTCAATAATTCCATTAGTTCTATAGCACGCTGTTCTATTTCGCTACGACAGGCGAGCTAAAACATAAAAGTATATATTATAGAATAGAATAGAAAATCATTTATTCAAATAAACTTACATTGAAGCACTTTTGAATAGTCATTACATTTTTTTTAATCTACCGTTCGTTCGGAAAATTGTCTCATCACAAGAAGGACGAGCAAGAAACTTGCGTGTTGCTCTTTTAAATAATTATTATTACTTTACATTTTTAAGTTTAAGTGTGTGAATACAAACCACCAATTAGCTAATTCCACCAAACCACTAATTCAATTAAATACTCAAATAGAAAAAATATTGAATATATAACCAACTGGTTAAACAATTAATAAGAGGAAATCAGTCATAGTATATATATATATAAAACTAAACACTTTGAATGCGGCAGTTTGCTTTAAAAAACTTTAAGACAATATACTTTACTACTCACGGCAGTCGAGCTAAACGATAAAAAAGACAGATTTACTACTTAATCTGACTTTTTTATCTTTTTGTTCGACACAGAGCCGTAGTCAGTGGACAGATATGGGTCTCTATTAAATTTAACGGAGAGTGAAATCGCGGGCAGTTTCTAAATAAACATAAAAATAGCCATATTAGTAAATACTACATGTAGATATAATATCAAGCCACTCAAGGTCATGTCATCATAAAATAGTTTTCTAAAAGTAATGATACATTCCATGAATACTGGTATATGTGTATACTCCAAATTTAATATATAAGTCACGTAATTTTGTAACAATGCTTCATAAATATATTATTGTACTAAGACAAAGATGTACCGAATAAAATTAAATACATATTGCATTTCCTAGCTAGCAACATTAAGTTAACGTTATTCATGTACATAAGTTACATTGACATACTCGTATATACAATACATAATATATCAATGTGTAACTTATTATATTGTACAATGTAACTGTGTAAAGTCAATACTAGGAATACTCACTGCGAATAACTTGAGTGCAGTTTCACGGGCATTTTTCACGTCAACATCAGATGTTGTATGCGCCCATCGCACCAACTGCTCCTCGTATTGAGATTTTTCAGAATCCAATTCACATAATGGAATCTAAATTAAGTTAAAAAAATGCATTATAAATAGTAATACAGCAAATAAAAATTGTATATCTCATGTTAAATAACATCACATACCTGTATGGGAAGCTCGTTAATTATCGGCTTAGGAGCTGTAACGGGGAAAGAAGTTCCTCTGCACAATATGGCGCGTACAGTCTGAACTAGTTCGCTTACCTGTGAAGCAAGTTTGGAAAATGTATCAAACACAATTTTTATGTACATGGCTTTGTAGGTACATACAGTGCAGAATAATAGGAATACTTTTTTGTTACACAGATTAATAACTATATAGGATTAATGCCTTCTATGAAGGATAACGATTTTTATATACAGATATTAAATTATTTAATAAATAATGTAAAAAATCATATCTTTTGTAATTTGGAGTTTATTCATTAAAATCCAACTTAACCGATTTTAAAAATCTTACCTATAGAAAGTTAAATTTTTAACTATTAATATCATGTGTTGCATTTTATTTAAAAAAAAACTAGACACACAATCACACCTGCATGAAATCAGGGTGGTCACTAGTTACTTATGAACTTAAAATAATTAAATTATTATGGATACATACAGATACAACAAACCAAGTGTCAGATGCTCCTCTTGAATGGTTGTTAGTATCGCATATAGGCATCCACACGCCGCTAGCGACGTCGTACAGTCGCAGAACCCCGGTGTTATCATATGCACACGGGGAGCCCACGTCGGTGGCCCCGACCCATGACAATTTAGAACTCGGAGTCAGCGGTAGAGGAACTGTTTTACTACGAACTTGGCGACCTGTGGAATAATTCAAGAAAACCTTCACTACGATAAATATGTTTTGTTACACAATTAAGTATATAATCGTACTTTTGAGTTATCAATTAGTGATAGTGTATATTAATTAATAGAAACTTGTCATCATATAATATTAGTTAAAGATTGATTATAAAAACAAAAACATTCAAGAAATTAATTAAAACAATAGTGAATAAATAATATACTGATTACCGTTTGTAGCTATAATATCCATCGCTAGATGTTGATCTGAAATTCCAGGATCTGTTTTATGATAAACAGCCATCACGGTCGTATTATACGCAGCCAAACACACTACTGGGCCTGGTAACGATATTACCTGAAAAGATAAAAAAAAACTGAGTAAAAATATATTATACTTCGTAGTATATATCATACAAATAGTTCGCATATATATATTTAATTTAATTTATTGCATAAATATATCCATAAAATATCATCAACACTCTGAATCGAATACCTTGAACACGCAATTTTCTAAAAGTGAAGCATTGTATTGAAAAATCTCTAGTATTCTGGACTTGCATAGGTCTACCTTGCCTGTACTTTATACGCAACGGAGATAAACATTAAAAATAATTGTTAATGTTAAAGAGTGCTGTGTAGTGTTACGGTTAAGCCGGTGTACTTATTTACGATGGTGTTGAGTTTAATTTTCTTTATTTGTATTCAATAATATAATTGTCTGTAGTAGTCTGGGTTTTAAATAAACCTTTAATTATAATTAAAATTATAAAAATATTTAAGTAGTTTTTTCAGTTGTCTAGTACCCATAGTAAATGTTCTGCTTATTTTGGTATTATAAAGTGTTTTGTGGATTGTCTAGAGTTATTATTATGATAAAACATTATATTACCTGTCGTTGAGTGCCCATAGGTGTAAACAGCCTTAAGAGACGGGAGTTCGTGGCGCAGGCGACGATTCCACTGGCGGCCGTCACGCATAAAACTTCTTCTGTGTCAGGCAAGGAAACACTCCACTCCTTGCTACTACCCACCAGCGAAATGCACACTAATTTGCTAAAAGAATTAGATTTCTTTATTACATATTAATAAAAAAAACGAAATATAATAATTGACTATAAAATGTCTTAGATCAGGGGTGAGCATAGTTTTTCATAAACGGGCGAATTTAAATTTTTATATTTTTAAGCGGGTTTTACGTAAAGTAACACTTACTACAAATTTACATAATTTTATTCATAATAAACATTAGAATAAAAAATATATATAAAAATAAAAAAAGTAGATTCCATACACAAATTTTGTTATGCATAATAAAAACTCGCGCAGACGCGGCAAAAATCTGGTAACAACGCAGTCGTCCTTACACAAAGTTTACTGTTGCTAATACATAGACCAATTTAGATAAAAACTAGTATATATATTTTTACCTTGGAGTTTCACAGGCCAAAGCCAGAACTGTTGACGACAAACTAGCCATTGTATGATTCAAATAGTTGTTTAGATGTATACCATGGTGAATATTTGTATCATGGAACTCCACATCTATACTTGACTCTCCATTTTCTGACGTATGACATCGAACTATACCTATATCATTCCAACACATGTATCTGAAAAATATAGTAATGAAATTATTAGCTATAACATTTTTTAATGTCTAAGACATTAAATTCTTTAGCCTATTACATATTTAACCTACCACATGTATGAGAAATAAGATGCTAGTGTCTATATGATAACACCCGTAAATAATTAATTTAATGAAACCGGGTACGATACGGGACAATCATAGCAATTAACTTTTAGGTGTTTTTTTATCTGTTTTTTTTTGTTTTTGTTTGTTAATGTAATTAATTTTAGGTTTAAATAATAACATCGCTTTCGACTTATTTAATTAATAATAATGATAATATTAGAATTTGCTTTGTATAACTTACTAAGGAAAATGTTTTAATCTATTAACACTAAAAGCAATCATTATTCATATAAAACTAATTACACAAAGGAAAACGTATTCTAATATATTAGATATAAAATAGGGTTTTAGGTGTAACCTAACGTTATTTGCACTCAATGACTATGGAAACGGCTTATAATCAAGTGAAACATACACTTGTCACCTTTGTCACTAGAACTTAATTTCAAAACCATCTGTACCCGCAATTTCACCCGCTTGAAATTTACAGCCCTATTTGTTATTCTGATGTATATGCTATATTATCGTAAACTTTTAATAAAATCCATTCAGTAGTTTTTGTATGAAAGAGTAACAAACATCCATCCAACCACACAAAAATTCCGCCTTTATAATATCAGTAACATTATATTACCTGTGCTCTAAATGAGTAGGTGTAGACGAAGGTTGAAAAGGACCTTGAGGAGGTACAGTAGATGGTGGCGCTACTCGCGACGGAGGCCGGGAGTCATCGTGCTCAATCGGCAATCCCAGGGTTTCATTCTTTATTTTCTCCAACGAAATAGCATTGTCGTCATCACTGTCGTTACCAATTAAGTTGTCCACTATATCGTCATTGTCTACAACATTAAATATGTTTGGGTGTTGCCGTCTAAAAACGACAGTCAAAACTTGACTGGCCCTTCCCAATTTTATTTTATTTGTATCGAAATAAGTATTGTGTTAACAATATTAATAAATTGTATTTTACAAGACTATAAAAACAATATGGTGAAAGGATTCATTGAAAGAATGGTTGTAGCTTATAAATTCATAATAAAATAAAAACTTTCTGTAAAAACTTTCATAATACATATATGTCTCTACATATAATAAAGTAAAACAAAAATAAATTTGTCATAATTATGATTTTTTTAGTGCATAAACCTAAAAAAACTAAACTTACCGTCATCCCTCTCGACCATCTCAATATCATCCATAACATCAACATTATCACCTATTTGACGGCTATCCTTGCCATAACAATTAATAAGCGTACCGAGTTGACCCGCAACATCACAATACGCTAACACACCATTGCCTATAAAGAATAATGGTAATTACTTTTACATCTAGTGTTAGTTTGGCCTTTTAGAGCATTTGGTATGCTATAAATAGACTTGTCACCAGAGGTAGAATGTAAAAAGTCGTCTTGGAGCTCGCTTCGTAAGCTGTCTTTCTATTGTAGGCTACAGGTTAGGCGGTGAAATTACAGGATAAGAATCATGACATCTTAGTTCTTTAGAATGGTATCACGTCGAGTCATGTGATAACATAACTCTACTCCGCTACTTATTATTGAGTTGGACTTGCTATATAAATTAATTTGGAATGGTTATTTGATACTAAATATATGATAAAATATTTTAATTCCTTACCTTTAGGATTCCATGCCATAGCTGAAACATTATGAGATGTAGGATGTTCTACAACATCAAGGCATGTGCCTGTTTGCACCTCCCAAATTGCGATTTGCCCAGCTACTGTGCTTCCAGCTAGGTATTGTCCACAGGGTGAGAACAGGCATTGCGAAATAGCACATTTTATCTAAAAATAAGCAAAATTAATAGGGGAAGTAGGGATCGTAAGTAATGGGGATTGATGACCCCACTAATAGCAATGTACCAGTCTAGATAATCCTCATTAATGGCTAAATCCTGGAGAGTTTATCACAATGGTCTGACTGACCGACCACATGCTCATATCATCATCCTCCACTGATGCCCCACCAGTGTTTACACTAAAAAATCATATATAAAATAGAATGGAAATAGAAATTGAATCATATAAAATTAATTAAGATTTCATTTCTGTAATATATATTTTTATAATTTAAATTAATTTGGGGTTTTTGTTTTTAAACATGTCAACCCCAGATTTCTGTAATATATGAAATTATTGAAATAAACATAATAATACATTAATAAATTATAGTTCTACCCACCAAACCATGCGTAAAGGTCATCCTTTGGCTCCAGCTTTCACAATCTAAAAGAACTATTTCCCTGTTATTTGGATAAGCCAGATATTTTCCCTCCAATGGTTCAAAATCCATTCGACCTATAAAAACATGTAATAAACAGTATCTATATCAGACACACCACTATTACGATTGATAATAAATTTTCATTCTACTATTTTATTAATTACAAAATAAATTATTTATTTTATTTACTCATTTAAATTATGTAATTAACAAAATCTTACATATTACTTACATAGTGCTTTGGCAACATAAAATGTGTTAATTTTAGTGACACAGGAGACCTCCTTTACTATATTTTGAGTGTCTATGTCCCAGATCCTCATAACACCATCCCCACTTGCAGAGCTTGCGTATTTCATATGTGGACATATGGCAATACTTAATACAGGACCCTTGTGTTGTGACATAATAAACAGTGGTGCTCCACCTTCTAAACTACAAATTTTTGCCTCCATATTTTCAGATGAGCATCCCAATGCCTATAATAGACAAAAAAAAAATAATAATCCACATATGTGGATGAAATCACAGGCACCACCAGTTTATAAATACATACCTCCATTTTACTTGCAGACTTAATTTGTGTGACTGGTGCAGTAAATCTAGTGACAATGCCATCTTTATCAAATGCTGGAAAAGTGTAAGCTTGAACTGCATGATTGTCTGTGGCTACATATAGTCTCTTCTCCTTAAAACATATGGCAAGTGCACTCTCCCCTACACAATGGGATATGGGGTCATCATCTTCAATATCCAACCAAATTCTTACATCACCATCATGTCCACATGTGATTATGTTCCTGTAATTATTAAGGATGTTATAAGGCAGTGAAATTATAGTATATTGAAGCATATCTTGGTTCTCCAATACAGCAATGCATGAGTATCACAGTCATCTCAGGATAATGTCCATGATGCTGATCAATGGCAATTTATTATAAGGTCAGTGCTTGTAGTGATACAAATAAGAAGATATGACTAGCTTATTGTAGGTTTTACTACTTATATGTACATATATCCAACTCTTCATGTCAGGTTACTTTTAAAGCAACTAATTATCAAAGCTTCTTTCTTCACATGCTTAATCCATACTAAATTGCGAAAGAGTGCATATTACCTTTTCACAACCAATAATGAATTTATATTGAATTGTATAACAATATTATATTAGGCTGTATTACTTACAAAAAATATTCCAGGAGTGTCCCTGGAATATTTTTTGTAATATGGGCTGTATTATTATTACAAACAATGATATGTATACTTATTGACCAAATTTTTAAATTATTTATTTGTATAATGGTCTACATTTAAATATGTATGCAGTAACATAATGCAACTGTAATTTCTCCATTCAAATCAAGTTGTTTAAATATATTTAATACTAACTTTCCATCTTCCGTATAACAAACATCAGTGTGTCCTTCAGCGTGAGCATATCTTAACGGTTTGCTATCAATTTTCATTTTTTTACAATTAACTTTCACGGATATAATAAATTAACAAACCAAATAGTAACACATCAGACACAATTCACGTTTAACATTATCCAAATGAGAGCAATCACGAAATAAAACTATATAAATAACATAAAGTAATAGAACATTTTAACACGAAGAACAATAACAATGTCTTTAAAAAATACGTATAAAATAACAAATATAAATTAAAAATTAAAATCACTACCAAGTCTTCAAGAAAATTATCAAATAAATGTGACAAATATTTTGGCGGGATTTTTTTTTTTATATTTTAGTGTTTCCATCTGTCATGGCCAGCTCTTTCAAAAATACAATAGCGTTTCGATTAATTTAGCCTTTTTTACTTTAATATAGTCTGTAGTTACAAATCTTATATTACTAGTTTATCTAATATAAAATTTGATATATTTCGAAAATTATGAAATGGTTAAAGAACATATTTTTAAATAATTTATTACGATATAAATTCAAGGACGTATTTTTGGTACAATTTGTAGGAAAACAAAGGATAATCTTGCAATACTGTTTTTAGAGATGAATATGACAAATATATCGATATTAGAGCTGAGGCGAATGGTGCGTAAAGAGTAGATACTTTCTAATTCTTGTAGTCACTAGTTACTGTAGTAACTAAGTGAATGTCGATATCTGGTATAAATGTATTATGATTACATAGCGTTTACAGTTTCTTACTACTTAATTATCTTGTTATTGGTACATAACTTTACACTAAATAGAAAAAATGTACACACAAAGGCCAAATCTCTCAATGAAACCTATATCGAAATATACTTATTCATGTAGGTCTAGTACAGAATCATATTATAAATCCACCATCAATTCGAAGTACACCCGACCTAAAAAAACCAACATGTAATGATATATATAAATATTGTCTATATAACTAGTACCACTTGATTTAGTGATTAGTACCTACGAGTTGTATTGAAAAACAAGGTACTTGATCTTTTACACATTATTATTGTTATATAAATAAAAATAATTATAAAATAGAATATCAAGCACATGCCGTGCTTGGAATGTACTGACTAATAAACTTTATAGCACATATGTAATATATATAGGAAACATCGAGACCAATATAAACAATAATACAAATTCTTGTACTGTGCTACGAATTGAACCCGTGAACTCGTTAAGTCTTAATGGCCATGATGGTCAAGCCTTTTAGTATACCTCACTTTCGTTTGATGATCTCGGGATCAATTCGTGTTAGCAGAAATATCGATAAATCGATTCTATTTATTTTTTGCTTCGGCGACATCGTTACTTTATCGACAATACGCAATCTTTGTTGGCATCTCTGCCTGAAGGAAAATCCATCAAGCAGAATTACGAAATGTAATTTGACATTTGGTTTTCATTAATACCGGCCGGTTTTAGTTTTATTCAAATAATTTGAATTCGAAACTGTAGTAAACTATATAATAAATAAGTATTAAAAAAGTTTGAGCACTATTAAACGGAAGTGAATTAATACCCAAAGTAAGTAATTATTTCTAATGGGGTTAATAATCCTAATACTTTGCAAAAAAGTGATGTAATAAAGCATGCCAAAAAATCACGCTTTGACCTTGATTTTCGCGAGTTTCTAAATTAAGGACTAGATATATCGATCTGCAAAATTTAGTAACTACCATATTTGGCATGGGGATTCGGAATGATTTATTGAATTCGCAAAATATAACGTTTATTATAAGGTGTCCGCGGTTATATGAACTAACTTTTCGCTAACCAATATCTTCAATTAAATATACATCGCTAGATATTTTTGAAGTTAGGATATTAGTCATATTATCAGGAAAAAAATTATAATATTTTACAAAGTTATAAACTTTGATATCATTTGTTCATATATGTATTGGATCACATTTCTAGCACTGTAAATGGAAATTGTCTACCTGTATTCCGGTATTATTTCATTTACTCGAAACTTAAAAAAAAAAATTACTATCTTGTAATTAATATTATAGAATTATTAAAAATAGGTTTAGTAAAAATTATCTGTAACGATTAAAAAAAACATTATTTATAATATGAGAACAAATTATGTAGAAAATTTAGTTGTTATTTTAAAACATCATCTAATATGAAATAAATATTATTTTAAACATTAAATTAAAAATAAATATGATATCAATGTTACATTGTATACCAAAAAAAATTACAATGGATACATAGCTACCAATTATTATAAAAATTAAATTAAAAAAAAAAATATTTATTTCATTTAAAGTTCAAATAAATAACTAAAACTAAAACACTTGTAATAGATACAGAGGTATCTGCTGTATACCATATATGGGTGCAGCTGGTGCCTTTCACATTTCTTTACGCATGATGCAGATGCAGTATCATATTCACATTAATAAGTAAAATTGACACATACAGAATGTGAATAATGAAATTTATTTATAAGTAACAACTCAGTGGTTTGAGTTATATGTATATTATATTTGGACTTCATATATTGTGATTTAATTGAGACATTATATTCACATGTTAATGAGAAAATCAACAGTTTGTGATCTTATTTACCCATTAGGCAAGTATGTAAGTTGTATTTTGTATTTAAATTTTAATAATTTAAATATGAATAATTTTATGTATCATAATTCTATAAAATATATTTACAGTCTGTATGCATTGTATGGTATATAATATAGGTATATGATATTTATGAATAATATTTTAGATGGCTGATCAAGGGTTTTTGAAAGATAAAGCAGGCTATGCCACTACTGCAATTCATGCCGGTCAAGATCCAGAAAAGTGGAAGTCTGCTGCTGTTGTACCCCCTATAGTTACTTCAACTACATACAAACAACCAGCACCTGCTGAACACTTGGTATGTGGTAAATATATATATATCATATAATATATGATATGTTATTTACACTAGTTTGTTCATTAAAAGGAGCATTAATTAATTCTATATTGAAATAAAATCAAGAAGTCTATAATTATATTCTAAATAGTCTATAATTACATTTTTTTCTGTCTCTCTGTGTCAACACTACATACAAACTAGTGAATCAGTTTTAAGGAGTTTTAAATAGATTTCACTTTTCTAGAGAATATTAAATAGTATAGCAAATAGTGTCCTCTCTGAGTATAAATGAGTAGGTTAATAAATATGTAGGTTATATGGGCCGAGAAAGAATCTTGAATACTCTTCACATTTATCAATATTCATATTAGCCTAGCCATGTAGATAAAATGTGGTTAGATAGTACATAATGAAAATTATGGGCAAGGGCCTTTAACACATGTCTGTCTATTATATTTTATCTATTTGTTGACACAAAATTTGTTACAAATATTATTTTTTTGTATGGAGAGATTTATCAAGAAATATGTTTTTTATTATATTGGTGCAGGGCTTTGAATATGGCCGATCAGGAAACCCCTCCAGAAATACACTAGAAGAATGCTTGGCAGCATTGGAAGGTGGCAAATATGGCGTCACTTTTGCTTCTGGCCTTGGTGCTACCACAACAGTGGTAGCGCTACTTAGTAAAGGTGATCATATTGTATGCAGCGATGATCTCTATGGTGGCACCAACAGACTATTCAGGTAATTAAACAGTGGATAGAAAATTGTGTCTCAGTTTATATATAGAGCAAAGTGGCTTGTGTAATCATATCTAGTATGCACCAAAGAATACTATGTAATAATTTATATTTCTTACTTACATTCTGGTGATATAAATACCCATAACAAATAAAATCAATATGAAAGAACGCGGAACGCGTATATTGTGCGAAATATGGATGTACCTAGTCTTGCGTTCACAACAAAATTGACTTCTTTTATATCTACGTAAAATAATTTTTAATTTGACCTGAAATTATATAACACTACATTTTGTTTCAGAAATGTAGTAGCACGCCAGGGCATCGAAACCACTTTCACTGACTTTACAAATATTGAAAGTATTGAAAAGGCTATTCAAGAAAACACCAAGGTAAGTGTGTTACAATTTTTATGCATAAAATAATGATTTATAAGTGTAAGTATCAAATTATAACAACTTTGAATACTTTATTATAACGTAAATAAGTTAACGTAACATAACGTTTTGTAATAAACTTTGTTATAATAAACGTGACAAGCTGACTGGATCGATTATACATACATAATGAAACTGGACGGTGTGCTAATACCGAGGCCATAGATTGTTGGAAAAAGATTAGATGTCCTAGACATATGTTGTATTTGTGCTGGCCTCATGGTGACTACAATAGGCTGTATCTATAATTAATACAGTCTGTGGAATATATCCTTAGGAGTATTTCTTGTATTGTTTTAGATGGTCTGGATAGAAACACCGACCAACCCTCTTTTGAAGGTTGTGGATATTGCTGCCGTCACTGCTGTTGTTAAAAAGCGCGGTAACATTATAGTTGTTGTAGACAACACATTCCTCACGTCTTATTTACAAAGACCCCTAGACTTCGGTGCAGATATTGTAATGTATTCACTAACAAAATATATGAATGGGCATTCAGATGTTATCATGGGCGCAGCGATATTGAAAGACCCTGTAATAGAAGAAAAACTTAGATTTTTGCAAAATGGTAAGTATTCTGTAAACTACAATAAGTTCCCCTTTTGTTCATTAGATACTTAATATAAACTAGACACCAGAACAATTTGCGTCAAATAATTTCAGTCGATAGGAATATGTTTAGAAGACTATAGCAAGCCCCGCGTTTTTGTATGTATGTACTATTTGTAGATTCCAACTATTGATGATAATCAAACGACGGCAATAAATACAACTATCTATTTTTTTTATTTATGGCACACAGTTACCTAGATACATCAAAATAATAATTGCATTTAATAATGCCTAGTAAGACAAATTCAATATTGTCTACTAAGCACTACTGTGTCTAAACTGTGGGGTAACACACCTTACATTTTCCTATTGTTATTTAGTATATAAGATCAATATTTCTATGTACATATTGTCAGTTTATTATCATCTGTAATATACATCGTCTCGACCAACAACATAGTATCACTCACCCGCAACAGTGGTGACCCCGACGTGATTCATCATCATGTAGTTGTCTTTTATTCATAAAGTAGACGGTGTATTAAAAAAATTTGCTAATAATAAAAAGTTCACCACTTTCATGTTAAGCGGTTACATGGGTTTCAGAGGTACAAAAAATAGGTATTATTACGATATTTTTTAATATAAGCAATCATATATTTTAAAATTTTTTAAATAACCTATCAAAGGTACACATTTTCATTTTTTCTTTCATTCAACAATGTCTCCACAAAATTTTATAAAAAAATATTGAAAATCAGCCGTTGAGACCTCATCTCCCTGGGCGTCTTACAAAAAAGTGCTCGCGCCGTGGACAGCATAACTTATTATTTTAGTTTATCTAAAATTAAAAAACCAAAATGATTCCGTTAGTACATATATAAATCTCGTATTTGAACGAAGGAAAAAATAAAATAAAATTTACATTTTTTCTCCGATTTTGAACAAAAAAATTTATTTATTGGTAAATTTTCGCCATTTATTGGCTTAAAAAAATAAGTTGTAATAAAAATAAAAAAAAATCCTTCGTTCAATAACTAGATAATATTATTTTAAAGATGTGTACACAATTTCAATTAAATCGGTCCATAACTTTTCGGGAAATTGTGTGCACCGCCTTCAAAAATGGAGTTTTGAGAAAAACGCGTTTAAAGTTTTAAGTTGAAATTACATGCAAATATTTTTTTTTTTTCAAACTTACATGGAATCATCGATTCCAGCACCATAAAGTAGAGTACCCGCAGCTGCGGCAATATCTAGGGCATCCTTTTGCTATTGTCTGTGACGAATTCTAGCTACACCAGTTCTCAGCTTTTTTTTCGGCAATGCATAAAAAGTAACAAAGCTGAGACTCCTTCATTAAATGTGCCAGCAGCGACATATACAGAGATCCTACACCAACGCAGCACGATGGGCGGAACTTCCGAAGGGTCTAGTTCTTAGAAGTTTACTCGGATGATTTGAAATTTTGAGAGAATATGTTTAACATATTATACTATTTAATAAGACAAAATAAATATCGATTTTTGGAAATTTTAAAACCCATGTAACCCAACAATTAACATATTGCGTGGAAATTTGATTGTAAATCCTCCAGTGGTTTTTACGTGAATCAGTTTCATTATAATTTTATTACATGTAAAAATTGTGACTAATCGGCGTCACGCTATTGACTAGTTCAAACAATCTACTTGTAGAAGAATGAAGGAACGTAAAATAAGTAAAGTACTCCTTACATACATATAAAATTTGCATAATATCTAAATAATAAATATGCTATTATTAGAAATTCTTCACCCCCATTGTTGCATTGTAAGCCAGTAATGAATAAATGAATAAAACTCTATATAGTTCCTCTCACAGAAAATACAGTTACATACATAATTATGTATAAATTCTTTAAATACACGATTATAAACAAGACAAAGAGGTAACAACAGGCGGCCTTGTCGCTAAAAAGCGACTCTTCCAGGCAATCTTAGGATGGAGAGAAGTGATTAGATTTGCGTCTGGTAGAGGTGTAATAATGGTAACAAATTGACACAATGTTATTAATATAAAGTATACATACAAAATAATATTATATAGGTACATATATAAGAAATTGGTAACAATACAATACCTACTTATTACTTTTTAGGCATAATCTTGCACAATACATTTGTGTATATAATTCGGCAGCGAAAATTATATTATTTGCACTTAGTGTCACTGCTGATACATATGTTGCTAAAAACAAGCGTCATATGCTTGTTTAATTATTAATTATCATGTCATCATCATAATATGTTATTGGTTTTACATGTTTATTCGGAGCAGCGTCTGATATTAATTTTATTTATTAAAATACGGCAACATTTAATTCTTTACTTTCTTTTACTAGGAACCCGCCCCGGTTTCGCTAAAGTGCTCATAATAGCTGGTCATTTTCCATCAGATGGACAGTCAGCTAGGTTGCCATTCTAATATCGTAAAAAAAAATAACAGCACGTACCACGTATTTCTTCTTACTTTGACGCTATTTCATATACGGGATAGACATAGAAGTTCAAAAACCTGTTGGAAGTCTGCTTAGTAATAAAAATTACAATCGACACATGTTGTAGTTGTAGATATGTATTGTGATTTATTGAGCACGTTTTCAATTAGTGTCAATAAAATACACATTTACGAGTCATTGTTACAATGATTCTTTTTTTTAATAATTTTCCTCAAAGTGTGTTCTAATACAATTTGAATAGTGATTATGTCATCACGCGACTGCTTCGCTGTTGCCGACACGGCAATTAATTTTATAATTAAGTAGATATACCTATTCTGGTTATTTTAATGTAGCATATTTTGTATACTATCTCGATACGTGTGTTTATAAAACAACGGTGCATAATTAAATAAGTACAATAAAAAGCATATCAGTCGTTTACTATCCGAATTAAGAAAAACAAAATCTTTCAATTTTAATCTAGCCCCAAGCTAAGCAGAGCTTGTGATATGAGTACTAAGCAACTTATACAAAATCTAAATGCATTTTTTTAAATATATAGAGAACACCCAGACTGTTACAAACAGAATACAGATGTTTATTCCTTGCGAATCGAACACGTGACCGTCGGAAGTAAGACAGTGGGCTAAATAGCTAGATCACTGAGGCCATCATAAATAAATTATTAGCTAAGTTAAGTATGATTGGAATATGTAGATATTATGGTAATAGGCTTGAATACTTTAATGAAAATAAAAATCTGAAGTCTGTAGAGCGAAATCGACCAGACTAAAAATATTTCAGATGGCCTTTAAAGTTATATTTAAAATATTTTATTTTCAGCTATGGGAGTAGTACCATCACCGTTTGACTGCTACTTAGTAAATAGAAGTTTAAAAACGTTAGCACTTCGCATGGAACGTCACAGGACGTCGTCATATCTCATAGCTAAATGGCTAGAACAACACCCCAACGTAATTCAAGTATTACATCCAGGTAAAATTATTTGATTTCAATATAAATTTTACACTATATGAAAATCCGTTGCAAAACCAATTTATTCTTATAGGATCATTTTTAGCCAAATGTGCAGGTAACTTTTTATTACGTTATTTGAAGTTGAAGTTAGTCAACGGTTAGTTGAAGTCTTTAGACGATATTGATCTTGTCAGTCCATATCGTCTCCCTTATATTATATTTAACTAGCTGTGCCCACGACCTCCTCTCTTTTTTGTTGACATAAAAGATAGCCTATATTCGTCCTCAGGATACATATCTGCATATTAATTTCATTAAGATCCGTTCAGCCGTTACCAAACGGTAACAAACCTACAGACAACCAACGCATTTTAACATTTATAATATTAGTATGAATACAAACGTCTACATATAGAATTTAATAATGTTGCTCCGTGATGATTACTTTTTTTCTTATAAACTGCACCTTTAATTTAAGCGATTTATTAGTAAGCTATAGTTTAGCAAATAAGTATACTACGAAAGAAATCACACATCAATCTTTATTCACACATTTCAGGCCTCGCATCGCATCCACAATATGAAATATCGAAAAGACAAACGGGTGGACATTCTGGCGTCTTTAGTTTTAAGCATTCCGGTGGTTTGGAAGAATCACGAAAGTTTTTAAGTTCCTTAAAAGTATTTATATTAGCTGAAAGTTTAGGAGGCTATGAAAGTTTGGCAGAACTACCGTAAGTACTCATTATATAGTAACATACCATACAAAATATAGGTGTAAATGCATAATAATAAAAAAAGAAATTCGTTTATTGAATATTAATTATCGTGAAGGAACAGGATTCCACTCGGGCACTTGGATTTTAAAGTTTTATTTACCAGTATGTAAAACTGCACCCATTTCACTTCTTTATGACTGACTAATATATTTGCATATATAATGTATATAACTTTTATTAATAATATAGCTGTTCCCTAACTAACGTAGGTCGAAATTTAAAAATACATAATTTATATGGGGCTCATAGATAATTTGTTATGTCATTCCGTTGAGTTAGTTATTGCCTTTTAGTTGCATATGTGGTGAACTGTCAGCAACCTTATAAAGTAATAAATTAAAACTGTTTACATTTCATCACACGTAACTGTATGTGAATTATGACTAAAATATAATATGTCGCAATGTTTAATAATTGCTTATCAGTGAAGTACGCATAGTAAGCATCGTAAAATGTAATGTAATAAATTTTCAGTTTATGTTACATCATCATTATTCCTCCAATTTTTTAACCTGTTCATAATACACTACTCAATATGAACGTTAGTTATTCAATCGTTAATTCATCCATCAAACTTGTCTTACATGCTTATGATATTAGGAAGATTCTACTTATTTTTCTGTATGAAAAAAGTTTCAAATGTCGCATAAAACTCTTTCTTTGTAAAAAGCTTATTATAAAATTGTAGAGTCTGTAAATGACTATAATTTTTTTGTAGAATAACTTAAAATTTATAGCCCTGACAACATTATTTCTGTGTTAATTATCGCATGCCTTATGTTACTGTGTATTTATTTATTTAAAATAACATTTATTCAAAAGAGCAACACACAAGTTTCCTGTTCGTTCTTCTTGTGATGAGTCTGCATTCCGAATGAATGGTAGAATAAAAAAAAATATGGCTATCCGTATCTTTAGCAAAGCAGCTTGCTTGGTGCCTTATCATGTTTACTATTTAAACATTTTTGGCCTCTTCAATTATTTTGTGAATTTCCTCCTATACTTCGTGGGAAATACGTATTGCATTTCCACTAATACTATAAGGAAATAGTATCACTTGCAAAAAACAAGAGGAAAATAATATACCTATTATAACAATTTGTGAGCTTCTTTTCCTTACTTTATATTTACACTAATTCACTGTATATTCTGTATTACAAGGATTTCATTTGTATATTCTGTATGGTCGGCGTAATATGTTTTTCTCTTCCATTCATCCCTGTCATTTCATTCATTTCATTATTTACTCCGTTTCTTATCATATCATCTTTCACACAGACGATCCATATCTTTTTCGGACAGTACATTTTTATGAAAGTACGTTAAACATTTGAATTTCATTGACAATAATATTAGAAACTGAAAACGACATTTTTCCCCTCTAAGATTGAAGACAATCCAGCATGATGATATGCGTTCATTATGAAAAGTTGATTTAATTGAAAGATCATTTTTCGTATTATTCTAAGGAATATTTCTTAACTGTTTGTTTCGTTTGGTAGGTTCTATCATATTTCTATTAATAATACATTTAATATAGGCAGTATAATAAAATAATCTGATGTTGTTTGTTTACAGATCAGTAATGACTCATGCGTCAGTCCCTGCACAGCAACGTCTCGAACTCGGTATAACTGATTCGCTGATAAGACTTTCCGTTGGTTTAGAAGATGCGACAGACCTTATCGACGATTTGGATCAAGCTTTTAAAGCTGCATTTTGAATATCAATAACAATATAGCCCATTATTACCTATTGTATTAATTTATTCACTGTTCATAACAAACGTATAACGTTTGTAAATGTAGGTACCACATATAAATGTTAAAGCAACATTTAAAATTCTAATGTGGAAATGAATAAGTACGCCGGAAATAACTTTACATAGTTCAATTGAGGGTAAATGTTACGTGTTTGGTGTATAATATATACCTATTAAGTTATCTATTAATGCAGTGTTCCGCATAGTGTGTGCCGCGGCACACTGCTATAGCGCGGTCTTTAGTTGGTGTGCCGCGGAAAATTTAAAATAGAACCTTATTGTTACATTAAATAAGGCACATATTTCTCAATATACACACTGTAAAAATTGTACTTTATTTGGTGTACCAACAAAACGTCATGATTTGCTTTGATTTCTGAGGTGTACCTTGAACACAAAAAGTATGCTGAACTCTGTATTAATGGTTTAGAAAAGCCGTGGTTCAGGATCGACGCACGGCGACCGTAGTGTATGTGGAAACACTAGCAGTTTATTATCTATCGTCGAGCCGATATTACGTCGATAACAACTTACATACAAGAAGACATAAATAACAAATAAGTGAACACTATATGTGGCGACGAGGCAAAATGGATATAAATAAAGATAAGTACAAAATCATTTAATAAGATATACATATACCTACGGGTACGGAGTAATTACAAATTTAGAAGGATTATGGTGGGGCCGCACGGGGAGCGAATTATATAGACCTATACAGAAAAAACAATAGCTGGGTAACATCGGTTTACGATCGATTTGCGCCAAGTAAGTAGGTACCTAATTATAAATTGTACTTGCTATACCTATAGTGTCTCTAGCTGGTAGGAATAGTCGTATTAATAATCATTATAGTAATATGTTTACGTATATCCGTGATTTATTATTTTTAATGTATGATAATGGTGTACTGCCTGCGCTGGCGTGGCACTGATGGAGTATGGTAGAATGAGCGGGGGGGATAGGATCGGTTGGCCCGTCGTGGTGGGTTCGTGTTAATTTGTCGCGATGGTTTCTGGGGGAGCCGCGTGGAGGTCCCTCTGGCGTCATATATTGTTAGCAGTGGGATTATTTTAACAATCCCATTCCCCCTTCCGTATTTCCGTGTTGAAATAAAAAAATCGGTAATGATTGTTGTTGCCGCTGCATGTTCGTTTCATAAGGGGACGGTGACGGTGAGATGTTTAGTGGGACATCATATTACGTGATGCAATAGACCTGTGGGTATGAAGTATAATAGAGCACTGTGCGGGCGACACGTTTGTTTTGCTTTATCTTTTCTAGGTGTCGATGCACTTTAATTACTTTTGGCAATAGGGCCGCCTTATTGTATTTATACAGAGGTGGTGACTAGTGTTCAAATGTCACTATTTTCTTTTAGAGTATTGCTGCAAATGGAAGTGGTCTAAAGTTCCTCTTTCTAACTGTAATGATCACATGATAACCTAATATTACATTTTGTACAATATATTATATTACGATGTAAATAAAAAAAAAAATATTACGATGTTGTCGGGTGATACGATATTATTACAAATGATGGTGAGCTGACAATTGTACCTGCATTATAGTACTGATGTTGGGTATTATATACAAAACAACAATAGTAAAATCTAAGGTGGGGTGACACACACGGTTTGAGCAGTACTTGGTGAACAATATTTATATTTGCCTTAATTGATTGCAAGTGTTGAAGTATCTGGGTAACAGTGTCCCATACATTTCGATGCGGATGAGTTGTTCGGAATACCTGCAGACTATTTTATTCTGGTATTCGAGCAGAGCCGCGAAGTAGTGTGGTTAAAATGTTTTTATTTGGATTGGATTTGGCTTTTGGATTATATAATTTATAAATAATAATTATTAGTGAGCATTCCAATGGATGCCGGTGGGAATTGCAATTGTTTTGCATAGGAAGGTTTTAAATGTAGATTAATTATTAGTTTGATATATTATGTTGGGGTCTACTATACATGTCGTATAGTGCAAGGTGCCTATCTACTTGTCTGGCATATTTTTACCAATTTGTGCTTTGTGTTAAAATGAAGCGCGCATCTACACTTGCGACCTAGAAGGCAATCTTTTGGTTTGGTGAATTTAGTGTCTAATGAATTTGTTGAAGAAAAACAAAAAACAACGTAGTCAAGAGGTTGAGATGCCGACTATTATATTGCGAGGAAGTGTGTCGCTAGTTATGGTCGGATGTAAGGTACAGGAGTGCTGTTTCTGTATGCGGTGTGTGGTTTCTATAGTCAGTAACACTGGAACGAGAAAAATGATACCTAATTATGTATATAGAATTATTCTATTATTTTTACAGCAATGACAGTGATTAACTTTTAATAATAAGCTATAGTATAGTACAGTGGTGGTGAGTATGTCTTTATGGAATCATATTTAAGATTCTCTCTAATTTAAAAATACCAGTAAATTAGAAATTGCACAATAATGGTTACATGAAATAGAACTACTATTAAGTTCTGAATTATTGTACCTACTCGCCTAATGCATTATGCGGATGAGTGAAGGGGTTATTAGAGTGGAAAAAAAAAATGTTTTTTACATTCTTTGAAGTTTCGGGAACATGGAATAGAATATGAATATTCTTTATTTAAAGAAGCTTGAATAAATAATAGGAATAATAGCCATAATTGCATTAATGTACCGCATTTAGTAGCTGTGGAATGGAGTTAGAATTTGTTTTGTGATCACATGCAGACAGCGCTGACAGCTGTTTTATATGAATGTGACGGGGATGTTGGAGCGATGGGGAGTCATTTTTAATTGACAGTTAATCCAGTTGCGGCTGGAGTTGTGTAGTGTCGCGATACGCGAAATAAGTGTATTAATGTGGTTTTGAGTTTTGAGATAGCTAATAGGAAATGATACCTGCTTCCTCCCGCGTACACTTAAATCGTGGAATGAACTTCCTGCCGAGGTTTTCTCACGAGACTACAGCATGGGGTTTTTCAAAAAGGGTATATTAAGGTTTCTTAAGTGTCGGCAACGCGCACGTGACACCCCTGATGCTTCAGGCGTCCATAGGCTACGGTAACCATTTACCATCAAATGGGCCGTAGGCTTGTTTGCCACCATAGTAGTATAAAAAAAAAAAAGTAGTTGTAAAATATATACATGTATTTGTTTATCGTCATAGTACTGGTGTTGGTCGCTCTCTAAATACTTTGGCCGCATTGCAGGGTAGCTTAGACAAATTAGCGTGTTTTAACTTTTACATACGTACTACAGTGCAACCTCGATAAAACAAATCGAAAAAAAATATATATATATATATATAGTATATCAAGTAATTCGTTGAACTGAGATTTATTATGTTGAAGGTACGTTGGTCTAAACTTCGTTATAAAAAGGTAAAAAAAAACTGTCGTAAGCTATTTCAACTTGAATCTTTAATAATAGTGACGAGCAGCAGTGTTTACAAAACTTTACATTACTTTCCATCGAACAACAATTATTGTTCTACGAACATAAGTACGTCGAAACATGTCCTGACATGAATCACATTTTATGAGATAAGAGATAAGTAGAGTTAGAGTCATACCATTGGTGGGAACATTATATAAAGGTTTTGGGTTAAGAAAATTCCTTAGAAAGAGGTGTTTTTCCAAATTAAAAAAAAATAATAATAATAATGTCGCAATGTAAAGGTATATTTTACATCGATTCTTATGGAAAATCCAAGGGATTACAAAGAATTAGTTAAATCAAGGAAGTCGTTATATACGAGGTATATTATTGTGAATGAGGTGCGTTATATTATGGCTGCACAATTATTATTATTATTATTACTAGATAATAATGTAAACCATGATGCATGACAGTAACAATTACTAACGATACATTATTGGAAAAAAAGTGGTTCTGAGGATACTATTAGTATTCCTATACTTTAGATTAGAATTATTTACTGGACATTCTTGTGGAGTAAATAAATCTGAAATATGTTTAATATTAGTAGTCATAAATGTATATATTGTGAAAATTAAATGGATAAGAGTGGCGTTTAATTGTCTTATAATTATAAAATTTGGTGTTTTGCAGGAGTCCATGATTTGCTTATAAATTGACTATTGGCTCGGATGACCTTAAAGAAATTAGCAAAGGAAGAAAAACAATGAGCATAATACTAATAACCAATACTTAAAGAGGATGAATTAAGAAGTTCAATGGAGTTATAATGACGGTGACAATGGCATTGATATTCTAAAAAAGGAGCTACAGAGGTAAGGTAGACTGGGCCGTCAAGCATTAAATTGCGTATTGACGGACAGGTTGCATTAAATTGCGTTGGCTGGGCCATCAGGCATTAAATTGCGAACTGATGGACAGATTGCATTAAATTGCGTTGGCTGGGCCATCAGGCATTAAATTGCGAACTGATGGACAGATTGCATTAAATTGCGTTGGCTGGGCCATCAGGCATTAAATTGCGAACTGATGGACAGATTGCATTAAATTGCGTTGGACTGGGCCGTCAAGCATTAAATTGCGTATTGGCGGACAGGTTGCATTAAATTGCGTTGGCTGGGTCGTTAAGCATTCAATTGCGTATTAACGTCCAGTTTGTGTTAAATTGTCTTTGGCGGGGTCATCAAGCATTGTATTGTGTATTGATGAATGGTGTCCTATTCATTAAAGGTAAATTGATAGAATGTTGCATTAAATTGCGGTTGAATATAAGTAATAAAAAATTGCCAGTTTTAATGCATATTAATTATCGGAGTGAAATGGAGCGGATTCAGTAAAATATAATAAGTCAAAAGTCATAGGACACACATTAATTTTGGTCGAAAATATAATTTCTATAACTAATATAATTGACGATTGCTGGAGTACGTAGAGTCGCTGTGGTGATATATGTGGTATATGTGGTATATGTCGATCGCTCAAAGACTGGTCTGACAACCTTTCCTAATATTTTAGCACTGAATTAATGCAGGTGATAAGAGAGATAATTTTGGTACGATGAAGAATGGTTATAGTTATACCCAATTAATACTATATGGACTGATATCAGATGTGTAGACAGAATATAGTGGAAAGTCGTTTGCAATTGTTGATGCAACTCTTGATATAATAATAATATTCTGATATACCACCACAGGACCCATCAATATTTTATGGAATGATAATAATAAATAGTGGGGAGTTTTGAAGAAATTCCAGATTGTGTTTTAGATAATCAGTTTTCAAATGTACATGATAAAGAAAAATACTACATGTAAATAACACATTGCATGAGACAGATAGAATGAAAAAAAATATAAGTATTTACCTTAAACCTACAAAATATAAAGTAGTGACTACTATGATAGAGATATTCTGGTCATAAACATACAACATTTTTTCAGAAGTGCTTTATACTAATCTTACATAATATTACACAATAACAAAGTGGAATAACGATTATATGAAAACAAATATAAAAGAAGAAAGGTGAAGTATGTGAAACACAGAGTAAATTGGAGTTAATATATAAATGTAATTTATATTCGAAAGAGGAGGAAAAATCACGGTGCTGGTTACGCTGGAAAGGCCAATCGCACTAGAGGCATTCGGCTTATGTGTGGCAGTATAGTGTCAAAATGAGTCCACCATCGGTGTAACGTAGCACACATGCCTCCAAGGAACAAATACCTAATAGAGTGGATTGATTCATGCTTGAAAAGAAAATAAACTTAAAAAGGAGAGAGATGTAGTGTATGTGGAAACACTAGCAGTTTATTATCTATCGTCTCGAGCCGAGCGTACACGGACCGCCGTGCGCAAGAGGGAGGGGATTCCCTGCGCAAGCGCCGCGGAGTAAAGACGTGGAGCTATGGCTAACGAGCCGATATTACGTTGATAACAACTTACATACAAGAAGACATAAATAACAAATAAGTGAACACTATAGCGACCTTTCACAGTTTTTATAAAAATGGCTGTGTTTGAAATATAATTCAAATTGTACAAAGTTGTTACGGTACCTACATAATATTTAGAACCGTTTTTGTATATTCCGATTATTTATGTCTTGTTGAATTATTTATAGATAGATACAAAGTATCTGTTTTTATTATTAGTACTTTACTGACAGAAATATACACATTACTTATACTATTATATTTTATTAACCTATTCCTAACTAATCCATACGGACTAGTGGACCCAATGCTGGAAATGTCCTATGTCCAGCGACCTCCACTCCTGGAAATCTTTAGAAAGAGGTATATTACCAGCATCGGATAAACCGAGTAACAAGAGTAGCAAATGGCACGATACCCGCTCCCTCACTTACACAAAATAATAATAAAAGTAGGGCAAGGCATCAGCTTAAAATCGAAATCCTCGGGCCTTTGAAAAAAATTGCTACACCCGCTTGGCCTTAATCCAGGACTGTGTGTTATAAAGTTTAATGTGTCTGTCTGTCTGTGGTATCATTACTCCTAAATGATTGGATATATTATATTACAATTTTTCAATACATACAATACAAGTCGCCTATAATTTATTATAATTTGTTCTGATTAAGTTACATCAAACTTTAAAATTGATTAATTAAGAACTCACGATGACTCAACGCCAAGCTAATCGGAGTTGAGGTATGGGTACAAAACAATTGATACAAATACTTAAATACACTTTTTATAAAAGCATTTATAAAATACGTAGATCGATACTAGACCAACACTCATATTCATGAAAACAAATGTTTGCATCGTGCGTGGAATTCAACCGGCGAACATTGTAATGCGGTGTACTAAACCGGTAGACCAACGCAACCGTCGTTTAAAAATGAAATCTATTGCATTGGTGGGTAAATCACCTTATTGTTTATCTACCCTCAGTTTCTGTTGCATATTGTTAGTCCGCCATTATTAGTTCTGGTATACGTACTTTACTCTTTGGTTTAATGTGTAGACTAGAACTACCACACAACTCGTACGGTCCATATCAGTCGAAATTCTATAAATCAGTTACCGTGCATCTAGAATACGTAATCAGGACTGATTGTTAGGGCTAAAGGTATGTACCTACGTAAAGTCTTCTCTTTTACACGACGGCTATACAAGGCTGGTATTGTATACTAGTTTTTATACATACATACACCTAATCGTTACGAAGTAATCACTAAATATTATAATATAGTTTATAGATATCTATACTGTCACGATTATTATACTAGATGGGATAGTCAAAAGCATTGCCGATTATCGACGTCGTGGTGAACTCAACATTTGACATTTCGCTGCCTATTAAAATATAGGTACAATGTACTAAGCAGCAAGCCTACCACTGTCTCTTAGATTATTTTTGATTTATTATCAATGTTTTCTTCACCAGGACAATCGGAAACATAAATTTACAGTTTTTTGGTAGCGTCCTTTTTTGAATTCACGACCTTTTGAGTGGAAGTCGAGGTAGTATACCAGCTGTGTAGGTTACGGCACAAATTTTATCAAGTTTTCCCGTGCAAATTTTGTCAAGTTTATCCCGGGTATTAGAGGTTTAGGTCAAAACGGATGGCAGATTTTCTGTATAATCATTGTAGATATAAAATATTTTTGCGAGAAAATTAGTTGCCCATATGTTAACGACTTACCATAAATCATGCACGGACTATATAATACCTAGTGATAATAGTTTTCGATGGTTATCACTGTGATTAATTTACTCGTTATTTGTTAATACGACATTTTTACTCCAAATTTATTTATTGATATTTCAAATTGCTATTGAAATTAAATTGAGCTAAATCAATTAACTGTTGAAGATAATTTTCAAGCATTTACAAGTGATACATCTGAAGATCATTAACGTCCACATTCAACTCTCTTTATAATATAAATTTAGATACATATATAACCTTAACTGTAGTATAAAATTAGTACGAATATAAATAAAATCGTCTTTAAAAGATTTGAACAACGAAATATAGTTTCAATTATAAAATGAAAAACAATAGTAATACTTGTAGATGATGCAGTAGGCATATAGGTACCTAATACATTGTTCGGCTGTGCATTGTAACATCCACAAACAAAATAGATGATCTACATACTATGCACCCAATCTAAAAAAAACGAATTTAATAGTGTTCTTTTAATGTAGATATGTATATTATATTGTATTAGAATATTACAAAATAATCTACATCACTGCATCCTCAATAGATACCTATTTAATGTAGTTAGATGGTAGGTATATTTTTATCTGTAAGACAACGAACTCTCGTAGCCTTTTTGATAGGATAATTGAATAACAAGGTCGTCTGATTTTTCAGTATCGAAATGATTAATCAATTGTATAATACACTTATATAATATTTAACATCGGATACGAAACACCTACGTAAGCATTACGAGAGACAGTGTAGGTATTTACTTATAACTATATGTTATACTTATAATAAAAGTGTAACTGATCGCTGTCTGTAGATGCGTGGAAAATATATAAAAAAAACTATTATCGAGGGACTATTCAATGTAATAGAACTCTGGAATTTTTGTCTGTTCGTTTATATTGCTATGGGTGGTCCTGGTATTATAATTCAATATATATTGTGTTTAGAAAAAGAAATATCTAAGTATATGCATCAGTTGTCTAGTACCCATAACGCAAGCTTTGCTTAGCTTTGAAATAGATGGCGCTGTCTGCACTATCAAGATATTATTATTTAGTTTGTTTTATTCCAAAGAATCCTACGTATGTCATCTGCTTATTTTTCCGAATCCATGTAGTTGATGGTTTTCTATTTGTTTAAAAATAAAAGGCTGTATGCACACAGGTTTCTTTGTTGAAAATCGTATGTAGGTATACCTAAATATCACGTAAAGGTTAGGTGTTCAATCAATTCTGGACAATACTTCAAGAATATCTACAGGTCTCACCTCGCTATTGATAACAGTGATAACACCTATCAATTTATATTAAACTATCGGCAATTATGGACAGTAAATATAGTGCGTTGTCGAGTAACGCTTGTTTTTTTAACGATAATAATATAATCAATATTGTTTATTGTAAGTAAAGAAAACATTTACTTTTATAATACTGCACACGTTTACTTCTCAGATATATTTTATAATATAATTTTGTGAATTTATAATTTGGGCAAATTTATGATTTTATATTCTGCATTGTACTATAAATACTTGGTATGGCATTCATGATTTCACCGGAGAAAATGGGGAGGAGTCCAGAAGGCTCTCCAAACCCGTGAAAGTACCTATACCTACCTAATAAAAGATTTATAAATCAACAATAAATAAAAGATATGTTCGTAGCTATTTATTGATCATTCTCATCGTCATTCATTATAAATGTAAATGGTAAATTGGAAAATATACCTAGTAATATTTATTACTACTTATCCTTCTAACTATTTTCTCAGCTCGCTTTAACGTGTTTGTATATTATCACCTCATCAGCATTTTGTGAAAATAATTAATATCTGCCTTTACCTACCCTGAGAAGTACACGATGTCTTAATATCAATTTCTATTAATTTCTCTAGATGGCTCTTCGTTGGGGTATAGTGACAGCCGGAAAAATCAGCCATGATTTCGTGAATGCTTTGCATACTTATCCCAACGTAGGGGACCAAGTGGTTTCTGCAATAGCAGCCCGCGATAAGGGGAGAGCTGCAGAGTTCGCCAAACTGCACAACATTCCAAAAGTGTTTGATAGCTACGAAGCGTTGGCTGTCAGTAAGGATATTGGTATGTCTAATAAATATTATTATAATCCTAGAATTCTTCTGTACCTGAGTTTAGTAGTTGGGTAACATCTTACTCCTCCTAACGGCGGCGATATTTTGTGTGTATACTTATTTCTATAGATTCCTGGATGATCTGAATCTGAAAATACAATTAGACTGTTTTTTTTTGTGGTGCTGCCTTTTGGGGCAGGACGAAGACTGACGGATCCACTAGTTAATTCTACTGTATAAATTTTTTAAGATGGCCAGTAAGTGCAGAGATTTAATTTGCTTATTAAATAGCAGGTGTCTTGTAACAAAACAGCGTAGAATTGTTAAAGAATACCGGACAATTGCAAGTCTGGCTCGCACACCATGTATTAGATACGTACTACGTGTGTGTAATGTATCTATATTTAGTTGTCGTGGTGAACGTAATACTTGATATTTACCCACATTTTCTTCGATATATTTAAATCATATGTGGCAGTGAGTAAGCCTACACCCGCCTTCTGTATAAATTTGGGTTGTTATCGGTATTTCCATTGCCGGGGAGTCACTCAGATATATAAATTGACACACAGTATTTTTTTGGGTATTCTAATTTGCTTACTTTCAGTCTAAGTCAGGGTAGTAAACATTTAAATATACTAATATTTATATACCTAGAAGAAATAGTTACGTTGTACTTGTATCAGAGGCTACATATTTTTAAATCTTAAGAAATAAGTGCTGGTAATATATGTACCTAATGTATTTTTTCAGATGTTGTATACATCGGTGCACTCAATCCCTCCCACTATGAACTTACTAAAATATTCCTTGAAAACGGGAAACATGTTTTGTGCGAAAAACCATTATGCCTTAATTTAAAACAAACACAAAGCTTGATCAATCTTGCCCGGGCGAAGAATCTTTTCCTAATGGAGGCGGTGTGGTCCCGATTCTCGCCAGCCTACATATCCCTGGAGGAAGACATAGCAGCCGGTAAATTGGGTGATATAGAATATGTTGAAGTTAATTTCGGTGTTCCAATTTTGAATGTTGATAGGCTCAAGTAAGTACCTAGTTAATATTTTAGTTAATTAATTTTACTGACCTAGTACAGTTAAATAATTTTAATTACCCGCTTAGTTCTATCCTAGAAGCATTAAAGTCAAAATATTAATAAGAAACAGTTAGGAAAAAATATTTCCTTAATTTATTATTTTATTTCTCAAATGCCCGTGTCGTTACGGTTTTTAATTTATTTACTTTCTACTTCATGGAAATTGGAGAAGAGAACCAAGTGTTGTTTTCATAAATTATTTCAAAGACAACTTAATGTTATACTATATAAAATATAAATATTCTAATTTGTGATCAAATTACAGACAAAAAGAACTTGGGGGCAGTGCTTTGATGGATATTGGAATTTATGTTTTACAATTCGCCCAATACATATTTAAAGACGCTCCAACAAAAGTCACGGCTGTAGGAGAGGAGTTGAATGAGTTTGGAGTGGATTTGGTCAGTACTATTGTCCTCGAATATACGGGGGGCAGACGCGCCGTACTCAACATAAACGCAAAGAGGAAACTATGGAATAAAGCTACTGTGTATGGTACAAAAGGCCGTGCAACCGTATGTAGCTATATTTATTATTATATAGTAATAGTAATATTGTATATGTACATTACACGTATAGTTAATAAATATACATTGTTACAGTTGGAGGAACCATTCCACTTTCCTACAAATTTAGTCCGTGTAGACGGAAAGATATCTAATTTCCCTTTGACGAAGTCGCCTATCCCTTATTATTTTGAGAACAGCCAAGGATTAGTTTTTGAAGCTATTGAAGTCGCAAGATGTATTAAAAATGGTGAGTATTAAATTTTAGGACTTGTTTTAGTCATCGACATCCAATATATGGTCTGTGTATATTATGTGCGCATATATGCCTATACAGGTCACATGGTGCATGGAAAAATTTCTTTTTTATATATATCGGAATCACTGCTGTGTATGTATTTTACACAGTATTTGATAAGATAGTCGTTGATAATATCGATTACTTGTCTCAAATAAATGTTCTGCATGAGGTAGGTATATCTAGCTCTAGGTTTGAGTTGAACATTCTTCATTATAAATTTAGCCTGAATAATACTTCAAAAAATTGGTCCCTTAAAGTCGAATAACTTTATGGACTACTTTAGTACTTCACAAGTTAGTGAAATTACTCTAGTGGCATTTCTCTTATACTCCCAATAATAGAATTTTAACTATTAATAATACAAAACATGTAGATATATAAATATGAACTTTAGTAGGTAGAATAAAGTTTTCTGTGTATCTGCGTATTTCATCTGCCAAGGCGCTTGCTTTGTATGTTCGGTTAAAAATATCAAGGCAGTGACACTATAGGATAAGAGATATAACATCTTAGCCCTCCGGTATGGAAACGCAATACAGGTAAAGCGTCATATCATGACGTCATATCCATTGTCCGTTGCTTATATTAGAAATTATATAAAAAAACATAGGTAATGCATGTTTGTTTACTTACTCAGAAGAATAAAGATGTTTTTATACATGATTAATTCTGTGTCTGTTGTTCATAGGTCTTATTGAATCACCAAGGATGTCACATAATGAGAGTCTTGTACTGGCTAAACTAGAGGATACTATCCGAGCACAACTTGGAGTACATTACGATGTTGATGATCAAGAGTTTCCTTAATTTATATACCATATATTGTTTATATACCATAGATAAGAGAATGGTACTACCACACACTTCTAAATAACCGTAATGATTTTTTTTCAGACGTATGTACGAAGGTACATACGTATTTTTAAATGAACTAATATTTAACATAGTTATTACATTCATATTTATTATCTTTAATTACTATATACAGATATAGTAATTAAAATTCATAATGTCACTGGTGGCTATTAGATATATTTTTTTAAAATATCGATCATCAAGAAATATTAAATGACGTAATACCCATTCTTTCTTACAATATTTTTAATCAGGAACTTGTTTGATCGAACTTCTGGTTTCAGAGTGTTTTGGGGCAAATTAGAGCTTTTTCGGCATTAAATCGGCCTAACTGGTACTGAAATCCGATAATGACGGAAATATATATTTGTGAGTAGAAATTAAAAAAATTCCGTGATTTAATAAGTAATAGAATAAATTCTCAATATATTATCTGAATGGAGAGAATTATGGATTTTTTATTTACCAACTTAATAGATTTATCTAGAAATGTATTATTACTGTATTTGAAGAATATAATATTTCTCACATGCCTTTCAATCGTGCTAACCATAGCCTATAGAGCTATATACTACACTACAGAACAATATTGTACAAGAAACCAGAAGCGAATATACAGGTAGTTACTACTATGAAATCTAGATTCGGGCGAGTCCTAAATGCATTTTAAATCAAATAAGCTTATTTTTTACTCTTTTTTTGTTAGATTTCACATACCTTGTATACTTAAGTAATATTTGTTATACCATAACCATTATATTGCATGCAGTTTTTAAATAAAAAGATGCAAATATAACAAAAATTTTATTATTAACTGTTTCAAAATTATTCTATATAAACAAGATGTCATTAGGTAATTTGTAATTATAACACTAAAAACCAACTTTGTTTTAGGTAACATCAACATCCTTTCAATAAAAATTATGGAAACGCTGTCTGTAGTTCCAATTCCATATACTGTACTTAGAAAGATTTTACCTTAGTCAGACAATACTATTAACGAATGATTAGTTTTTTATTTATTTTGTTTCCATAACTGTGTTTTAATTTTAACAATTTTATTCTAAAATATTGCAGAATAATATTTATTATATAATATTTATGAATGTCGTAACAGTATATTGGTAAGGAAATGTAAATTACAAAAGAGTTTCATTTTGACTATGTTACATTTTAACTTTCTTAACCTTAATAGCTCCACTGTATTGAATATTTACATTATAATTAATTGTGCTAAAAACCGGTTATCTACTACGTTGTTAACTGAACACATAACTTTAACAATGATTTATTCAATAATTAATAACGCATGCACAGAGATAATATTGCCTATATTATTACAATTTTATTAAGTCTTCAATACGCTAGTCATGTAAAAAGTATATAGTTCACTTGTCCAATACCTAATTACATGAATACATTGGCTATGAGGATTCATATCCTATTCTATTAAAGGCTATCTGGCTTACATGAATTGTAGGTACGTACAAAAAAAATTACACATGTGAGGTGCCATTGATTAGAGAATTTTACATTTTCGCAATTGAATAGCCTCTTGTTTGCAATATATTTATTTATTGCTGTCATTTTCATCTGACGCTTATGTAATGTTACTTTTTAATGTCTTTTTTTTGTAACTGACTAAAATCTATTTAATTTATTCTAAGTAGTACGGTTAATTATTGCAATTGCAAAAAATTGTACATAAAAAAAAATAGTTTTTAATTTGTTTAATATGAGAATTGTTAGTAAATTTTATTTAATTAGGCCATGTATATCGACGAAAAACAAAACAAATACAGAAAAATAAAACAATATATCAGTCATCAGGTACTAATTATATACAATCCAAATAACTTTTAGTGAAAATAAAGAGTATTATGGACCATGAAAGTAAATATAACATTTATGAGATGAATTTCCAACTTTAGCTTACAACCATCCTGGACAGACAACTTAATTATATTAAATGATATCAACAATGACTATGGTACCACATACTTTAACCAGTCCTTGTGTTGTCTTCATTGTCTATTTTTTTATAAATATAAATTAATAAAATTCTTAATTATCAATCTGCCAAATCATACTGTCTAAAGTATCGTGATACTAAACAAATGAATATATTTAATGGTGTCACTGCTAATGGGGCATCTTCATCATCAGGATTAATACACGATCTGAAAATGGATGTTACAATGTACATGTTAATGCAACAGGTAATATTTTTCTAATAGAATACTCTTAAATTTTAAATGTCTATAGTTATTGTGTCATGCCACAGATGTCTAGATAACACAGTATGCTGTCAAAACTGCCATATGAACCTTTTATTGTTTGTACTATGTGCATTAAAATTAAATAAATATATGTATAAATAGTCAAATATTATGCTGCAATATATTATAATACTAAACAATACAAACATAATTTTACAAGAATTTGTCATTACCTTATCTCTGCACATTTTCTAGCTAAATTCCTTAATATACTTATTGTATCTGAGAGTAGGGGTTGTCTTATACATGCTAAAAAGGCATATATCCATTGACCTAAAACAAATAAATAACAAAATATAAGTTAAAACAAAATAAATAAAAAATAATGACAACTATTACAGCATATTTCTAGCCCAACAGGTCAAAGCTCTGTGATATTAATCATTACCTTTCAGTTTAATTTTCTTTTAATCAAATATTATTGCCTTAAAAATGATCCGCAACCAAACAAGAACACTATGCAAAGGATCTCCGCATAAATATATATAAGAGAAAGCTTTAAAATAAAGTGGCTTTTGTTAAGCACATTTGTAAAATATGGCTTTTTGTACTCATTATTCATTATTAAATAATTGTAAGTAAATTTAATTAATTTTCTATAGTTAATGATCACATATGTATAGAATTTTACTACTGATATTAAAATTTATATCTACTAATGTTATATATAAAAATTTACCAGATTTATAGTCCATAGTGGAACCCGGTTTAACTTCTTCTAATATTTCTATCAGCATTTCAAGGCCACGATCTAATAAAGTATGTTTCAGTCCAAGAACACATGTTAGTGTCGGTTCATTTGTATTAAAGAAACGTTTCCACCCATTTAATGTATCATGTTCAACACTTATTTTTTTTAAATCACTTGGCCATAATGTTTTCTTTGCTTCTAAACGAGATAGGTACATACGGACATCTGAAAAGTCCGCAACTTGGATGTTCTGCCATTCTATAGTTGGTTTAAATTTGTCAGGAGCTCTCGCAGGCTTCGCCTGTAATAAATTAATAGATTTAAAAAACAAAAAAATTTTTAGGTTGATATTTATGATAGTTCATAAACATACCTCTTCAACAAAACAAGATTGATTTTTAGAAAATCTAGAATAATCTTTATTGCATTTAGTAACACTAGAACAATTCTGACGTTCCTTTATAACTTTCAATAGGTATTCTTCGCCTGTTGTGGGAACTTCTTTTAGTTGTACCTCAGGACCTACTTGTAAGCATGGTGATACTAACGTGTCTGTATCTCCTTCGTTACTTTTTGTAGTCTTATAAATATACTTATTTGATGACATTTTAGATTTCTTAAGATTTCAATAAAATTCATGTAGTAAAATACGCAGGAAAACAATAAAATGAAAAATAAAACATGACCCTTGATTAAAAGAAAATGAAAATAAATAAAAACTATAATTACTATAAATGTCAAATTGCAGTGTTACCATTAAAATTTGAGCAAGCCCACAGTTCGACCTCGTAAACTAGCATTTTTTAATGCACTTACACAATTTGACAAATTTTTGAACACGTATAGCGTGAATTATATCAATAGAAATATGCGAGTTTAAAAACACGTTCAATTTTAAATATATTTTTCCTTTGGATTAACACCTTCTTAAATAGAACTTTTAATTATTGAATTGTGTAATGTTTTCGATACGACATTTTTTGATTTATTAAAAGTTCATAAGCTTCAAAATAAACTTAGCGAATAAAAGAACTTTAAATCTACCGGCACTTGCGTAAAACCACTAAAAAAGAAGACAACACAGCTCATTTCATTGTATTAATTGTCAATATCAAATTCAATAGATAAGTCGTCATACATCATACGTGTTGTACTTATCGTAGTTGGTGATGTCAATGTCAATCTCAGATTAGAAAATGTCAATCTATAAGAAACTGTCGATAATCAAATTGTTTTCCTTTCCCATTGCAAACGATAAGCATAATAAAATTGTTTATATTTTGTTTTAAGAAATCGATAACCTATAAAATATATTTCATGACTTTGATATTCTGATATTATTTGTTTTTATAACTACTTAGAGAATTGCTCAATTCTTTTTGCTGATTAGTTACATATGCACATTATTTATATTCAAAATAACCACCTAATATTTATTATAACTACTATCGGGTGATGTCTACCTCCAGTAGTATCTCGCAGTCTGCATCGGAGCCAGAGACACCGCAAGTAAGTTCGTATTCTGCGCTAAATCATTCTCAAGGGGTCTGGTATTTTTTAATAATTGTGTATAAAAAATACCCACATTTTTTTTTCATTACTGATTACATATAAATCATAAGTGGTTTTCTAATATGGTACGTGTATTAGTTATTTAATATGTTAAAGTCAGTTGTTTGTAAAAAAAAATGCTAGCTACCAGATGACTTGATGTATTAGAAACATTTGATTATTACTATAAAAAGATATATTGATTTTATTTTCAGAGTACAAATCAGAGCAGGATTCAAAATTTTGACCAATCACTCAATCATGTGGAGTTAGGGCATAGCATTGAACAGTCAATGAAGAGTGCACAAAAAGAAATTCATCAGAAGAGAATACAGTCATTGAGGAAAGAGCTTGATTACTTAAAATCAACAGAATGGCAATTTGAATTTGATAAGGGTTTTGTACAATAAATTTCAATATGCTTTCATATTTGCTATCATTTTTCAATAATTTGTTTAGCAATGATGCAGAAGAAGATGATAGTGTCAAAGAGGAATTCTTAGCAGAACAACTTCTAGATTTAGAAATACATTGTGAACAAAATGACAGTGTATCTAAACCAATAGAACAAGCAGTACCCCAAAATGCTATATGCTTCCAAAGAACAGGTATAAGAGCACTTTATGAACATACAAATTAAACCAATTGCATAGATAGCTGTAAATTGCTATATTGCTTTTTAAAAAATCTAAAATAGAGCACAATAACACAATAAGAATTTTTTGTGCTAAATTTGTTTTTACACAATAAATTTGTTTTGTTTTGTTTCTATATAGACAGCCACAGTGCTCTAGCGGTTTAGCAAACTGCTTTGCTTCAAATGGTTGCTAGTTTCATCCTTGCATAGTACAAACATTCATATTCATGGGTATGAGTATGATTGTATTGGTCTGAGTGTTTTTAATGTATATTATTTGTGTGTTTACAAAAACATGTATCTAAGTATTTATATCAATTGTCTAGTATCCATAACACAGGGCCTGCCTACCTTGGAACTAGATGGCACTATGTTAATTGAACATAGATATTATTATACTGTGTTGTTTCTATTTGAAATTTCACAGATAATGCACACATTGAGATTTTTAAATATGATCTCAAGCATTCAGTTCTTCCTAGCATAAGTACATTGGGATGCAATGCATTAGTTGAAGCAAATTTTCAGGTAACTTATACAAAGCATATTTTACAGGGATTGTTACATATGCTGAAAATAACTATATACTAATTGATGGAATGATCTATTTTGAATTACCAAATAGCACTTTAAAATTGAATATAAATGATAAAGTTCTTTATTTGGGCTACAAAAATTCAGATGATGGTATAGTTGTTGTAAGAATTCTGGAGCATATGGGAATATGTTGGACGGATGACAATGAAGTTGAAGAAAACAGTTTTAATGTTATAGAACATATTTTGGTTGGAGAAGTTGACTACAGACAAGACCGTTTTGTTTACATTAAGGATAATGATATTAAATTTAGTTTAGACACAGTAGAAGGAACTATGATTCCTATAAAAGGGGATTGGCTGGAAATAAAATGTACAGTTCAATGGGATGAGAATAAACCATCTGATATATCAGCAGCACAGGTAAAACTAAAATGGATAATCTTATATTTGGAGTCTAGCTAAATTGAATGCTATTATTTAATATGAAAAAATCTAGATTGCTAAAGTCACTCTTAAGTTTATTGAAATGAAATGAAATGTATTTATTTGCATGAGATATGGTATAAATATGTTTTTTTTATTTATAATAAAGCTTAATAATTATAAAATTTTACTACATAACATTTATGTATACTCCTCTCTAAATACTTTGCATCAGTATGGATAATAGTTTTGTTTTTATAAATAACAACTATACACTCGACCCACTACACTGATTGTAGAATTTGTATTCCTAAAAGCAATATATTTTTTAAAGTTAGATTGCTTTTAGGAATACAAGTTTTATAAAAAGTTTAATAGAAATTTTGTTTTTAAATTACGACACTACTTTTACATAAATTTACTGATATTTCAGGTTTTACAAGTAACATCCTTCAGACCATTGAGAACTAAAATAAAAAGTGCAATTATCACCTACTGGTCTGATGATTCTGGAATATGTGATAGACAAATTTACTTCAACAGACACTGTTTACAAAATGGTGAGCCTAGAGTTGGAGACAAGGTAAATATTTAAAAGAAAATATCAATGATTGTATTCTGCTATGATTATCATAATTCTAATTTATTGACTGTAAGTCTATTTTTCTCATATTAATGACAAATATGGACAAATTAATACAAATACAAATATCAAAACCTTCAGTTCAACATATGAGTGACCTAATACATAATTTTTTATTGTGAAGTGAAGAGTAATGGTATTGGCAGTGCAAGGTAACACAGACAATAGTTTTGCACCGATGTTGTTACAACATCAAATTATTGTCTGTGTCAGCACTTTATTATACAATGTAAAATCTATTTTGTAGAATTACTAATTAAAATAATATATTACAGCAAATGTAAATTCAATAAGATTAACAACATATTATGATATAAACTTAAGATTTATTTTAAAGTAATCCAAATATCAATATTGGTTTCAGGTAATGGTGGAAGCTATTGAGAGTAATCAAGGACTATGTAGTTGGCGGGCCATTAAAATGGTTATTATTGAAGGCCAGGTGAATCATACTGTTGAATTAAAAACTAATGAAATTGATGATCATGATGTAACATTGAGCCTAGAAAAAGAGAAAAATATAGATATAACTTATCCTCTACAATTTGATAAAGTTAATGTTAATCAGTCAGCATTAATAACTTTGAATGTAATAAATAATAGTAATGAAATATATGTTTTAAACAAATGGATAATCCTTTCTAAAAAGAGGGATTCACAAGTCAACATTAAGCCTTTCATGAATCGGCCAGAGAAAATTTATCCGGAACAAACATTCAGCCTAACAATCACTTGTAATCCCAAATTTCTGGGAAAAACTAAGGAATGCCTTCTAATGTTATTTAAGGGATTCGAAGTGAAAAGGTTTATAGAAATAAACATTGTGGATGAGAATATATCATCAGTTCTAAATGGAAATACATATTCCAATTACAAATCGGAAAGTGATAGATTATCTATAATGAAAAAAATAAGAAAAAATAGTAATATATCATTTGTGCCTGGAATAAAGCCGGTGAAGCCCCCTGCTTTTGTACCTGTAAAAGTAGGAAATTTTCCAATTCCTGATAAAGTTTGGAGTGCTGTATTAGGAGATTCAGATCAAACTATATTCAGTTCAGACTATAAAACGATCCTAGATAGGATTGAGTTAAACTTTTTTCCTTTTTTGTCCCAAGACTTAAATATCAATAATTACATTGATAAATGGCATACTTTGCTATATATGGAAGAAGTACAAGCTAACATAAATATTAGGGCTTATGATATGCCAAAAGCATTCTTAATTCAGCGTCAAGACTATCTTATCCTCGAAATAAAGGGGTTGGCTGAGAAAAGACCATCTCTGGTGAAAGGAGATAGAGTTATTGTTAAGGATATATGGAATGATAATTCTTCACAGTTTGAGGGCTTTATTCATTGTGTGAAAAATGATATGATCCTAATGAAATTCCATCAGCAATTCCATGAAACATATTCTGGCAGCGATGTTTCTGTTGAATTTCATATAAATAGATCAGTATACAGAAGATCTCATCAAGCTATTAATTTAGCTATTTCTAATTTAGGGCCGGATATCTTGTTTCCAAGTCGTATTTCTCTACATTCATATCAATTGCCACAAGATAAACTCAGGACAATGAAGTGGTTTAATTTAGATTTAAATACTGGGCAAAAAGCAGCTGTAACCAATATTCTACTTGGCGAGTGTAGACCATTACCTTATTGCATATATGGACCGCCAGGTACAGGTAAAACCGTGACTGTCATAGAAACAATTCTTCAAATACTAACTCTTTTACCAGATAGTAGAATTTTAGTTGCTACCCCGTCAAATAGTGCAGCAAATTTAATTACTGAGAGGCTTGTGGAATTCAAAAATGTATTCTCAAATTCTATTATACGACTAATTGCTAATTATTTATTAGATTCTGATAACTTTCCTGATGCAATCAAACCTTACTGTGCCACTTTAGATATAGCCAAAGAATATACTGCGAAGTCTAAACATATTATTAAAAATGGTATAAATCTCAATTGTTCAACATCATATATTGGAAGACATAGAGTAACAATTGGTACATGTTGTTGTATCGGTGCATTGAGTCTAATGGGATTGCCTAAAGGTCATTTTACCCATATTATAGTTGATGAAGCTGGTCAAGCAACGGAACCAGAAGTAATGATACCTATGACATTTACTGACAAAGATAATGGTCAAATTATATTAGCTGGTGATCCAATGCAATTGGGTCCAGTAGTAATGTCAAAATATTGCCAATATTTTAATATGAGTGAGTCCTATTTATCAAGGATACTAGAGACTTTCCCTTATCAAAAAGACTATAATGCATATGAAAATGGATTCGATAATAGACTAGTTATGAAATTAAATGATAACTACAGGTCGCTACGAGAAGTATTGACATTACCAAGTGCAATGTTTTATGATGCATCTCTAGTTCCAAGAATAAAACAAGATCAACAATGGATCATTAAAATATTAAATGTCATATCTGAAATTTTTGACACAGCAAATGAAAGGTCTGCTGGTATTTATGTTTATGGCATCAAAGGGGTAAACCTTAGAGCAGAAGACAGTCCTTCCTGGTACAATCCATATGAAGCTTCAATGGTGGCATTGACAGCATGTAAGCTGTATAAAAAAAATATTACTCCAGATGAAATTGGAATAATAACTCCATATCTAGCCCAGGTAATTCACATATTAGTTTACCTTAATAGCATACAGCTCATTGAATACTCTTGGTTGTTTATGTTACCTAACATTTGATATTATATTACAGATAAAACATTTACAACTACTGTTTGAAGCAATGGGATTGCCACAACCAAAAATTGGTACAGTTGAAGAATTTCAGGGCCAAGAGAGACCTATCATACTTATTTCAACTGTCCGATCATCCGCATCTCACATATCTGATGATATAAAACATACATTGGGTTTTATAAAGAACCCAAAACGAGTCAATGTATCTTTGACTAGAGCTCAAGTTGCTGTTATCCTTTTCTGTGACCCACATCTTCTTTCTAAAGATCATTTGTGGAATCGGGTCATAATGCATGCTGTAAGTGAAGATAAATATATAGGTTGTAACTTACCTTCAAGATTCCTTAATATAAATACAGATTAAAAATGAAATTGTTTTCAATTAAGAAAAACCTACTCTTTGTAAGCGCTTCTGTCTAAATATTGTTGGTGTGGAAAATTAGTATAAATACGTAGCGACATTTTTCGAAGTCGGTTACCAAGATCCAAGATTAAACAAGACTCATAATAATTTTATTGTTAACCGGGACTTAAAACGAATAATTTTATGGTAAATAAAGTTATTCTCTACATTTCGACAGTCAGCTAGCTAGCTAACTGCCTAGTCCAACGGCCGGCTAGTGCAAGCTAATCAAAACGTCGCGTCGAGAGAGTTAAATTCCTTCATTTACCGTAAAATTGTTCCTGTTAACAACATTCACCCAGTTTTAAATTTGACTAAGACTCATAATTCTGAGAAACAAATATATTGACGCTTTATTGTCCTATTCTCTCAGTTGGCGTATATTTTTACCACACCCCCCCTGTGATACCATTACACATTGTGGTTTACCATACAATTACATTGTAGTTACATCATTTTAATATCTATAAAAAATGCATCGAGAAGGGGCAAGTGGAAACCCAGTCAATTTGCTCACCGAGATTATTGTTCTCGGTGACTAAATTGACAAGAGTAAATGTCAAATTTTAGAATATTAGTTTTAAAGCTTTCGAAGCTTTTTACTTGTATCAGAATATTCCTAACTTTAGTCTGTAGACAGGGACATTCCGATGCAATCACTAGAGATGAAGAAAGTAATAAGAGAAAGTTTTCGATATCAAGTAATTGACGTATAAAGAATTTTGTGATACTTACAGGGTATCTAATCTAAACAGATCTGGAAATCTGGTATGAAAAATAAATTAGTATTTTAACTATTATAGATTATTTTATAGTCTAATAAAATAACATTGATAAGTATCGATATCCGTACGTATAGGTATAGGAACATCTTCAAATGGCTGTATGGGTGCAGTTCTCTTTGCTTGAAAGGATTATTTTTGATGTCTGATAAAAAAAGTAATTCAAAACCCTTCACAAAAGTTCTGAATTACTTTTTTTTATTTAACTAAACTAAGTAATTGTAAACTATTATTAATTAACATTACTTAATAGCGAAACTTAAAAATACAACGATTTGAATTTAATAACTGACTTTTCTGTCACAATGTTTTATGTAAAGTACTCTGTAAATTTAAGACGTCACGATATTATCTTCCTAATCTGTGGTCACGTCACACTTTATAGACTACAAAAAAGTGTTTTTGTTCTGCTTTCTTTGGATTTTGTTCTTAAATAATAATGGTTTTTCAAAAATAATAATAATTTCACTATATACTAATATTTAGGGGATATTGTAGACCAGAAAACTTTCACAGAATGGAGGCAAATGGTGTTATTTTGTGTGACAATCTGATCAAGTGGCTGCGAACATTAAATCTTAGTGCTAAACATGAAAATTCTGCAGGTAATTTATTAATAGTGTGATTATCTTTTAATAGTATTGTTTTATCTAACATGGGTTACATATAATATCAGGATTAAATGAATCGAGATCGACCAGACCACTTCATTTTTGTATATAATTTCGTCCCATTTGTTCTTAGTACATTGAGACATCGCTTATATTGCCTTCGTTTATTGTGTTACCCAATATAATATAATTGTGGCATTGCAAATTGTTATTACGACATTGTAACTTCACTGTATTCAATAAACTGATTGAAATTTACACATAGTAAATTTTTAAAATAATATCAGCCAACCATTTAATGTTGTCACATTTAATATATACGTCAACAGTGATTTCAGTACTTTTTAAAATTATACTGGTCCTATGCTCAATGAGTCAGTTATGTAAATTAAATGAAAATAATAATAATATTTAAAACCTTCATCAATGTACAGTTTGATGTAGTTGTACTTTGTTAGGTGTAGTTTGTAGGAGTAAGATTAGAAATAAGATTACCTTTTGTACTTTTATTTTCAGTCTTTTAATTTTGTTATGTCATTTATAATTTGGTGTAATATGTTAATTTATTTAAATATAATATAGTTAATATATTTTACATATAATAGTTAAATATTTGAATGTTGGCTGTTATTTATTTGTGTCTGATATATCCAAATCAAGAGAAGTGTGTTATCACTGAATATGCATTTTATATTTCAGAGTTATCTGATGGGGTAGCAATAGCAGAGGCACTTACACAGATTGCTCCTGAATTTTTCACCTCTTCCTGGAACTCTAAAATTAAGACAGATGTAGGCCACAACTGGAGATTGAAAGTTAGCAATTTGAAGAAAATATTAGAAGGAGTTGTTGGTATGTTCACAATAATGTTTGTAACAATATATCAGAAATTTGTATCATATTAACATGTTTCAATGAAATTTCATACTTTGATACATAAACCATTTTTGGATGTTTTTAATTACAACCTAAGCAAGGAAATGGTGTTGTTATACATGGTCTACTGTGTGAGAACTACTTCAGGGTATATTAACTGAAGTTTTAATAAGGATAACAAAATATTGAAACTAAGGTCAATTTCTGTTTTGCTTATAATATTAATGTAAACAGCTAGCAATTCTTTGGTTCTTCTGAGTAAAATTAAACAAATAAAAAGAAAAGGATAGTTTGTGTTATTCTATATTACTTTAGTACTATATATATTGAATATTATAATATATATTATGTTATGTATCAATAATTAGATTTGGTTTTCAGATTACCACCAGGACATATTGAATTTAAGTCTCCATGAATTTCAAAGACCAGATGTTATAAATATAGCAGAAACATCTGATCAGACAGATTTAGGCAGGTTGTTGCAGCTTGTTTTAAGTGAGTATACAACTTAATTTTTTTAGAATATACTTTTTGTGCAATATTGTCAAGAGGAGAGAGTCAAGATAGAATAGAAGTGAACAAATAAAAATTTATAGTCATAACCATTACAATAATGATGATTGCAATATAATCCTCACATTTCTGTTATTAAATTAGAATTCTTAATGACCATATTATAAAAGTGTTTTAATATTTGAATATTGTTTGTGTTATTGATATATGACCATGTTTTACATTTTGTTATCTGTTATACAGTTATTAAACTACTCCACAAAGAAAACAATTTTAATTTAGGGATATGTATTAATTTTCTTCTAATGGAATGCATGACATGATCAATATTTATACAGTGGAGCCACGATAATCCGGCCCCCCCCTTGTACTCCGACATGGTCTATTATTTATTATTTGAATATTTTTTTGACAATCTTCGCTAATACATGATTGAACAAGTTTGAACTTGTACGTATCACCTTTGTTGTACTTGACGCGTAGGGTATTGTTTTGATTATGATTGCTTAGTTTGAATTTCACTACTTACATGTGATGAAGACAACAGTGCAGTATAGCATGTGTTGTTTGTTTACCGTTTATTCACACGTATACCTATCAGCTCAGAAACAAAAGCACAAAACACTGACAAATAAAGAAAAATGTGATATTTTGGACTGCCTAAATTGTAACGAATGTTTTAGTAGTTGACATACATAAAGAAGTATGATTTATACTTCAAAGTGCATATACATACATATATAACATAGAATCTTATCACTGTATCTGTAATTTGTCGGATTACAAGATACTCTTTTGTAAAAAAATCTGGACTATAGGGCAGCACTCTATAATCCGACAGATTCGATGGTCCGACACTGCCCTGCAAAACATTTGTCAGATAACCGGGGGTCCACTGTATTTCATTTATTGTGTCGTTTACGCCACATCCAATCTATAATAGTAATTTTTAAGTGAAACACTAAGATTACATCTTATTTATATATCCCATACACAATGGGGCGTATAAATAAGAGAGTATAATTTGCCAACAAGCTACAAAAAGTTTTGGAGAAAAAATGTACTTAGGTATTTATAATCCTCTGAATGTTGCAGATATAAGTAGAAATATCTATAATATTATCTGCATAATACAGATATTCTTAGTTATACACTCCTATTACATTATTCACTTTGCATGCTTAATACTATACTGACTTAATTCCAAAATTGCAGACTTTGGAAAATCAACTATAATACTTATAATAATAAAGTTGATTATCCAAAATATTTTATTTTTTAATTAATGCAGTTAAATATAAAGCGCGTGACTTTTTTGTTTAATGAAAATCGCTACTAAAACATCGAATTCATGCAACTGGGTAAATATCTCATTCAATTGTATGCTATTGTTTGTACCAAATGTAGTGAATGATGAAGTTTATTTGAACAGGTTGTGCGGTTAACTGCAATAAGAAAGAGGAATATATTACTCGTATTATGGAAATGGAGGTGTCATGTCAACGTTCTATTATGCAGGCCATACAGGTCAGTGATGCCAATTTGTATTCAATTAATACTGCTAACTCTCGTTTTGTAGGAAGAAAAAATTGCCTTGGGATTATGTGGCTTTACAAGTAGCTATTATTATTACTAATAGCCAGCTCATTCCTTCCATATAAAGGACAATTATAATTCTATTTCCTATAGTTTCTTTTTGCTAACACTATTTGAATATGGCATATGAATTATTCTGCATGTATTATTCCTGTAGTTGATTTTTATTTCTCTACAATCTGTAGCCTAGAGAAGTAAAAAGAAGACTTGACAGGGTGATACTATTAATAGAATTAAAAAAAATGCGCACGAATTTTTGCTGTAGTGGCTATTTCATAGTAGCATTAGTAATTTAACTTCGGCCGTATGATAAACGCGACTTGCGTCTTACATACTTAAGTTTATGAAAAGAAATGAATTTGAGTTTTATTACTGGTAGTTGAATAGAATCAAACAGATTAACATAATAGATATAGGGATAGTTTGAGTTGGACGAATGAAACGGTAGGTCATAGCTATTTCTTAATAATCATCCCATATTGCTTACTAGATAAATATATTGAATTGAGTGGCAAATGCCCAAAAATATAGTAAAATAATAAATTTTTCGCGGAATACAATAAAAATTAATTAATTTAAACATTTTACAATAATGCAAAGTAGATCGATATCGTGGGCATTAACTGGCTATTTAATAAAGAAATTCCAGATTGATATCTAAGATAATGATAGGGGAACATCGCAAGAGCGTGATGCATGTATGCATCGTTTTATATCAAAACTAACCCGCCGCCAGTCCGTTACTAATGAGTGATGTAATATATAATTTAATTCACTCGACAGCGTTTTCATGCACTCAGAATAGTTGAGTTACATATATGGGTGCGCCATTACAATAATGTTCATTGCAAAAATGTATTAAGCATTCAATCTTACTCAACTTCACTTTCGAAGTTGCATTCTAGTTAGTGGCTGTTGTAAAGACACTGAATGTATTGTGATCTTGCTGATTTAATATCTATATATCACGAATAATCAGAATATAGTGGTTATATCTATACTTTGTCAGTTACAGTTTGAAGTTTGTGTTTGAATGATGAAAATTTATTATACACACGAATTGAGTGGGTATTATGATTATTACTATCTTTAAAGGAACTGGAGACATTGACATTGGGAGTGAATCGTGGAAGTCTGCCCTTGGATGCGACTGGGGGCCAGTCTGAGGTTGAAATGAAGGAGGCTCTTGCGCAAAGATGCCATGAACTTGATACAAAGGTAATGTTAAATTCTTATTAGTTTCATAAAAATGTCGTTAGTTTTTACAATTTATAATATTTCTTTGAAGTATTTAAATAATGATGTCAAGTTTATCAATCCCTAGATGTTATATGTGAAACATAACTACATTCAAGGAACATGTAAATCGAAATAACAAACGTTTCAGTTTTTATTTTGATACGATTTTCATACAAATAAATAATTTCATACATATACATTATTATCTGAATTTTATGTTTTTTAGAACAAGTAATTCTTTAGCTTCAAAGACAAATGTCGATGTGGTCCCATTTTGGTAAAAAAAAACCATTTATAATCATTTTACGATTGGAAATCCCATCGACAGTTAGAAATATGGTTGAAATAAAAATCTTGTAATTGATTAAAAATGATTACATCTTCATTTGTTACATATATAGTATAAAAAGGAGGACTTGCTGACAAGCGAGCTGAAAGTTAAATTGTGCAGTTTATTGATAGTGTTACCAAATTTGCAGTTTCGATATTTAATTTATGACGGTTGGTCCTGAAGTACATTCACATTAATAATTAAGATTAATTACACAACGTCCCATTTATTGAAATAGACTATTTTAGTCTTCATTACCACAAACCATTTTAGATGCGTAATATAATGATACATAAACCCTATTATATACATATATATGTTTGTAAAAAGTTATTGGCTATAAGTCATAACAAAATATTGGACAAACATTGTTTGTTAACGCACCATTTGCTGAACCCGGGATGTTCATCTCATATTATTAGGATGCGTATTAGTAATGCCAGTGGTGCGAAATTATCTGTTATTTAACACTTATTTGTAACACTTCGTGATGCGTGCAGTATATTTATATTTTATAATTATCTTTATATACATTGCGTTCTTGCACAATACTTTTCGTAATATAATTCGGCTACCTTGAAAAAAACAGTACTAACGTGATTGATACTTGTATAATAGTTTAATACAGTTGATACGAGTGTTAATATCATAGGTATCTTATATCGTATTCGTAACGGTAGCCGCTTTCGTAAGTTATATTTTATTTGCACTATATTGTAGTTAGGTATGTATGTGTTGTTTCTTTTTCATTATTGTGCTACTGTGGGCCTCGAAAGGTAAAATAAAATGACTACTGCTATGTTTGACATACGCCATATTATCCTTCCTTTTCCTCTTTACGAGTGTGGCACAGTTTCTAGATAATTTTATAGCTCTATGTTTTATAGATGAGAAAACTTAACAGCCGCGTTTGTATCTTTATTTGTTATCTTGAGTTAAACAAGTTTCTGTCAGTATTTTTTTAATATTTTAGTAAAGACGAGTATTAGTGATTATGGAATAGTGTATTGCCTGCTACGTTAAAGGTACACGCTATCAAGGCACTAGTGAAGGATACTAGGAAGAGGACAAAGTCAGGTTGTTTAGCCCATCGTTGTGTACTTACCACGATGGGCTAACTGACCTGATTTAATACTCATCTTATCATCCTCCACTGGTGTCCTCCTGCCAGCGTAAACCGTCAGCGAGGGCGGATGTACCATACCATTATTATAATTTATAAGAAAAAATAGAGTAGCAAATTTTACTCTAATAATAAATTGCCTCCCATGGCGTCAATTTGGGCGTGCTAAATAATACTACCGATTACTAGGTGAAAGTATTACAAGAAGAAAAAATGACGCTGCTGGGTGAGGTGGCGCGGCTGACGGCGGCGCGGGCGGCTGGAGCGGAAGCGGAAGCGGAGGCGGAGCTGGACGACGCGGGCGGCTCGCTGGGCCCCGCGCACGCCGGCACGCTCCGCTACAGCACCATGCGCGCGCAGCTCGACGCGCTCAAGGACGAGCTCGACAAGCTCGAGCTGCAGCGCGACGACCAGCGCGCGCGCGCGGACGCGCTCGACCGGGAGCTAGCCATGCTCAAGATCAGGAACGAGGAGCTGCAGGTCGGTTCTACTATTCTTAATTACTTAATTATAATAATAGCTCGGGACGATTCACACCTAGTCGCGAGGTAAGCAGAGCTTGTATTATGGGTACTAGGCAAATGATACATTTTTTTTGTGAATACATAAATATTATACATAGAAAACTCCTAGACCGATACAAACAATCATACTCATGAATACAAAATGTTAATATCGTGCGAGGAATCGAACCGATGACCATCGGATGTAAAGCGGTGCACAGTGGGAACTCGCCTAAGAAAGCCATCTCATAAATACTTTTTCTAAAACTCCGTGGATATGCATGTATAATACCTCAACTTGTAGCCAAAGAGTTACTCTATCATTATAAATATGATTCAAATCTCTGACTATTCATACTTCATAGAATAGAGCCTCTAAAGTCAAGGAATGAAAAAAATACAAAAATAATTTTGTAACTTAAATTTGTTTGGTATAAGTTTATAGTATCAAAACAATATCAAGTCATATAGTGTGATACCATTTTAGAAAGCTTAGAATGTGTACTTTACTATAAAATAAAAATATATTTAGTTTAGTCGAATATTATTTAACTAAAAATCCATATATCGTTATATGTACTATTTTCTTTTCTCAGACTTTCACTTGGAGATTTGACAGTTGCCGAAGCTTGCCGAAGTTCTAAATTTGGTTTAATTTATTAGGAAATATAATTTAATTTGATGGCATAACATTTTTTTTGCAGTTTGACTGCGTAAAATATTTAAATCGAGTATAATATCATGGTGAGATTGGTTTTTTCTAAGTACGTATATTAAGATTTTCTTCTTTATTTGAGATTCTCTGTCTGAATACTCAAAAAAATACTTTTTGCTCAATTATTACTTTATATTTTATCTTTTGCCTTACTTTTATCATCTATTTCACACAGTATATAGTTCCCATTCCCATACAGACCTATTCTATACCGCATAATGATAAATATTTTGTATCAAGTAATTTTGCACACGTATATGATCATTATTAAGTATAAAATAGTGTATGTATTTGCATATGAAATATTACAGTTCTTCATAAGCATTTGTTATTACTAAACAATTGTTAATTACTCATCTCGCCCCAATGAGTGAATTCTCGTGTACCAGACGCGACTTAAGTCTCTTATTGATTTAAAGTGATACAAATTATGTTGATTCTATCTCAAACTATATACGAAATAATTTTACCGAATCTTCAGATGCCAATATAGCAAAAATTATCGCAAGTATTCAGAAGTCCTTCATAAGTCAGTTTCGTTAACGCTATACGAAATGTGGTCGAAAGAAAGAACAGTTTTTAAATAAAATAGCAATTGATAGGATGGTATTTTCACTGTAAATCTAGAAAAAACTACATGCGAACCTGAACCTCCTACTTCGAGAGAAAAAAGAGGAAGACCTTCTAAAACGTACGAAGACAGTTCGGACAAAGAAACGGAAAAACAAGGGATTGCTTGATACCCGTGGACTTCATACTTCATCATTCATACTGAACTCATATGTACAGGGTTTAAGGGTTTCACTCTTCATGAGCAATCTTAATGAGTAATCTTATTAATGAACCGGCACATATAACAGCATATTCAAAACATTAAGCTCTTAGCAATTTCATAAAATTGGATCTGAAAAAGGCACAGTACGAAAATATGAGGAGTTGTTTGATAGCAACACTAATGACGGCAATACAGCCAGAAGATTTTTCCAAAATTATCATTTTACATTAAAAATCACTGGTGATGGTGAGGTAGATGAGGAATTAATAAAACTGTTTTATGTTATGAAATGAAATGTGAACGTGTGACACGTCACTTTTCTGTCTTGCCTCTCGGGCAACTTTCAGAAGATGCTCAAGAGTCACGGAACAAAGACTATAAAAAGTTCAGGCTTCATCATGCCAGACAATGTTCGAGGGTAGCCTCTAACAAAGATGTTCTACACGCATTTTTATATACCTCTGACCCATACATAACAAGTTTAAGAAAACCTTCCAATTACTTTTTGATGAAGAAAAGGAGCTCTTGAGTGACTTGTAAGCCATCTTTATAAGAATTTTAGTTTTTTACGTAGATACTTTTCCTTATTTCTGTATAAACTTCTTAGGACATAAATGTAAGTCTACAAATTCTATATTTCTTGTATTCCTACATTATTTATAACTATTAAAAATGTTTTTTTACTCACAAAGCATACATTATTTAAAAGTATATATATTTAAGATTATCAGGAAAAAAAATCATGTACATATCTTTATTAATACAGAAGTTATAGATTTATGAGATGAAAATGAGTCAAAGTTCCCACTGTGCGGTGTGGTAATCTGCTAGACCACCGAGGTCGTCAACTTGCTTACTCTTATTTTGATAGAGTGAAATAGTATGAAAAGAGGAAATCTGTCTACCAAATTTTATTTAATTTAGTATATAGTCCATCTGTGTATGAAATTTAATTGTAAAATGTTCACCCATTTAAAAGTAATTGTAAGGAGTATCTATAGGTGAGATACGGCAGTGAAATTACAGGAAATAGAAGCATAACATTTTAGTCCTTCGAACTGGCTAGGCATAATTGTCCCGGGCGGTATGATAATTTGATGTATATAGGTAACAGTTACCACTTACTACTAAGTGGGTTGTCAGCTTGTTTGCCATTCCACTTATATAATTAATAATTAGAATGTATTTCAACATGTTAAAGATCGCTGCGTCAGAAAATGTAGTATTGAAAGACGAAGTGGACGCGTTACGGGAGACCGCTGCAAAGGCGGCAGCGCTGGAGGCGACCGTTGCCTCTTACAAAAAGCGGATGGAGGAACACGTTGATCTCCGACGACAAGTAAGTCCTACATCTTTACATAGTGTAAAATGAAGTCGCTTCCGCTGTCTGTTTGCTTAGATCTTATAAATGCGCAACGGGTTTTAATGCAGTTTTTAGCAGTAGTACGAGTGATTCAATAGGAAGGTTCATATATATATTATCAGTGTTGTAGTATAGAACAACCCGAGCAACTCAAAATTTTTTAATATATCCGTGCATTATAATCCAAATAATTTTTATTCTACCAGCTACATTTGCAGATTTTATAGCATTTAACTCCTATTAAATTTCCTTAAAACTAATTAGATAATATATATTAAGATGCGTGCTGGCTATGAAAATTTTGACTATCTGTAAAAATCACAACTAAAAATTGTCAAGAGAGCCAAATATTTAAACCCTTCCTTGGTGTGCTTAAAACTTTGACTTTTATTTGTTAATTATTAATAATTAAAAAACTTAATAAAAAACGAGGCCTGAGAATTTGGCGCATCAGAATTATCAGTATAATATCTAAGAAGGATATTGTAATGTACAGGTTAAACTTCTAGAGCGAGCAAACACAGAGCACGTGCAGCGAGCCATCGAACAGGAGCAGGCGGCGTTGCGCGCCAACACACTACGGGCACAACTTGACATTTACAAGAAACAGGTAAACGGATACAATAACCATTATATGATTATATTTATATATATGAAGCAAAAACTTTGTACCCCTTTTTACGAAAATTGCGCAAATGGAGGAGTATGAAATTTCGAACACCAATAGTTCTAGAGTAGTTATAGAGAACGAGCGCAGAATGCTAATATTTAATTATGCATAATAATACATTATATCAATAAAAAGCATTACACACACTAACATATAATTAAACATATATATTATTTTGTCTAGTACCGGTGGGACTGCCAGTGCCTGTGATTATAATCTTTGATAGTAGAACCTTAATAATGTACAAACTTGTAATTTAAATTAATATGCGACCATATACCTGCGTTATTGTACACCATAGTAATAATAATAACGCAGGACAAATCATACCATCTTGTCGCAAGTTCCTACAGAAGCTCATCTGCTAAGTTGAGTTTCTGTAATGGGAACTCAACAACTTATTTTTTATGAATACATATATTATATACAAATGGTATTTAATTGTTTAATATTATAAAAATGTGTGTATACTATATCTGAATGATGTATGAAATCGGTAGGTTAAATTACAATTATATATATTATCAAACCAATCTGAATATTGCAGGTGACAGATTTGAATGAAAAATTAGATGCAGAAATAACAAAAGCGGATAAGCTTGAGATAGAGAACAAAAAGTTGAGTAGTCGCGTGGCGTCGGTTCAACGCGAGAAGGAAACATTGCTCCAGGAGCGAGACTCCCTGCGAGAGACTGTCGACGAGCTCCGCTGTTCTACAATAACCGCTGGTAAACTAATTCTTAACTTTAACTTGAGACCGCAAACATCACATTAGCTAGGCCCCTGCATCCTATACAGTCGATACTTATTCTAGTCAAAAATGGTGGTGTTGGCGGCATCACTGCATATAATTGCGCATCAAGATGAGAGCGAATACGAAGCCCAGTCAATTAGATTAATGCTTACAATATTTCTCCATAAAATATATTATTTAATGACATAATAAATAACTTTGTTATATTTTATTGTCAGGTGTAAAAATGTCATTTCTCAACTATCCTATCCACTTTGACTTCAATATTTTATGTTTCATAAGACATTTAGATGTACTGTGACAACAAAATTTTCGTGTGGTAGGTGCGAGTGAAGACAACGTTTCGAGGGAACTGATACCAAATGACCTGAAAGAACGTCTCATACGACTAGAGCACGAAAACAAACTGCTCAGACAGAACCAGGGTGCTCAGGCAGACCAGGCCTCAGTACAGGTAACATTGATTTGCAGTAATGTACATCAAAATAACAAATAGTTATTACATAATTTTATTTTTAAGATAAAAAATTAGCAAGCGAAAGATTGATGTATTAAAATATTTACTTTTGGTTGTTGTGAATATAATAAGGTTGTTAGCCTACATAAAACTTAACTGTATCTGTTCGTAAAGCAAGCAGGATTTAGTTACAAAATTACACGTACAGAATTAATATTATATTCAGGCGCTCTTGGAAGATTACGCGGCGCGGTTGGAGAAGCAGCGCGCTGTCAACCGCGAGGCCAACCAGCGCATCATGCAGCTCGAGGCTACGCTTGAAGCACCGCACCCGCGGCTCGCGTCCGCCATCGAGGACAACCAGAGGAAATGTATGTGTCGTGGCTATACTTGTACTAAATTTAAATTAATTTAAATTTCTGACAGTGCCTTACCCCAAAAAACACATTGTATTATACTTTCTAAGCGTTAACATCGAGATCTATTTATGTATATATATCTGATATATAATCTATTTAAATTAATTTAGTTTAATGATTGTGGTTACAAATCTGTCTTAGCTGACCTCCTGTGATAAATTGTTAATAACCAAAACTAATTTAAGTAGACGGCGGTAGGTTTGCCTGCCACATGGGTTTCAAATATGTCTAGCAAAATGTGGGTACCATTTTCACATCAATTGACAATGCTTTTGCTTACCCCCTTATTATCTGGTAACAGTCATGATTATAAAAGAAGATAAAATAAGTCGACTTTCCAACATTATCTCCCAGGAATTGCGATGTCTTAGTAGCGTTATGTGTACGGTAGTTGAGTTTAGTTACTATTATTCATGAGTGGACTATGTATTTTTATTGACGGCATCGGTGGTTAGCGGTTTAACACTCTGCTTTACTTTCGATGATTGCGGGGTCGATTCCTCGCAGGGTACAAACATTTGTATTCACGAATTTCATTGTTTGTACATATTGGTCTGGGTGTTTTCTATGTATAATAACAAAAGTATCTATATAAGTATTTGTATCAGTTATGCATAATAAAGGTCTGCTAAGCTTCGGTCTCGAAGCCGCTGTTTGAATTTTCCAGCGTTATTATTATTTTAATTATATACACGTTAATATATTCACTACGTAGCTTTACAAGTGGAAGAACTCCAGGCAGCCCTGGCAGAGGAACGGCGCCGCGCTAGCAAGTTGCAGGAGACTCTAGCGACACGGGAGGCCGAGCTACTCACCAACGAGGACAAGTACAAGAAATGTGTCGAGAAAGCAAAGGAAGTTATTAAGAGTCTAGACCCACGGACCACGGGTGTGTTTACATTTTAACAAATTGTATTCTCTATTAATATGAATTTTATTAAAGTGCTATCTATACAGGTCGTAGTGCTAAAGGTTCTATTTAGCACAGAATAATACTCCAAACCCTTTTTTTATAGAAATCCAAGGTAGAGTTTGTACAAAGTTATCTGTGTGTCACACACAGCCATATAGAAGGCTGTGAGATTACAGGGTATACAGGCAGATGTTTTAGTTCTCCAGGCAAGAAATAATATCAATATATTAGTTTGCCGTGATTTTGATATTTTTATTGATATTTGACGTCCCTCTTAAAGCAGACACCATTAAACAGAAACAACAAAAATACCCAGCTGGTAATTTTGATGAATTGTACTGAAAGGTTTTCAGTTAAAATTGATATAATTTACACATAGAAGCTGAAGGTAAACGGTCAAACGCGTTCAAATTTTAATATTAAAAAAGAAGATAATGATAACATCATAAATGATTCGTATCAACAAGTTTGCGCGCGTATGATCACGTACTGTAATTACAATTTTGCACATGTGTCTAAAGAATTAGTATAAGAAATAAATAGAAGTTCCATTGTGAAATCATTTACGTAATACGATGTATTTGTTTTCTAAAGAAATAATTATAATATTTTGAATATTGTACAGGACAACAATCGTTATCGGACATCACGTTAGGTTACTCGCGTGGTGCAGGCAGTAACAGCGCCAACGCATCGCGAGCCGACATAACACCAGCAAATAACAATCGGCACGAGTGAGTGGTTTTATACGTTTAAATAAATTCATATATCAAAATTAGAATGCACATACCATATAGGTAATGAGAATATGTACTGTATAATCTAACATGTTATTATTGAAATTTTATTCCGTTGGAACAGTGAAATTATAGGATTAGAAAATTCCAATCTTAAGTCCCCAGGAATTGTAAAATATAAATTACAATGAGTTGCATAATATATTTGGTAATATCCGTAATGCTGTTTTTATAAGTATGGGATGGTAAATATACCATACATATATTATCAGATGAACTGTCGGCTTAATTGCAATAAGTCAGGGATGAGAAACATGCCACTTGCGGCCCGTTAAACATGTTAATGCGGCCTGCCCATCATTTCTAAAATTGAATTTAAATATTCGACTTATTATAAATAAAAGTACTTATTGTAAATTATTTAGATAAATATTGCTTAAAAGGCGAATGTAATGTAATACAGGTGGAGTGGCAGCGAGCAGCGGCTGCTGGCCTCCGCCTGGTATCAGCTGGGCGCGCGCTGCCACCGAGACTCCGTGGAGGCGCGGTTCGCGGTGCTGTCCGCCGGACACTCGTTCCTCGCGCGCCAGCGTCGCCAGCCGCCGCGGCCGCGCGCCCCGCACCACTCGACCCCCGCGGGCCCCGGGGCCCCCGCCCCCGCCGCCACCCCCGCGGGCCCCGGGGCCCCCGCGACCCCCCCGTCGGCCGCGACCCCCACGCCCGCGCCCGCCGCCGCGCAATGACAGCGCACGTGACGCGAGGCGCGCTCGCGGCTGCTCGTCTACTACGCGAGGGACCGCACGCAGATATTCACCGAGGGATCGCGGCTGTGACTGCGTCGAGTTATCTTCCTCGCGGTATAAGGTCTCGCTAATCGTTACTTCCGTTTGGTTCTTTATTCAAAATTATTTGTATTTGTAATTGTGGTAGCGGTCGTTCCGAATTTAAATTTTCTTAATTGTTCGAAAACCGCAACCTACTTAAATATCGTAACTAAACAGCATATAGCTTCTTAATAACAAAACCATAATTTATATTGCGCTTTTTTCGACGTTCACCATTCAATAATTTTGAATAAGAGATAAATGGATGTAACTTGATAGGAATCTTATTGTATATTTAGTGTGCGGGCCAGTTCGTCGGAGCCTCTTCGTGGGTGAAGTGTCGGCTGCGATGCCCGACACATACTGTGATTTAGTATCATCGGATGAATTGATCGATTTATTATATCGATCGATTTGATGTATCCGGTCATATTTATACCATTACTTGTATATATACAGCGGAGAATAAAAGAAATTCCGCTACGATACTTGTCCTCCGTATTGAGCCACCGAAACCACTACATAACAGCATTTCAAAGATATATATATATGCTAGCTGTGCACGCGGTTTCTCCCGCATGAAATTTACAGCCTGTATCTTATTCTGATGTACAAGCTATATTACTGTAAAGTTTCATCAAAATTCGTACAGTAGTTTTTGCATGAAGGAGTAACAAACATCCATCTATACTCACAAACTTTCGCGTTTACAACAGCATTTACAATTAATTTGGAATGAAATCAAGGAATCTACAATATCAGTGTTATGTCGTGATGCAACTGTAAATTGTATTGATAAATGTCGTTCAATATTTTTTCTATAAGTATATATTCCACATATAAAGATATAAAATAACAAGTCGAGTACAAAAATATTTATATACCTATATGTATTTTATTTTAGAGTTTAGATTTGTCATAAAATGAAAAATAAATTTTGACATGTATTTTCGAAAATGGAAAACTATAAAGCCTAATCATATTTATGAATCTAAATGTTCCTAAAGAGATTCATATACAGTTTTTTAAAATATGTTGTAAATTGTTAATGTATTTAGTATATTTAAATCTATTTTGCACAAATATATCCATTATTAAAAAAATGCAAATACAAATATCTAGAGCTAATAATATAATTTAATTCTAAATCTATCATACATTTAGTATGTTATATTTTGCTTATGTAGTTTCCTGTGGCTTATAGGGACTATTGATTATATCATTCGTGTATAAAGAAGTGAAAGAACTAGAGCCAAAATTCGTTTGTATTTTAAAATCCAAGGATATTTTATATTACTCAAAATTTACGGATGATACTAATACCCCTTCCGGCAACCTAACCGATCAATCCGATCAAATCCTAACAGATACGATATTGAAACTTTCACGAAAATTCCTTCTTGAAAGGTCGTTGCCGCAATTCGCGGGTGCCCATGGGCGGCAGAAATCACTTACTATCAGGTGAGCCGCATGCTCGACTGTGCTATAGAATAGCTAATATTTGAAAAATCATAAAAAATGTCATGAGCTAAGTAAAACAGTTCTTGATAGATCACTATCTATATAGGGTGGCGTTGTAATTACAACGAATCTACTTTGGATCTTACCGGGCTCCTTATTATTGGGGTATTAGGTATTGTTCGTATTATTTAATTTAATTTACAATTTTTAAGCTTTCAGAAAAGTTTATTCTACGATGGTGCCAATAAAAAAAAGCGTATGGGGCATTTGGTGTTACAAGTTTTCTGAAAGTTTAAATTTGCAAAGATATAAAACTTAAAGGTTAATTAATGTATGAATCAAACGAGAGTAGATCAATTTGTGACGATATATTTTTATTTTATAAACATATAAATGATTTTTTGATAATATGATCTCAGTGCCTATACAAGATGAAATTAAATCTATATGCATTAGCATTTGCAAAAATAATATTATTTCTAGTAAAACTTGTTTTAGTCAGCTTGAATTGCCCGGAGGTTTTGAGCAGTGATCCAATTAAATTTTTTAATAAACTGTAGCGCTCAATATTTGTAATTTACAGCGTAGCGTGTCTTTCAATAAAATTGTCTACAATTGTAGTATATCATGCCACAGATTACATTGTAATAGATACTGTTACATAGAGAAGTTTTACATGATCGTTTATACGTAATATATATGTTTTGTTAATATATTCGAAGTATAATTTTAATATATCCTTTATTTGCTCACTTATAAGTTGGAAATATAATTATTAACATATAGTTCGTAAGAATATGGATTTACTACAACAAGAACAAATTAATATAGTTCATTTGTTCATCTTTTTAATATTTTGTAACAACATTAATATTTATAATTAATATACAATCTCACCAAACACAGGAGCAGCCAGGAGTTGTGATCATTAAATGTTATTATAATTGCATTAATTATTAAGTAGTACTCAAAGTGTTATATCATCACATTGTAAAATTTAGTATTTATTATTATTTATGTGATTACCTTAGGGAACAAGTTTAGTTTGTTTGTTTTTATAATACAATTTGTTGCTGCAATGCAACTTGGCAAACGAAAGTGGTAAAGTATTGCCTTTATTAACTTTATTTGGTGCGGACAGTGCAAATTTTTTATTTATAATAATCTTACATTAAGTAAAATGTGATTCATTGTTGATAATGACAATATACTATTGAGTTTTGAGATAATAATATATAAATTTTCCTATATTATGTATTTGTATTGAATTTTTATTAATGCCCAATTATGAAAACAATAATTCTCATGCCGGTAGCTTAGCATCCTGTATTTCAGTTATATAAAGGATATATCATAGTGCAAAATCCAAGGACCGTCTACCGTCATTTATTTCCTAAGAAACTGACTACTGCTAGAATGTAGTTTGACTGTACGCATAGTTTGGACAGACGGCCGTTATCCAGGCATTATTAGATAATGATTGAAGTATATGTAAATTGCACTTATTTTCTGATATATGAATTTACGTATATGTTATAAAATATCCTTACAATATATATCGAGTGTAACAGAATGACGGTCTATTTTATATGTTAGCGAAACAACCAAGGGGCAACATATTAGGCTGACTGACTCTCTGACTCCATAACATCATCTAAATCAAAAAAGCTTGTAAATTTTACATATTTAGTAGTACCTACTGGTCTATAAGGTTGTGTGAAGAGTGAAACAATTTACTATCCATAGCATTCGTAGTGGTCATGCAGTCCTGTGCATAGACCACAGTTTACGTACCTAACTTACAAACATAACTTTATTCTTTCAATAACTTATTGCTCTTAGATACGTACTACGAGTATGTACGTAGTTTATCCTAGGGAATCAGTTTTAAAGAAAATAAAAAAACAGAGATTTCTTAATTTATTCATTAGTGAGATCACAAGCCACTTAAAATTTAATCATAATTATAACATCCAATAATTCATAACATCACACGCGTATGTCACGCAAATTTTGTTACACGAGTCACACGTACAACTTAAAATTGTTTTAACGTTTATTTTATATAAAATGAAAACAAAACTTAAAAATTACTCATGTCATGTATGTAACTTGGATAAACGAACCTAAGAATGAAATAACAAACGTTATTTGTGCAACTGAAATGTGTATGTATGACATAATATAGTTTTGTAGTGAACGCTTAACCTAAGGTAGAACACGATGGAATCTAATCGAAGTCTTCATCGGAATCCGTTTTCAGAACACTATCTGAGCCGGAGCCCTGTTCGCTGTCTACTGCTGCTTCACTGCAGGCAAAATTATACAGATATTTATTATTAAGTACCTACATTCGCTATACATTTCAAACAGAAAAATAATGATTTTGACGTTACGATACACGATATAAAAAAAATCTGTACAGATTTGACGTAGTTTTTGCATTTTAAAGGATAAAAATTATTTCTATGTGTATTGTATAAAATTTAGCTTAGCTTATTTTTAAGCTGTGTTTCGGTTAAAGGGTGCGATATGACAGAAAAATTAAATAAATAGTACGAAGACAACCATCCATTCCAATTACCTACATAAAAGAAAGTGGGCACAATACAATCTGTAATAAAAAAAACACCTTATGAAGTTGAAAGTTTAATTGCTAATATGATTATGTTTAGTAACAATCATTATAATAACGCTTTGTTGGATACAAAAACCACCAAAAATACGAGATAATTAGTCATTACAAAAACTCTGCTCTACGATTTTTTATGGTTATCACAGCTAAATTGCATACCTGTCATTGATGATTAATTATTTATTTAACTTTGTGGCATGTGTTCACGACTTTATCTCCAGAAGATAAAAGTGTGTGTGTTATAAATACGATGCATTTCTTATGTATTCTTTAAAGGAACAAATTTTTTTTGTATAAAATAGGTTTCAGAAATGGCATTACAGTACAAATATACACTGTGACGCTTGTGGAAATTCTCAGTTATCACACCTCTATATAACTTGTGCAAGAAAATTCACGTCTTAGTCTGAGAAAAGAGCTGTCCCAAGAATTCCTTAAAATACGGCGAACATATATAATTTATAATATTCATTATGCAGGTAACATACCTATAGGGAATAAGGTTAATACAAAAGAAGGCATATGCACAATCAAATTTCTGTTATTATTACACACATGAAAAACAATTTAAACCAAAACTTGCCTGTTAATTCCGGCACTGGTCAAATCAATATCAATTATATTTCTGTCAAATAAATATAAATATATGTAATAGTTATGTATATATGTACTATCATAATTATTCAAGCATATCTAATTGCGAAATGATAATTTAAGAATTTAAAAAAATATTATGCGCGAATCATTTTCTTTGGGAAAAAACTGCAGGAAGATAACTTTTACGTGAAAATTGTATACTTTTTTTGTCAAGTAATGAGGTTATAAAACAATGTTCTAGAATTAATTGAAGGGTCTCTTTTGTTGTTCACACATCAACGCTAGGACAGAATATACAGTGTGAACTATATGTACCTAAACACTTTTTATGTATCAATATGGAATGTGGCACCCGCCTCTAACGACATTCGCTTGTGGGTCATCAGTGGAGGATGATAGTATAAGCATGAGGTCAGGTCAGTTAGCCCATCCTGATGTGTTGATCACGATGGTTTTCAATGGGGATTGCTTGGAGGTGAATCTGACTTTTTATTGATAGCAATGTTCTATACAGTGCTAGCAATGGGGTCCATAATATTAACAAACGTCTTCCCCATTCCCCCTGAAGAGAGATATACGATGAATATGCAGCTATTTCATCTTGTTTCTTTACATTTACCTACTACATCATAGTATTGGCGGCATAATATAGACAAATGGAAGGTTTTAGAAGGAGAATTCACAAACTTACCCGTTGAGATCTTTGGTTAGTTGTATATCAACATTGGCGACAGTATCGTTCAGGCCATTTAGTGCTTCGCAAAAGTCGCTACCAACGCTTTGAAGATGCTGCGTATTAAGATGGAATCCCTGTATACAGAAAAATAATAAGACGTTTTCTATTATATATAAACTATTAAGTAGCTATTATGCAGTACTGAATTATCGTTGGACTGTAGCAGTAATTATTTTAATAGGAAATGAAATAATTAGTTTTTCATCTAAGTCATTAATTTTTGTCACTGCTGTTTACTACTTATTTTTTGTTCAGTTCCGTAACTTTGAATATATACTTAATTTTCACTTTGAAAATTTCTTTATAGGTTTTCTGTTCTAAAAGTAACTATAATTGTCAAAACTAAAAAAAGGTTTTTCGTAAAAGATGATTACCATAAAATAAGTATTTGTGATTAGCGTTGTAATGAAGTATTGGGCGTGCTACATTCGTCTGAAAATATTTACGTCATCAATCATTCTATCTATAAAAAAGTTGATATATTGGTGGTAAGTAATTGCCACTTCGATAAGTCTCAATTTACTATCCATAATTTTGTGTTAATGTGTGGGGTAATGGTAAGTAATGGGCAGGTACCTGTCTGTTAAGGACAGATTGGACATTAACAGACAGGTACTTAAAATCTTTACATAACTCATTTACTGTACTAAATTGTATTATGTCAAGTAGGTATTGCTATTGTTGTGTACTTGTCAGTTGTTATTGCTTTTCCTATAAAAAAAACTTACGACTACCACAACGGTTATTTAGTTCTTTCAGTTTTAGTCACCATTCTTATTTCATATTGATTATATTTTAACTTTTCAAAATCTGTACCAATATGGTATATTGAATTTTGTATAAATCAATTACTAGGAATCTGTTCTTCATTTTTTTTTTAATAACGCAGGAGACAAACGAGCATGCGGCTCACGCAACACCAGGGGAATTGCAAGTACGTTGTGGGCCTTTTAAAAAGGAATAAGCTCTTTTCTTGAAGGTTTCAATATCGTATCAGTTCGGAAATACTATTGCTGGGTTTACCATCTTCATAGTTACGATTGATGTATATTTATAGATACAATCGCGAAAGAAAGATTTTGTTATCGCTATATTTATAACAAGTAAAATAAATTTAATCTATTACCTACCCCTAATTTTCTTTCAATTTAAGAAAATAAATCGAAAGAACCAACTAACGTAGCAAAGTAACATTTTTTAGATTTAGTTGTTTTATAGAAAAAAATCTAAAACCTTACTTGACTGAGGACGAGTTCATTAGTAATAGTTGATCGACGACATTTCTTCAAGGAATGTTTGTTAGTAACGTTAGACTCAGTGATGTTGTATCAGAAAAAAAGAATCAAGCGGATAGACGTCTTCCCACATAGTAGGTAGATATATTGCAGATTGGTTGCAGCCTTATCGGAGGGATCGAACAACTTGTATGGCGGCGACACCGCTAGATGTATTAGTCTACATATCGGCATTATGTTATCATATTAATCTTTAGTTAAACCGTCATTTCTAATTGCAACTAAGTGTAGTACCTAATGCATTTATCGCGATCAACGGTTTTGCTATCGATCATCGTGTTAGGTTGTGTGAATTGTATAGAAAGTAAGTGCCCACTTCTTCGGTTACGTTCAATTACAGATAATATTACATAGTTCAATGTAGATTCTAATACAGTGGACCCCCGATAGTCCGACAATCATTTTGCAGGGCAGTGTCGGACTATCGAATTTGTCGGATTATAGAGTACTGCCTAAGACCCCTTATAGTCCGAATTTTTTTATAAAAGAGTACCTTGTAATCCGACAAATTATAGATCCAATGATAATTCTTTATATTATATACATATACAGTGGACCCCCGGTTATCCGACAAACGTTTTGCAGGGCAGTGTCGGACCATCGTATTTGTCGGATTATAGAGTGCTGCTTAAGGGTCCTCTGCTTATAGTCCGGAATTTTTTACAAAAGAGTATCTTGTAATCCGACAAATTACAGATCCAGTGATAAGATTCTATGTTATATATGTATGTATGTATATGCACTCTGAAGTATATTGTCAAAGTAATATTCAATAACAAATAATAGACAATGTCGGATTACAAGGAGGGCCGGATTAGACAGGGGCCGGATTACCGCGGGTCCACTGTATGTTATTAGGAATTAATATTGTATATTACAAATATTTTAATATCGGCAAGTTTAGAAAATATATCCGTGGAATAATTTTGAGCGCTTCATTAATCAATTTAGTAACTCCGTTTTAGAGATACTAAAGTAGATATAGGTAATAGGCATATTTTAAGTTTTAGGAATTGTACAATACAGTCTTAGAATTTCTAGTACATTTGTAAATCAATTATACTCGAACATAATTATGTAGGATCTTTTAGAACATATAGCTACATATTTATTTGGTTTTAATGTTTTTTTTGTACCTTGAATGGTCCTCGATCAAATCCGCAGAAAGAAGCTTCCATGGTATAAGATCTGGTGACACCAAGATGTCGCCACACTGTGACGCGGGCGGTGCTCTCCCTCTCTCTCTCCACTCGAAACGAGCATGAGCCAAGCGCAAACGCTGGTGATATCCGGTGCATCAGTGCTGGCAGCATCTATTATATTAACGTTTAAAAATTACGAATACATTAGAAATTACTACTTTAAAAATTAGGAATATTCATAAAAAATATCATACTGTTTAAAATTTTGAAATGTTTTTCTTTATGTTCTTCTTAATAAAAATGAATAGTGTTTTTACGACTGTAACCTCAGATGGTATAGTTAGCGACATTGTCTACTGTCACGTTTGTTTTAAACACATTACTGACACGCCCACATTTTGCTAAGTAGGTACACTTTTAATCAAATATGACAAAGGTCTACAAAGACTGATATATATTTATTGTATTAGTATTATGATCATATTTAGGATATATATGTTGGAATAATAAATATATAATAAGGCTCTCTTATTGTATAGTTCATCTCATATTTTACTTACAAGGTAATTGACCGGTTCGTCTTGCACTAATCGGTCGTTGCTGCACCAACTCTCTGCGCCCGCGCATCCGTAGAAAAATACATTCTTCTTACGCGAGTGCCCATGATAATCACAGTATACTAACGGTGGTTTTTTCCAAACACGAACTAGGTATTCTATTAGACCCTACAATGTAAAATAATTAAAAGTACCTGCCTGCATAAATATTATGTAAACGTGTAGGGTACCTACGTAACGTATGAATACAGAAAGATCGCAAAAGATGTATATTACCATTATTTTCTATTGGTATAACATAAGGCGTAATTACGAAAAGATACAAATCGGAGCAAGAGAAAGAAAACTCGAAATAAAATCCGATATTAAGATGCGTGGCTAGTGTGGAAAACTTAGCTTGGCTGTAAACGTGTAAATATTTCCCGTTACTAATCTTATTATATATTTAATTAAAATAATGTTGGAGCGTCCTTTTACCTTAGTGTGATAAATAGACGGATGCAGAACTGGATTGGGTTTACACCAACGTCGATTTAAATCTTCATTAGTCAAGCCGCATCGATGGCTGAAACAAGAAATGGCATTTTATAGGACGAGATTATTGCCAGGAAATTTCAAAAGCCGCGCAACTAAACGGCTTCGACGTGTTCATCGGAATGACACGTTCGCAGTACGTATCCAAGTTCACCTAATACTAGAATATCATAAACGTAAATGGCAAGACCACATCGAATCGAGTTTATTTACAACTTAATACAATGCAGTGTAACGGTAATTTCATTAGATGCGCGGCCAGATCACGTTGACAGCTATATTGGTGTATATAATAATATTAATCGATTCATGTGCTTATAAGGCACACGGTTGGACAGAAAGCTTTGCGGGGACAATTTAATATGACAAGCTATTAAATGAAATGAATGGCTGGCCACGTAGGAATTTGACGAGTCGATGCATGCGCGTGAGACGCAGACAGAGCACGCGCCTCCACGCTCCGTCTCGAACAAATGGCACTTGTGATGTGGTGGCCCCGCCGGCTCTTCACCAATTTTCATTTCATTTAAATTTGTATTCATTACGACTTTATGTTTGTTTGATTGATAGTCGTAATAAAAAGAAGATCTCTCTCTGGACGTGTCCCCTGTCAGCTCTTTGTGGTTCTTAGAATTTTTTATATGTTTATACATTTTTATATGCTATACATTTAAAAGTGCTTTTTAAATGGAGCTCACGTATTGTATATCTAATTTAATTGATGATAAAACATAGAAGTTGCCTAGTACCGAAACAAACATATATAACATATTAACGTTAGAGGCACTGCAACAGCTTTGATTATTTATGACAGAATAATGTCCGTAGTGCACTGTAGTGTTATTATTTACAGCTAGGTAAACGTAAGAGCGTCTGCAATCAACGACAATTCAGTAGAACTCTCCCGTTATTAAAGGCAATTCTTATTGTGGACGTGGTACTGACATAATGGCATTCAGTAAGATACGCAATGGACAAAGAAACCGTTCAGAGCGAGTAACTGTTCTAGGTTCCTATTTGTGATACTAGACGGATTGTTAGCTACCGTATCGTGATAGCCACGGGAATCACGGGAAAAGGTAATAAACCAAGGACGAAAAAATCTTCCCAAACGACTTCCCGAGAACTGATTCATTTTAAATTCACATCTCACAGATCTTGATAACAGAAACCGAGTCGGAGTATCGACAAATTATTTCGGAGATAAAACTTCTTTTTTTTATAATACTTTAGCGGCTTTTTAATGTGGCAAATAATTTTAGAGGAATTTCATAATTTATATGATTCAAATTGCGTGTCGCTCAGCCTATTCGCCGCAGTTCTAAGAAGTCCTGGTGCATATTTTTTCCTGGAGTGGTCAGTTGTCCAATTAGGAGTGGTTCACCGGACACATCATTAGCGGACGTGGAGTCGGTCGGCGTCCCCTACTGCGACAGAGTAGTGGAGGGATACGCCCGTCCCTGGCCGCGGCCTTCGCTCATGGACCGGTTGTACATCTTTTACTCTAATCAGGGAAAAAAATAAGCGTTCTTCGTATGCGCGCGAATGAAAGCGAACAAGCGAGAAGTTGCCTCCGCCGTGTTTTATGGTAGTTAGTTGCGGTATCAGAACAAATACACAGGGTTGCTGCATAACTTCTTATTATAGAGTCAGTAATGACTAACTCTTGATAAATATAACTCATCCATTATCATTCCGGTTTTCGTTAAATAGTTATAGATTGTTCGTTATCAGTATCTATTTTGTTAGCACCTTTATTTGTACGCATTTTGTCTATGCGATTTATCATTCAAATATGTTACATAGGTATGGGTATTTTTCCCAATTCATATTTATTCTGTAATAACAATTCTTAGATTTATATATGCGATACAAGAATACCTATTTGAGGAGTAGTAGCCCTTTGAAGCCTGTAGTGACGACCGCGGATAGTTCAAGGGTCCGCCTAGCTATCTATTTTTAGCTTGCGCCGCGTACCGATACTATCGGAGCTCGGCTGAGCTGTACCCGCCCTCTATGCACCCCTCGCATAACGTGCAACCAGTTAAATAGACTAAAGAGACTTTACCATTATATTTATTCCACCTATTTATAACACATGTCCATTGTTTTTACCTCGGTTGGTATTCATAGCCAACAGGCAATTGCAACCTTCGCTTCGTAGCTGTATGTATTTATGGAATTGTGCATGAATATGAAAAAGTACTTCACGTACTTCAGATAGCCGTTGGTCATCGATGGTGGCTTTGCTGTGCAGCCATTCATAGGTCTGTGCATAACACACGTCATACATATTCGTATTCAGCTCACGGAGGGCTATTTCCTGTGACCGGACTTGAAGACTACATCTAACCACGTGTCCTCAACAGTACAAAGAGTCTAGCGATCGTAAATTGTATTCAAGCACTTTGGAATTACAGACGGCATTTAGATGGGTCAGAGGTAGAAGTCGGATGCTGATGGTAAGTTTCGCTAAATGTCGCTAGTACTCTGTATTCGTATCGGACACCGGACACAGTGCGAGTTATTTACGATAGTCGCGAGACAATCGGCCGGTTGCCACGCTTATCCGGTGCCACCGCGACAATAACATGACGTGGCTGTCTTTATTAAATAGCGTCCTTTGGAATTAACACACGTGCCTAGCTTTTATTTATAGCATTGGTGAATCATCCACCCGGAATGGCGATTGTACTAGATAATTGACAATGAAGCTTTCTGGAGATTTTATTTAGTAAATAGTAGTGACTTAAACTAATATTTGGAAGTTATTTGTTTCGATATAGATATTCTATAATTATTTAATGTATATCTGTGTTGATACCTTTAGATTAGTCAGTTAGACTATTCGATCTTGGTAGGAGCAATACAATTCGTAATAGATGGTTCGATATCAAGTCCCTCGTTTCTAGTAGATACCGCTATTCATACAACAGGAATGCAGTAACCGTGTCCCATGTACCTAATACTTTCTTGAAAGTATATTTTAGTTATATTTATCTTATCCAAATTTTAATCGCAAATCGTGATCCGTGAGTTCAAACGCAATTTGGTAAACACGGCCTTTCGTCACACAATGTTAAGCGGTACTGTATTTTATTTGTAATACACCGTAATGTAGACCACTATTTTACGTAGAGCTCTCTGAATATTGTGCGATGTGATCTGGGTAAAATTGTATAGCGGAAAATTGCGATAATGCAATGCAACTAAGTATGTAAGTGTATCTATTATTAGGAATGGTAATATTGGATGCAAAACATACAGGAAGCATTATTACAGCGTATCAAGAGATAGGTAGATCCTGTTCGCAAGTAGCTCGTTAAAATATTAATAGGTTGAATGATGTCCTTCATCTCCTGCTGCGTAATCTCTAGGAATAATTTCATCTCTATGTATATACAATTTAACCAGATTTATGTAATGTTTTTAATGTGAATTCCGAAGATTTAAGTAGCTACTTAAAGATGAAGTATTTTTCATAAATTCATTACACGGATAAGTGCGGTAAAGCAGTATTTGTGAGTTTGCGACAACGATGAACTAGCGATAATCCAATATAGTGAAGTCGAAGTTCGTTGGACTTCCGCACCGCTGTGCTTACTGATTTAAGTATCTGCCAGTGATCGTTCGTTAGGCGTGAGCGACGACCTTCGTGAGTAATTTATTTAAAAAATAAAAGATTTATGTCACACCATGACTGTTACGCTTTGAAAATGATTGAACTACCGTTCGCTTAATACTGTATTTAGAATAGACGTAGGTAAATGATTTTTTTAAACTTTAGGAACAAATACAGAATTAACTATATAGCGATAATTTCAATAAGTTGGCAAATGTGCAGATAATGTTCGAGCAGCAGGTGAGCAAAGGTCTGGCGGTATTATTTATTATGAACGGTGGACCGGTTGTCCTTGGTTCGATGCCTGGCTCTCCACGATTCGCCTATTTACTTATTGAGCTATATTTATGTTGAGTAGCAACTGAAATGTGAATTGCAGCATAGTATTGCGCCACGGCGTGAATACCTCCTCAGAAGGTACAAGTAGGTTCAAGTTCAATAACGACGATGACTCGCCGACGGATGTCGTTGACTTCGAGCCACCCGACTATTACAATGATGCAAGAGGTGGAGCGTGAACTATTCGCACGAGCTTGGCGTTCTTTGTTAGCGCGATGAAGGTGACTGTCAGCTTAGGTTGTGCACGCAGGCGAGTTACGTACAATGCCCGTAGCGGTCGCTTGCAGCTTGCCCCTGAGCGGCGCGCGACGAGTACGGTATGGCCGGGCCGAATGCACTGCATAAGCGCCGCGTGACTCTAGAATCTTACACTCGATGGTCGATCGCATCGTAATTCATTAGCTGACTCTGCCCGCTTCATTTTATTTATGGCGGCTTATGTTTTGTGAAAATAATCTCATTCGACCTTTCAAGCTGGCGGCGCACTTTATGCTCTAGCGACAGTGGAATAATAAGGACATCTGAATAGAACACCCGAGGTCAAGGTTTTTCGAAATACAATGTCCCTTTCGAGGAACTTTTTTCAGTTTAGTACTTATTTCTTTTTGATTTATTAGATACCAAGGTTTTATGCGTCGTCCCTTCATAAAATAGTCTGGTATATTGTAACAAGATCTTACTAACTATTATTAATTGCATGTGAAATTTATGACTCTACTTTATGACTTACAAACACTTATTATACTTTAGAACACAAAACAACTAAAAATGTTCTAACTTTGGGTGATATTTCTACATATACCTACGTACCCATGTAGATTTGTAAGTAGTTTACTGCATTATACCTAAATATTCGATTGCAAGAATAACAGGTGTAAAAGCGATTTTAGTACTGTGGATATTTAGATAATTCTGATCAGAAGCGGTAAAAGATATGTAAGTTATGTATTAGTTGACTTGCACCATAGAACGATATGTGAAGGGTTACCATTATAAAGTCTCATAAATGATATAAATAGTTTTCAATGACATAATTCAGTGACCACTATTAGTAACGATGACAATAAATA